TAGTTGAAATTTTGTTTGCAAAATGTTGTATGTAATGTGTGTAATAACTACATTCAATTGTGCAGGTATGATTGTGGATTGTTTGTTTTAAAATATATGGAGTTGTGGGATGGTGTGAACAAAGTGAATGGGAAAAGCATGCCTCATTACACATCGGTAAACATTAAAGTCATTGTATTATTGTTTTGTTTTTTATTACTATGAATATAATTTATTATGACATTCTTCATATTGTACAGGAGCAAGTTCAGAAATTTCGAGAAGAATATGTATGCAGATGGGTACTTCATCCTCAAAATCTTCATCGACAAGTCATGGTTATTGAATCAGGAGTTAACATCCTCATCTAGGAATAGAAATGTAGATATTGTATTTGATTATTTGTTTCATCTTCATTGATGAATGTTGTACAGCTTTATTCATATGTAATATAACTGTTAAGTTGGTTATGGATCATTTAAATGTTAAATATTATGACATTAACAAGTGACTGATTTTTGGACCATGGTTACTATTTTTTGTATCATTTTTTTTTATTTTGACAATTACATTATTGATTGGGTTTTACCGTCCCAGTTGCACAATATCCCTATTCAGATGATGCGGACTATCTCCATGTAACAGAGAGTGTATATTGAGAACCACAGTTGTACAAAATACATGTAATTACTACCAGATTTATATGTTACGAACATATGAAGATGAAGATGCTCCTCTATAGTATTAAATGTTAAAGGGCATGTTGGATTGGTTGATAAGGGTAGAACTATCCTCATACCACATACTTGGATGATATATGGAGCGTGGCCACCACCCACTCTCACTGCTCAAGTAAACATCATAGTAACATCAACAATCAGTCAAGTATAACTTAGTTCCACAAAACAAAATGGTCATTAATTTCCATTTGAATTTCTGATGGCAAGATGTTGATATGTAATATAAAAGAAGAAATTCATATTAAAAGAACAAGGGAAGAGAACAATATAAACTAGCATATGGAAATTGTACAAGTGATAAGATTTATTGTAGGAAAGATGTATAGGTTTATGTATCATCTTTGTACATAATAGATAACTTCATGCTTAATAGAAGTTGTAAAGAATGCGCTTAACAATAAACAGATTGAAATTTGCATGTCACGTCTCATTCAAGTTCAGCCTTGGCCACAGACGAAATGTCCAATGCAGTTAGCCACATACTGTAACATGGATAACCACATATTTGAATCACTTGCCGCTCGACCGAGAATAAAGTCGCTTGAGCGAGAAACAACCCGAGATTCCATATCTTTTGTAAGGTTAACTCGCTCAAGTGACAGATATCTCGCTTGAGCGAGTATTGGCCGTAGACGAAATGTCCAACGCAGCTAGCCACATAATATAACCTGGTTCACCTTATATAAGTCTCGCTCAAGCGATGATACTGTCGCTTGAGCAAGACAGAACCCGAGAGACTCCATTGTTTGAAGGTATCGTCGCTCGGGCGACGCAATCCTCGCTTGAGCTACTGTTGATCTACAGAGGAAACGTTCAACGCAGTTAGTCATATAATATAACTTGGTTGACCACATACATGAATCACTTGTCGCTCAAGCGAGTACAAAGTCGCTTAAGCGAGATACAAACCCAGAGTCCCCCTTGTTCGAAGGCTCCGTCGCTCAAGCGATGACTTTGTCGCTTGAGCGAGTGTTGAACCAATGATGAAACCTCAAACGCAGTTAGCCAAATAATATAACTTGGTTCACCACATAATAGAATCCCTTGTCGCTCAAGCGTTCATAACGTCGCTTGAGCGAGACTGAACCGAGGGTCCCCATTGTTTAAGGTTCCATCGCTTAAGCGATGTCATCCTGGCTTGAGCGACTATTGAACCTTAGACGAAACGTCCTACGCAGTTAGCCATCTAATATAAGTTGGTTCACCACATATAATATTCAATATTCGCTCAAGCGATTAAACAGTCGCTTAAGCGATACTGGATCCGAGAGTCCTTATTGTTTTGAGGTTTCGTCGCTCAAGCGATGCATACCTAGCTTGAGCGAATACTGACCCACTATCGAAACGTCCAACGCAGTTAGCCATATAGCTCGGTACACCGCATATAAGAATCACTTGTCGCTCAAGCGATGATAGCATCGCTTGAGCGAGACAGAACTCGAGAATCCCAATTTTTCTAGGTGTCCTCGCTCAAGCGATGTGTTTTTCACTTGAGCAACCTTAGATAGCGGTTGGTAAGAACCGCTTTTAAAAATATATATTAGATAGCGGTTAAATTGTAAACCGCTGTCTAATGTATGTTTATAATAGCGGTTTTTGCACAACATGATCGATTTGAGGAAGCGTTGAAGTTCTTTGTTGATATGCATAGTGAGGACTTTGTGGTTAATGAGTATTCGTTTGGGAGTGCTCTTAGTGCTTGTGCAGGGTTGACAGATTTGAATATGGGAGTTCAAATCCATGCTTTGATATCAAAGTCTCGTTACTTATTAGATGTTTATATGGGTTCTGCTCTTGTTGATATGTACTCCAAGTGTGGAGTGGTGGCTTGTGCTCAAAGGGCTTTTGATGAAATGGTTATCAGGAATATAGTTTCTTGGAACAGTTTGATTACGTGTTATGAGCAAAATGGGCCTGCGGGAAAAGCTCTGGAGATTTTTGTTCGGATGATGGATAATGGGGTTGAACCTGATGAGGTAACTCTGGCCAGTGTGGTCAGTGCGTGTGCGAGCTTGTCAGCAATCAGGGAAGGTTTGCAAATTCATGCTCGTGTTATCAAACGGGATAAGTTTCGGAATGACCTTGTGTTAGGCAACGCATTAGTTGATATGTATGCAAAATGCAAAAGAGTTAGTGAAGCTCGATTAGTGTTTGATAGGATGCCAGTTAGGGATGTGGTGTCTGAAACATCCATGGTTAGTGGATATGCCAGGGCAGCCAGTGTGAAAGCAGCTAGGTTGATGTTTTCAAAGATGATGGAGAGGAATGTCGTGTCCTGGAATGCCCTTATTGCAGGTTACACACAAAATGGGGAGAACGAGGAGGCAGTTAGACTTTTCCTCCTTCTGAAGAGGGAATCTGTCTGGCCAACCCATTACACCTTTGGGAATATTCTTAATGCGTGTGCAAATCTTGCCGATCTGAAACTTGGTAGACAGGCTCACACTCACATTTTGAAGCATGGATTTTGGTTTCAGTCTGGAGAAGAATCTGACATTTTTGTAGGGAATTCTCTGATTGACATGTACATGAAATGTGGAATGGTTGAAGATGGATGCTTGGTTTTTAAGCAAATGGTAGAAAAGGATATTGTCTCATGGAATGCCATGATAGTGGGGTATGCAAAAAATGGCTATGGTACGGATGCCTTTGAAATTTTCAGGAAAATGCTGCTATATGGAGAAAAACCAGATCATGTAACTATGATTGGAGTTCTATCTGCATGTAGCCATGCAGGACTTGTTGAAGAAGGGCGGCGGTTCTTTCACTCGATGAGGGCTGAGTATGGTTTAGAACCGTTGAAGGACCATTTTACATGCATGATTGATTTACTAGGTCGGGCTGGTTGCCTTGATGAAGCAAACGATTTGATACAGACAATGCCGATGCAGCCTGATGCTGTTGTCTGGGGATCTCTACTTGCTGCTTGTAAGGTTCATGGAAACATTAAATTAGGGATGTATGTAGCAGAAAAGCTCATGGAAATTGATCCCTTGAACTCTGGACGTTATGTTCTTCTTTCAAATATGTATGCTGAGCTTGGAAGATGGAAAGATGTGGTGAAAGTCCGGAAACAGATGAGGCAACAGGGAGTAGTTAAGCAACCTGGTTGCAGTTGGATTGAAATTCAGAGTCGTGTGCATGTTTTCATGGTGAAAGATAAAAGGCACCCTCGTAGGAAGGACATCCATTTAGTTCTGAAAATTCTCACAGAACAGATGAAGCGGGCTGGCTATGTGCCAGAAGCTGATGATGATGAGATTTGTGAGGAGGAAAGTGACTCTGAACCTGTCTTTCAATGTGAAATGGAACCGCAGGCTGATAGTGCAGTTGCATAAATAAAATTCCTCTGGCTAATTGTTGATTCCTTCAGTAGAAAGTAGGAAAATTTGGTATTAAAGTTTGTATTGTAGATTTGAGCAAGGCTTTTGAACTTTGAGACGAGGGTTCCTCCAGATTTTTTCGTAAGGGTTCAAGTTAAATGTATAGAAAGTAGGCTGTGGATGCAAAGCCTTGGATGTACCCCTCAGTCTGTTGTTACTACTTGCTTTAGTTTAACACTGATATATACTTTCAATCTGCTAACTTTCTTGCCGTTAAGCACATTGATTTTGATCATACGCTCAGTTTGATTGCCAAGGATATCAGCTCAAACTAGTTAAGTGTGATATTTACAAATGATGGCATCCTGTAAATAAGATGGGCTCTTGGCCATTACATTTAGAGATATAAAGCTACAATAAAAAGAAATGGCAGGTATACGTCATTAGATCTCTGGCTGTTAATTGCTTCATTGTCGTGTTAATATATATATACAAAGATGTGTATTTAATACTAGGATTGTAGAGTTGTAATTGAAATTAAGATTTTAGAGAGAGCCTGGTGAAGTGTTCATACTTCAGTTACTGCGTGACCCTATTTTCATTGCGGGAGTTGCTACTTAAAATACTAAGTTTTCTATATTCCAGTGTATCATGATCATCAAAATTCAAACTTCATAAAAGCATATTATTATAATAGAAAAAAAATCGTCTAATAAAGACGGCTGAAACTCTAGAATCCCTTTTACTATTTTTGGGAACAAGTCGGGTGAATTAGGGAGGCAACAAGCATGTATTGAAAAAGAAAATTAGGAGGGAAGAGGAATGAAGTAGTGCTAGGAAACAGAAACCAACAAAATATAATCTTCTATTCTCTACATTTTTTGTTTGTAGATATGAAAACTTTCTTCCTATCTGCAGATAAATCCCAGACATGTGAAACTCTTGAGTGTGAGAGTCATCATGCTTTAAGGATGACTCCTTGAGAGCATCGGTACCTAAGAATTGCATAAGAAATGAACCTGGAAACCAGGATGAAGCCCATCATCAACCCAACATTCTTCCATCTACTAGTCTCCCCTCCTAGCTCTGCTTCTTTAAGTATATCCTCTCCTCTCACCACGCATGCGCCGAACAAGTACTCGAAGCACTTTTTTGAGTAGGAGAACTCATTTATTAGAAACCCTTCAAAGGGATACTTAAATGGAGATATATAATGCATAAAAATCCAGTAACTTGGAATTTCATGTTTTGATACGAAGTAGCCAGAGAACAACAGAAACGAACCAATGACACCAGCGACCATTGAATTCCCAACAATGAAATTGGGCACCAGAGCACTGAAACACACCACAACCGAATTTGCAGTATAAAGAATTAGCCAAATTAGCATCAAAAAGTACAAAAATGCCGAGAAATTCCTGTTGAGACCAATAAGTCAGTACAAAGGCATTGCGAATAAAATAGCTAGTATGAGCAAAAATGGTAGGTAAACTAGGCCATTCGCAATAGTATAGGATGAAACTCTGTAACTTCCACTAGAGGTTTCTTTCATTAGAATATCCCTTTCTTGCAGAAAAATTGGTAGAGCTTCGGTGGTGCTTGATAACATAAACGTTAAAATGAAAGCAAATAGACCCACTCTTTCTTCTGCTCCCACTAGACCATCCTTGAGATTACAAAAGACTGATCCCAAAACCAGTCCAGAAACCAACATTTGAATTGACCTGTATGCAAAGAGTTCCTTTGTGCGAAGGATGTTTTTAGAGAATCTATGAATGAGAATCATAGTTTCTCTCAATCCAGAATTAGCAAAATCACAAGTGATATCCATTCCTATACTAATGATTTCTACATCAATTACCTTGGATTGTTGAAAGAGCTGTTGCAAAGTAAACTTACCACTTCCACTCTCACCACATTTCTTCTGTTGCATTGTCCTTGGTAATCGCCACGGCGATTCTAGCATAAACTGCTGACATTTTTGTTGTTGCTGAATGGTCTCAATGGAATCAATGGCAAACTTAACCACACTGACATGAAGAGGAAGCTCTAAACCCACTAGCCTTAGATTTACACCCAGCAAATCCACAGTGCCATGGTGCAACACAATACCATTAGCCAATAACAGTATTGTGTTGAACAACTTAACTATTCTGTACCCGGGTTGGTGGATACTTAGGGTTATAGTTTGTCCCCTAGATTCTGCCATGAGTTTAAGCATATCAATTATTTGCAAAGCTGATGTACTGTCAAGCCCTGAAGTTGGTTCATCCAAAATCAACACTTTGGATCATGTATGATTTCAACACCAATGGAAACTTGGCGCCTCTCACCACCAGATATGCCACGGACCCTGTCATCTCCAGTTCTAGTCCTAGCAATATGGCTAAGACCAAGCTCTAGAATCAGTGACTTGACCCTGGAGCATAGTTGTTCTTGAGGAAGACACAACCTTAGCTTTGCACTAAACATTATGGTTTCTTCAACCGTAAGTAAGGGAAACAAAGTATCCTTTTGTGTAACATATCCTGAAATATTTTTGAACTGAGCTTTATCAACAGGTTCTTGATTCACCAAGATACACCCACTTTGTAAACTAGCTTTACCAGCTAGGATTTTAAGAAGGGATGATTTTCAAGCCCCACTTGGCCCTTAGACGAAACGTCCTACGCAGTTAGCCATCTAATATAAGTTGGTTCACCACATATAATATTCAACTTTCGCTCAAGCGATTAAATAGTCGCTTGGGCGAGACTGGACCCGAGAGTCCCCATTGTTTTGAGGTTCCGTCGCTCAAGTGATGGATTCCTCGCTTGAGCGAGTACTGACCCACTATTGAAACGTCCAACGCAGTTAGCCATGTAGCTCGGTACACCGCATATAAGAATCACTTGTCGCTCAAGCGATGTCACCATCGCTTGAGCGAGACAGAACCCGAGAATCCCAATTTTTCCAGGTGTCCTCGCTCAAGCGATGTATTTTTCGCTTGAGCAACCTTAAATAGCGGTGGGTAAGAACCGCTTTTAAAAATATATATTAGATAGCGGTTAAATTGTAAACCGCTGTCTAATATATCTTTATAATAGCGGTTTTTTTTAACCGCTCTTTTATATCATACTTTTAAAGAGCGGTTAACTCGTGGAACGCTATAATAAATATAGTTTAGATAGCGGTTGGCCAAATAACCGCTATCTAAAGTCATATATGTCAAACTGTTCGACTATAATTGGGTAATAATCGATCATAATTTTCGATAACCGATTATAATTGGGAATGATCGATTATAGTTGGAGAACATCGATCATATTTTGTGCTAAGCGATTATAGTTTTACATAATTTCGCTCTGCATCTCTCTCGCCGGCGCACGAAAGAAACGTTCGTTCTCTCCCGGCTCTGGTTCGTCTATGTTTAATATTGGGTTCTGTTCATTTGGTTTAGGGTTTAATATGGTTGTTGATTTCGGTTTTGAATTTTAATTTGATGGTTCATCTTGTTTGATTTCATTTGCATTGTAAAGAAGAAGCATACAGGAACCATCGAGGTTAATGTATTCTTTGCTTTCTAATTACTCGCAGATTCTCCTTTCTCTGTTTTCATTCACTGTTGACTATCTCAGTAGTCGTAAACATAAACCATGGCTGGCAAAAGAAAAAGCTCCAAGCGCACCCACTCAGAAGCGAGTTCTTCAAGTACCCAAACTGTGACCACGAAGGAGGTGATAGCTCCAAAGGTCCTTGACACCCAATACTTTGTTAATAACGGATTTGACTTCATTAGAGTTTTGAAGGATGTAGAGTTGAATGTCAAAGTTAAAGGTATGTCAAAGTTATTTATGTACATGTGCTGAAAAATGTGTTGACCCAATATTGTGTTATCATTTTATTTTTCTGGACAATTTGGGATTTTTTATTGCAAGGTGGGACGGGTGGTGTTTCCCTTAATTTTGTTTTATGTAGTTATGGTTAAATCTTAAAAAGATTTGTTGAATTCAATTATCAATGGAACCCTGGGAAGGACTGGACATTGACACCACAGACCTTGCTGCATTTATGCGTGCTTGCAACTCCAATTCGTCCATAATTCCAGGTCCTGCTGCCTCCGTTCAAGCTGTTATTAATAACCGCATTTCTGATGACCCCATACCTACTCAAGAATTTGTACGGTGTGTAGCTCAAGAGAGTGATGATGTTGATTTTAATAGCAATGCATGGCAATGGGCTCTTCTATTCATAAAAGTTCATGGTGAAATTTTGGAACTTTATCCTTTCACTTAAAGGATGCACTTTAATATATTGGCGGATTTGATTTATTTACAGGATTGGTACATGAACATGATAACAGCCACGAAACAAGTTTAAGCAGTATTAAGCATATTAATAAAGCTTCATTGGTCACAGGCATTGTTAAATCGTGTAAGCCTAACGGCCTAGGAGACATGACCATTACAATTAAGGTATTGTAATGTTTACATATGTGAATTATTACATTTATAGGTATGTACTTAATGTCATCATTCAATTCAATTGGGTATATTTTGTTCTGTATAGGACCCTACAGCAATTGTTGAGGCTAGTGTTCATCGGAAAGTCATAGCTGATGCAGAAATAGGGAAGAACATCCGACTTGGTTCAGTTTTAGTTCTAAAAGATGTACGTTTCTGTAAGTATAAGATTTATCGACAAGAGTCGCATATATGGTTCATTCATACCATTTCTATTTGTTCACAGGTTGCCATATTTTGCCCAAATAAGTGGAAATGCTATATGAATATAACATTGTATAATATTGTCAAGATATATGAACTTCATAGCATATTGTCATTCTATAATTGTGATGTCTTCTAAGTCAAGTTACACCTTACTTAGGCCTTCCCAAGCAACATTGGATGTCCAACTGAAGGACTAGTACGTCATACTGAACCAATAATACGCCCTTCCCCAGTAGGAGGTATGTGTATTTTTCTACACATAGTTATTAAGTTATGTCATCGAAAAATCTCTTGCAAATATTATATTAATTTGATATTATTTATTTTCCAGATCCAATTTTGCTTCAACGGTTGGACCAAATATTCAAGGACAAAGGACACTAAATCAAACAACTTTGAAGTTAAAATATTGAATCACTTCAGTTTGTTTATGTTATGTTTATGTATGACCGGATACATGAATTATATTGGGAAAGTATGACATTGGGTGGTTGTAATGTAAACGATTTGAAATCAGCCATTTGCGCAATTTATCCGATTTTATTCGTATAATAACCGTTATTAACAAGTAAGGTTCGAATCATAAACCCAGCACTATGCAACTAAATCAGTAATTACATGGTACATGGACCTAGGTCAGCCTTAATTATATAATTGAGTCATTAACAATGAATGTCAGGAGTTAATATATATGTAACAAAACAGAAATACAGTACAAGGTCATAATTTACATTAACGACCAATACATGGTAACCTACACAAAATTACTACATCGCCACCTACACTAAATTCGTACATGTGCTCTTCCTCATTCTTCACCACTTTCTTCAGAGTCGGTCAAATTTTCATCATCATTATCATTGTCATCTCCTGAAGACATGCTTGTATCGTCTCCTTCCTTTGATGGTTCCACTTCACCTCTGTGAAAAATCAGGGTGGTCCCCAGGCCATTGGACAAGTGCACGAAACTCATCTACGGTAGGCCAAGGTACCGGACTATGTGTGCTTATAGAATATCTGTGGAAACTTTCATTCAAACTGACCTGACCCCTATCGATGGCACACAGGGCTGTGATCAACGAAGGGAAACCCAAAGCCTTTGCTTGTCCAGTCTGTGGTCCGCTTTCCTGCATCACAAATTGGTGGATCTCCTTAGAAATTAAGCCTGCCACATCAAGGGAATATCCATTCAAAATGTAGTAAACCATGTAACATCTCGCCATGTTAAGATCAGAGCTGTGTTTGAGGGGTACAATGTTCGCTAACAAAAAAGAAGTCCAAATTTGTGTTATTGTGGTCATATTTGGCCGCAGGATCCTCAATGTTAGAAAAGTAGTTTTAGATCAAGAGGGGGGGTGAATTGATCTTTGAAAGTTTTTCGCAAATCACATATTATCTAATTCGAAAATTAAGTTTACTAATCTATTCACGAATCTCAAAGCAATCAATTAAAATAAGCGCAGCAACTGAATTTAAATGAGAGAAAGGTTAAGAAAGATTTCACCGGTATTTTATACTGGTTCACCCAATACCAAGGCTACGTCCAGTCTCCAGCCAAATTCCAGCTGGGTTCCACTAGATTAAATGTTTTACAGATTCAACAATCTTACACCTAATCTATCACAAGAACCAAATTCCAGCTCTCGCACTTAACCTCTCCACCAAGAACCAAATTCCAGCTCTTGATAACCTCTCGCAACCAAATTCCAACTGCAGAGAAACCAGTACCCAAATTCCAGGCACCACACAGGTACAAGAACCAAATTCCAGTTCCTCGTACTCAACCTCTCCACCAAGAACCAAATTCCAGTTCTTGATAACCTCCGCAACCAACTTCCAACTGAGAGAAACTTGTGCCCAAATTCCAGTGCACAACACAATACAAAAGAATAAAAAGAATTGACAAAGAAGAAACTAGAAAGCTCAAACCAGCTTTATCCAAATCTGCAGAGAGTTTCTTCTTCAAAAGTATGCAAGTTGCCTCAAGAAAGATTTTCAAAAGAACTTCAAAAAATTGTTGCGAATCCTTCTTGAAAAAGTGCTAAGGTTTGCTTGAATGATTGCTTAAGGATGTGTAAAAACTGATATTTAATGTATGTTTAAAAAGTTCAAGCAAAACTGTTTTTAAAAAGTATTTTCAAAAACTGCTGCATTAATTAATCTGTTGAAAGTTTATTTTAATCTGTTGAAATAGTCGTTTCAATCTGTTAAAAGTCCTTTCAATCCATTAATGCGTTCTTGATTCTTTAACGGAATTGTTTTAGCTGATACTCGCAACGGTTATATCAATTAAAACACTTTACAAAACTTTTCTAAGTTTGATTCAATCGATTGTTTCGTGTTTTAATCGATTGATATACTGCAAAACTTTCTTATAAAACTTTTCAAGTTATTTTAACTGATAAAAAGAAGTTTTAATCGATTAAAACTCTGTAAAAAAATTTTCCAAGTTGTTTTAATCGGTTGAAACGTGTTTTAATCGATTGAAACTCTGTAAAAAATTTCCAAGTTATTTTAATTGATTGAAATGTGTTTTAATCGATTAAAGCAGATCTGATCGGTCATAATTCAATTTGATCGATCATAACCAACTCTGATCGGTCATAATCGCATTCGATCGATCATTCTGACTCTTTAAGTGATTTTAATCGATTGAAACGTGTTTTAATCGATTGAAATAAGTTCTGATCGCTCATATTTCAAATCTGATCGGTCATAATGGGTTCTAAAGGGTTTTAATCTATTGAAAGCAATTTGTATCGATTAAAATACTGTAAAAACACTTCTTTGATCATTCTAAGTGATTTTAATCGGTTCTTTCAAAACTTTATCAGTTAAAAATATTATTAAGAAAGTTTTTGTCAAAATGCTTTGTTTTTAATTGTTTAAAACGATTTTAGAGGCATTTTGCAAAATCATTTAAGTGAAGAACCTTCATGCAGCAGAAAAGATAAAATGATTTTACCTAAGCATTCTGTTAGACACACTAACTAATCTTCTAACTCTTTTATCTGAGTGACTTGTTGACTGCTGCAGAGTAGCCTTTTGACTTCATCTTTGACTTCATCAAATCAATGAGATCTTTGCCAAGATATTCCACATCACTTTCACTCAATGGTTTCCCAGCATGATTTGTCTCATAGGTCCTCCCTGGAATACACAAAAGTTGGGCTACTGCATCATTGTCAAATTTTCTTTCTGTTAAGCCCCTCGCTCTGCGTATCCTTTCATATGTACATATTTCACCCTCATTCAATTCCATGGGACTCCCAAGAAATTCATTTATTGTGTCCCCGTCATAGGATATCCACTTTCCCCTAACCTTTGACCTTTTTTGGTGACATCCTTCTTGAGAAGGCCAAGCATTGGCATAAAATTCTTTTACAACATCAGCATCAAAATTCGATGCTGGTTCTGCAAGTATCCTCCATTTTCTTCGTGTAATCTCATTATTAAATTCAGTATATTCGCCTTCTTTCAGCTCCACTCGTCGTTCAGCGTTGAAGTTCCAACCTTGCATCATCTTATACCTCTGCTCGGTATGCTCATCTATGAAGATGTTCCTGTTGAAAACGGCAGTCGATTCACCCCTTCTAAATCTTTTCCCACGACCTCTGGAAGAGGTAGCGGTGGAGGTGGCGGTTGCGGTTGCGGTGGCGGGGGGAGGTGTCTTCGTCGGAGGACATTATGTGTGGCGTGATTGAGAGAGGGTTACGTGGGTTTGTGTTTGGCGATGAGTTTTTGTGTGTGGGATATAGTTAACGCAACCGATGGAGCCAAAATAGGATCGTATAAGTGAGTGGCGTTTTTTCTTTTTTAATTTCTACAAAAATATATTTAAATAATAAGAAAAAAAAATATTTATACTATTTTATTATATGACTATACGAATACAATTTCTGTGTGTTATGCATGTAGCAAAATTCAGATCTGAGATGGGAAACCTATTCAATTCAGAAGACTTAACGTTCACTGATAGAGTTGTTAAAAAAAACGTTACTTGATACAAAAAATAGTCAAAGATACGAATTAATTAAAAACTATTATTAGTTATAATTAGCATATGCACGACGGGATAATATAAATTATAATCAACATATTATATATTAATTTAATTATTCCAAAACTTTTTCAAAGTACAGTTAATTTTATACACAAAATAAGATAAAATGAAAAAAAGAAAATGATATGTGGGCTTTGACTTTGAGTTTTGTGAGCTTCTGCTTCATCAATATATATTTTTGTAACTAATCAGAATGTTAGTTTTGGTAAGCAAAAATATATGAATTTAAGGTAGTTGTTTATAATTAAAACTAAACTGAAAATGAAAATTAAACGAATTAGTTACAAAAATATTTTAAAAATGAGGTTTTTAATTAGGTTCTTGTAATTTTTTGGTTTTCATCTTTCTAACATTGTGAATGATTTTTTTTTAAAGAATTATGTGGTACTCGTAATCATTCTAAATTATACTTAGCAGTGTTTGATATTTGTAATATAATTTCAATGTTTGACATCTTTAAAAATTATTTGAATATTAACAAAATGAATATTTGTTTTTACCTTTAAATTAATCTTAGGAATACAAAATATTGAATGTATATTTAAGATTCTTTTTATATATCAAGTTTATTGTTTTAACTTTCAAAAGGTTATATTTTTTTATATTGATACTTCAAAATTTAAAACTTGTTATTATAGTTCATTTTATTAAATTTGAATCAATTTTTTGTAAAAAATTAACGAAAGGTGACATCATCCACAACAATTAAAATAACAATTTTGAAATTTAAGAAAAAAAAAAAACTAATATTGTTGTGTGGTGAGTTGTCTTGGAAAGGTAGAGCGAGAAGGGTGTTGGCATATTCCTTTTTTTCAAATCCAACCTGTGGATCTGCACTCATTCTTTGTAGTCACATACCTAATCACACAAACCCTAATCTCATTTTCTTATCCCAATCTCCGGTATCCCTTTGCTTCATCACTCTTCTCGTCTCAAGGTATTTCTTCTTTCTTTATTTTCCCCTTCTTAGATCTTTTATACCTTTTCCCCCCTTCAATCATTCTTATTTTTTTCCAATTCTTCTTTTAAAATTTTGGATTCCTCTTCCCATAATTTGGTTACCGATTGTTGCTCAGCTTAGGTTAACTTTAGGGATCCCGATTTGATCTTTTTCTTCGCTTCGGTTTGGGAAATTTGAATTCGTTACGTTGCGGGGGTTTGAGCTTTCAACCCTTTTGATTCATAGAGTAGGATCCACATTTTTTATGGCATTTGAGTGCCCAAATAGGACTGAGGATTCTCAAAATTTGGCACACTTTGTAGCAAATCCAGGCATAGGCATAGTTGAAACTAATCAGCTTAGTTCCAAATCCTTCACGGAAGGAGTAGCAACCAAAAATCTCGTTCCAGGTAGCAGACCTGAATCTGGGAAGGGTGTGAAGCTAAAGGGAGCATCCGAGATTAATTCGAAGAAGGGAACCAAAGCTCCGGCCAGTGCTTTGAACCAGTCATCAATTCCTGGTGATGTGGTTTTAGATTTTGGTTTGTCCATCACTGACCTTCCTCCTGCATTGATATCTGAAATTCTCAATTTCCTTGACCCGAAAGATCTAGGCATTGTTTCGTGTGTCTCGACGATTTTTCAAAGAGTTGCATCCGAGCATCATGCTTGGAAGCAATTCTATTCTGAAAGGTGGGGGCTTCCAACAGCTTCCTTGGCTGTGGATTCGGGTGTTGTGGATGATGATAAGTCATGGAAGGAACTTTTCGTGGAAAGGGAGTTTAGGAGTAAGACTTTTATGGGACGATATAGTATTGATGTGTTGTATGGCCATACTGAGGCAGTTAGGACTATTTTCCTATTGGCATCTGCAAAGCTCATATTTACCTCTGGGTATGACTCTGTTGTGAGGATGTGGGACATGGAGAATGGGTTGTCGATTGCTTCATCAAGGCCCCTTGGTTGCACCATTCGCGCTGTTGCAGCAGATAGAAAACTACTGGTTGCTGGTGGCACTGATGGATTTATTCATTGTTGGAGGGCTGTAGAAGGACTGCCTCACCTGTTTGAGCTTAGAGCCTTACAACATCAGAATACTGAGGTTCAACTTTGGGGACACGAAGGTCCTATAACTTCCCTTGCTTTAGATTTGTCTAGGATTTACAGTGGTTCATGGGACACTACTGTTCGAGTGTGGGACCGTCATTCAATGAAGTGTACTGCAGTGTTGAGGCACAGTGACTGGGTCTGGGCACTTGTCCCTCATGATACTAGTGTTGCCAGCACATCAGGTTCAGATGTGTATGTTTGGGATTCTTGTAATGGGGCTTTGATGACCATTATTCATAATGCTCATGTTGGTAACACTTATGCATTGGCTCGGAGCCATACAGGGGACTTCCTTTTTACTGGAGGTGAAGATGGTGCAATTCACATGTATGAGATTGTAAATGATGGTTATGAGTCTAAAGCTTGGCATGTTTCTACTTGGGTTCCTCACTCGGCTGCTGTGTATTCCCTTGCATTTGAATTTCCATGGCTTGTTTCAGCATCAAGTGATGGTAAGCTGGCTCTAATTGATGTGAGAAAGCTGCTGAGGACTAGCAAACGAGCTCTAGGGAAGAGAGTTTCAAAGGTAAAGCATTTGAGTGGAGACATAGTAGAGCCTCCACAGAGGATGTTGCATGGATTTAAGAGCAATCTTTTCGCTGTGGATATAGGAGCTGATCGAATTGTGTGTGGAGGTGAAGAAGGTGTTATCAGGATCTGGAATTTCACAGAAGCTCTGGAAATTGAGCGGAGAGTCCGTGCATTAAGAGGAATACGATTGGAGAACAGAATGAGGCGACGGAAGCTCCAAACAGAGCTTAGCAATAAAAGTGGTCGGAGTGATCAGTGTTCAGTTGCAGCCAAGAAGAATTCTGCCCCTTGTACTTGGCCCAATAAACGTGGGATGAGCGGAAAGCTGAAAGCATAGTGAGTATGGTAATCTGATTTGCTTTACATGCACCAATTTGGCATTTTTTTTTTTATTTATTTTTTTACAAAATTGATGTATACGATATTTTAGTTTCAAGCAGGTAATTTGATCAATTTTCTCTCTATATTATGTTATATTAGTGTCTGTAGGTAGTGATAAGATCAGACTACTTCCACCTACTTCTCAATGTCACCATTCTGAAAATGAAAGTGTATCTTTTCTACAGAAGGTGTTTCTATTAGAATCTATGAGCATTTAATAACTCTTATCGACCATCGATTTAAACACATTCAGGATCACGAGAAGATATGGCAATCATAGTCTTTTAGTTCTTGGATGATATGCTTGTTTATAAATACACTTATTACTCTCCGAATCCATTTTTCAGGTTAATATTTGAAATCTTGGGCTATGCCATATCGAGTCAAGTCAAGCATAAAGACGTGAATGTTTGCAACGAAACAACTAAAATCATCTTCAGAAATAAAGATATACAATAACATAGGACGAACCACTGCGCTTATAGATCCCATTCTTTTACTCAAAGACTAATATCTATGATTAGTGTATCATATAGTCTTACCAAAATGGCACTAAGTTACACTCTAGTGGGTGTGCTTGTCCACTCTTATGGAAACCTTCGTTTATGAAGGAGAGACATGAAATCGGTAATCCAAGTTAAATCAGATTCCTATGATTTGTAGTTGAAAAATACTATAAATGATGCTTTATAAAGAAAAATTGATAAATACAAAACTAAAGATGCCATTAAATACAAAGTGGGTGGTGTGCAATTAGAAAAACGATCTGTTTACGAGGATATTGAGAATGCCACTGAAAGCTTAATTTGAATTTTGGACAAAATTGCAGTGGGCTTCATGACGATTTTTTTTTTCTTGATTTAACCCTCCGCAAATAGAAAAAAAAAAAAGGGGAGAGAATGGAAACATAAATTGGCTAACGAAGGTTGTTGAGAAATGGGAAACGTGTGACATTGCATAAAGAAAAGGGAGAAAAATGGAGAATTGATCAAATAGATTGATTGTTATAGCAGCAAATCAGTTCTTACTTAAACCGAAGGTAAATGAATTTAAGGGGAGAAAGGGAAAGAGTATGAGTATGTTGATTGTTGTTCTAATGGGCGTTCTCAGCATAGTTGATGGTCTGTCCACATACACGGCAACTCCGGGCGGTAAAGAGAGGAACGAGTCACATGTCTCGGCATTGTTTGTGTTGGGGGATTCCTCGGTTGATTGTGGAGACAACACTCTGTTCTACCCCTTGCTTCACGGTCGTCTCTCTTTGTATCCATGTAACGGCTCTGACGCCACCCTTCTTCCTCAACTTCTTGGTACTTTTTTTTATCTCTCTTTTTCTTCATCATCTTTCATTCACAGAAATTGGGCAGAACCGGATGAAATCCCGCAGGACATGGAAGTAGTTATACTTTGAAACGATTACATTTTTTAACAGGGTTTTCCAATGGAGATTTAAATTATTTTGAGCTATTTTTTAATCATGAATCCTAATTTTGTATAGAATGACTAGTATTTTTATATCGAATATAATAAGATTTAGGTAAGATAAAATTATATTGCAGGAATGACTAGTATTTTTATATCAAATATAAGATTTAGGTACGATAAAATATATTGCCGAATGTAAATAATAAAAAATTACTTAAAACAAATCATATAGAATGTAATCAATATTTATATCTAAGTTTGAGAAATCTTTACTTCAGAAGAATGAAAATAAATTAATAATAGCCAAGTAGAATGAATACATGCATTGAACAAGTCAGTGACAAATGAAATTTGAATAATCAAACGGATAAGTTCACAATTGTTATTTTAAAAATATAACTTCACTCACATGACTTCTTTTCATTTTTTTTTTCACAGGAATTGATAAAAAGGTGAAAACGTATAAATAGTTACCTAAATTCATTTAAGATTTATTTATTTAATTTATAGTAAGATGCAAAGTCATTTAAGATTCAAATTGTGGATAGTACGATTCTAATAAATATGTTTTTGACAAGATAAAGGAAACCTTATTTGAGTGATTCAAGTTCAAACAAGTCCTATGGTGGTGGGAAATGAAACCATATTTCCTTAGACAATTTATTTATGAGGCTTTACTGATTAGAGTTTCACCTCCATAATCCACATAGTAAAGATGTACAGTGAAGGTCAATACTATAATTTTATTTGGAGAACAGTACAACAAATATTTAAAGAAATTGCATCTAATTTATATTTTGTTTCCTTTTCTCTTTTCTACACAATGTCATCTGAATTTATGTATTAAGATAGCTGTCCATTTGCTTGAGCAATTTATCCCAGAATCATCCCGTCATCTCTTACTGTAAGTTATCCTCTGATTCCTGCCTCCAGGCTCTCAAATTAGCTGTGCTAGTTCTGCATAAAATTTTCAATATTGATTTATCATTAGCTTAAGTAAAGGTAAACCAGGCTTTCACAGATTCAACGGTAATTTATGTACTGGAATCATTCTGTTGCAGCTGAGAAGATGGGCTTCACATCAATCCGGCCATTTTATGGTCAAAATGGATCACTGGAGGAGGTTCTTGGTGGTCTTAACTTCGGGTCAACACAAGCTACGATCATGAACCAGGGACGCTACAGCCATCAGTCTCTCAACCAACAACTACGCCAGGTTTCCGAAACAATGCAGCTGTTGCAACTGCAGCTGAGTGAGGACACTGCTCTCCAATTTACAAAATCCTCCATCTTTTTCCTCTCCTTTGGCAAGGAAGATTACATTGAGCTATTCCTCCATAACTCTTCCGGTTCCAACCAAACGTTCCAGCAGGGTGCCCAATATTTTGCTACCATTTTGGTCAACCAAATGGCAAATGCTGCTAGGTATCTTTATAATGCAAATGCAAGGAAAATCACATGTTTGGGAATCCTGCCTTTGGGATGCACACCTCGTTTGGCGTGGCAGTTGAATAGCACGACATCAGCTGGAGATTATAATGCAAACGGTTGTGTGGAACATGTCAATGACATGATCTTTGAATACAATAGATTGCTGGATGAGCAAATAGACAAGCTTAATACAGAATTTACTGATGCTCAGATAGTGTTCTGTGATGTATACAATGGAATGATGGAGATTATCAACCGGCCAAGGCTTTATGGTATTTTTTTTTCCACCGCGTTTGAATTGAAGATTTTCCTATGCTGAATGTAAGTGTCCTAAAACAATTATACCAAGTGTTCTTTATACAGGTTTTGAAGATGTGAAGAGAGCATGTTGCGGACTTGGTTTGAATGGTGCCATGATAGGGTGCATCTCCGTGGACATGGCCTGTGATCAAGCTTCAACTCATGTTTGGTGGGATTTGTTCAACCCTACACAAACAGTCAACAAAATCCTAGCTGATGCAGCCTGGTCTGGCCAACCAATTGCCGATCTTTGTCGCCCTATCAGCATCCATGAGCTAGCTAGCATGAAAGTCTAGCATTTCCTACTGATTCATAATATAAAACACTACCTAAACTCCCTCAAATGGACAAGTGTCATAAACTAAAGTTTCAGAACAATTTGAAGGTAGCTATGTATAACTGTGTTTGGAAATATGAAGTAAAAATTAGTGAGTAAGGTGGAAACCAAACACACAACTTGGAAAGCCTTAGACTAACGCCACATTCAGTACAAAAATGCTACTGCACCACTGCTCGATATGCTTTGGAACAATTTTTTATTATAATCCACCAACGCAAAATGAGATCTGGTGCTGACATCATTTGTGTTTGTCCTCTGAAATCAATTTAAAGTATTCATTAAAATACTATATCCTTGGAAAGGGAGTAGTAAAGTGACGAGTAACGAGTAGAGTGACAAACCCTAAATCACAGATATTGATCCAAAATTCAAAATCCTAATTCATTTCGTCGTTCTCCATGGCTGTGAAAATTCAAACTAGTTTTTGTTTATCTACATCCTCCATTCCAACCTCAAAATCCAAACCCTACTCAAAATCGTTCACCGTCTCAGCCTCTAAATCCATCTCCAGCCGCAAGCTCCGTGCAGCAGTGATCGGCGGAGGCCCTGCCGGATCCTCCGCCGCAGAGGCTCTAGCTTCTGGCGGCGTCGAAACCTTCCTCTTCGAACGCAACCCGCCGTCCGTCGCGAAGCCATGCGGTGGTGCCATCCCTCTCTGCATGCTTGAAGAGTTCGACATCCCTCATCATCTCATCGACCGTCACGTGACTCACATGCGCATCTTCTCCCCTTCCAACATCGCCGTCGACTTCGGAAAAACCCTAAAACCCCACGAGTTCATCGCCATGCTCCGCCGCGAGGTCCTCGACTCGTTCCTTCGCTCTCGTGCGCACTCAGCCGGCGCCACCGCGGTCACCGGCCTCGTCACAGGCCTCGAGCTCCCCGCGGCGCCAGCCGCGCCTTATAAAATCCACTACACGGCCAACGGCTCCTCCCGGCGGTCGCTTACCGTGGACGTCGTGATCGGCGCCGACGGCGCCAACAGTCGAGTGGCGAGGGAGATCGGCGCCGGCGACTACGCCTGCGCTATCGCGTTTCAGGAGCGGATAAAATTACCGGACGAGAAAATGGCGCACTACCAAAATCTCGCTGAGATGTATGTAGGTGACGACGTGTCGCCAGATTTCTACGCGTGGGTTTTTCCCAAGTGCGACCACGTGGCAGTGGGCACGGGTACGGTGCGGTCGAAGAAAGATATCAAGGTGTACCAGCGCGGGATTAGGGAAAGGGTAATGCCGAAGATCAACGGTGGAAAAGTGATGAAAGTGGAGGCGCACCCTATTCCGGAGCACCCGCGTCCGATTCGGGTGAAGGGGCGCGTGGCACTCGTAGGTGACGCTGCAGGGTACGTGACGAAGTGTTCGGGTGAGGGTATTTATTTTGCGGCGAAATCGGGTCGCTTGTGCGGAAACGCCGTCGTGAAGGCCTCGGAGGGTGGGGAGAAGATGATCGACGAGTGTGATCTTAGGAGGGAGTACCTGAAACCCTGGGACGCCGAGTATGCTACCACGTTTAGGTTTTTGGATCTATTGCAGAGGGTTTTCTACGGTAGTAACGCGTCCAGGGAGGCTCTGGTGGAGCTCTGTGGGGACGAATACGTGCAACGCATGACTTTTGAGAGCTACTTGTACAAGAAGTTGGCGCGTGGGAGAGCGTGGGATGATGTCAAGCTTTTGCTGAACACCGTTGGAAGCTTGGTTAGGTCTAAAGTTGTGGAAACACGCATGGAGAGATTGATACTATGATTTTTAACGCCACTTTATTATTTGTTTATCTCTCTAGTTTCTTTGTGTTGTGACCTTCTTACAGAGGCACTTTGAATTTGAAGCAATGATCACTTCTTCAATATGTTTTCATCAAAATATCCCAATGTTTTACTTATTGATCTCATAATTCAAGGACTTGTCAAAGAAAGAATGAACTCATTTGTCCATCCAAATCACACATCGAAGACACTGTCCTTCAATCAATAAATCAAAAGCTTTGTTGATGTCCTTGAACTCCATCTCATGTGTGACAAACTCATCCAAATTCAGCTCCTGTAGATAATTGCAGATGAAACTTACTAAAATGAAGCATCCCGAAATCTTGGTATTACTCTTTTACATATTAATAGAGGGATTTGAGTAAAAGAAATTGCATAGTACCTTGTCCATGTAGCGTTTAAGGAGAATGGGAACATGAGACTTGGGTTTTAGTCCTCCAAATAAGCATCCCCTGAGGCTCTTCCCACTAACCAGTACCTCACTACAGCTAAGGTTCAACTTGGATCCTGGCTTGTCCACTCCCAGAACTATAGTTTTCCCCCAACCCTGTAGGCAAATCATTAGTTTTAACAACTCATGCATTCAACAACTATGCATCAGTCAAGAATTTATTATTAGAATTTGGGAATAGCAGTCAAGCCTGCTTCAAGAAGCACTAGGAATTTCAAACTTGTTGGCAAAAAAGAAAGAAAGTTATTGTTTGGGCACACTTTGAGAGCTATGTTGAGACCTTTCTACAAGAAGCATATGCTTCATTCATCAATGATGCCATACCAACACATTCAAAGCAATAATCTGCTCCCCCACCAGTCATCTCTATGATAACCTGCTCCACGACCACATATGAGAAGGAATTTTGAGGACTAGAGGCAATTAAATTAAATGCTCATTGGAAGCTAGAAGAGGATAGACCTGGCTCGCAGATTTTTCTCCACTTTCTCCAGATTGGACAAAGTCAGTGAGTCCAAACTTTTTTCCTGAGTTCATCAGAGATACAAATAAATCAATTACATAATTTGAGCACAATAATAACACAAACAAACTTATTTAAACATTCTTATTAAGAACATAAAGCATTACCAATTTCATATTTTTCTGGGTTGACATCCACACCTATAATCTTAGTTGCTCCACAAAGTCTAGCTCCCTCAGCAACCTATGAAACCATTCACTTGCAATGAGCTTTTCAGTGTCATAAACCACAAAACACAAACAAAACAGAGTTATGTGGACTCCTTACAGCTAATCCAATACTTCCCAGCCCAAAAATAGCAATTGTAGAGCCTGGCTCCACACCTGCTGCTATCCAAGCAGCACCGATCCCTAAAAGTGGAGGTTTAATCAAAATAATGGATTAGAGGCATGTTTTTGAATGGTGAATTCAAAAGTAAAAACAACCTAGTCTTTATTTATGACCACATATTTCAGAATAATTTATATATGAAACTGGTATAATTCCTTTCCATTCTTTTATTTAATGTTCGAATAGTTTAGGCAATTACCAGCTGATATACCACAAGTAAGTAGGCATGCCCTGTTGGGTGGTATTGCTTGATCAATCTTGGTTAGATGGGCAATGTCAACCACAGTGTACTCACTAAAACTAGAAACAGACAAGAAATGGTGTATGATCTCTCCATTTAAATCCTTGAATCTTGATGTGGCATATCTAGGCATCCAAGGAGACAACTCGAAAGGAAACTTTGAACAAAGATTGCTCTTGCTTGATTTGCAATCTATACACTCCCCACAATCAGATAAGAAAATTGGGACAACCACATCTCCTTTTGTAACTTCAGTTACATCCTCTCCTACGCTTTCCACAACCCTGGATCATGTCAAAATGGGCTGGAACATCAGCATCCGCTACTATAATATTGAATGAAACATGAAGAACAAATAAAATGTCTCAAGTGACAAAAATAAAGATAATTAGTCTTAGAATTTGTTCTAAAATATATGTTATGATTAGTGGTGTTAAATCATGTGAGGGCTTGTAGACATGCTTTGCTTTTTCTATTGAATCTATGGGAAAGTATAAATAAATAGTGGATTCCTTTTCTTACGAATGAGTAATTTTATCTAGCAAACAAAGTTATGGAATTAATAGAAGGCACACTCACCCAACAGCCTCATGACCCAAGATTCTTGGATAAACTGCAGGAGGGACCTTCAAAACACAGACACAAAAAGTTCTTAACAATAACCGTTGACTTGCAAGCAAAAAAGAAAGAAAATGTAATATATAGATCAAAAGAAAAAATGATAAAATAAATAAAAAATGGTGAAGAGAAGACATTGACTGAGAAAAATGTTTTAAATAATTCAATGAGAAAGACAACGACGGCAACCTGCATTTTGGAAAAAGAAACATCGGTATGACAGAGAGAGGTGCATATAACACGAATCCGAGCTTCACGAGGCATTGGAGGTGCCACAATGATCTCCTCAATACTCAGTGGAGAACCTGGCTTGCGACAAATCGCAGCTACAGTTTGCAAATAAAAATAAACAGATAATGTTAATGCATATGAAACATAAAAATAAACTTCAAACTGCTAAGAAACATGACACACCTTTACATCTTATAGGTTGTCCTTCAGTTGTTGCTGCTAGTTTATGGTCCATGGTGATCCAAAACACAAAATGTGTTCCAGTTAGTGTAGAGAGGATTTGGGAGCTGATCTATGAAACACTGTAAGATAAGTTAAGTTCACAGAAAAGGAATGTGGAAACTCAAATGGAGATATCTGAAACAGGGACAATTGACTGAACAAACCAAGCCCACCGACATTACCAAGTTCCGTTACAGTAGAATGGTAACATTTTCAGTGTGTCGCTCTCAGCCTCACGTACCTCATCTTTTACTCTTCTGTCTCAATTTTGTTTCAATTTTTGGTAAACTTGATTATGGAAGAATTTATTTTGAATAAGAAAGCTGCTTACAATATGAATAAAACAGTGAATGGAGAGTAAATATTGATTTGATTGTGTTTCTATTCTTAAAAACTTTTTTTATTTTATTTTAAAATTTGAAATAAATTCTTTAAATTTGGACTGAATTCAAATATTTCCTAATTTCTAGGACAAAAAAAATATAATCAAATTATAAATATTCAACTAGTTAGTAAAATAAAACTACTTTCAAAATATAAATAAATAAATTAAAAACTCATAGTCAGATGAACTTTATCGATGAGTGAAAAATTTTTACTTTCTGAAAATCAATTTGAGCCACTGGAAAACTAATTTTCTTCATCATGAAGATGACCTAAATAAGCACATGTACTATTTTAATAAAAACACAGCTACGCACGTGAACTATGTATAAAAAAACAATTTCATCCACTTCTAATAATGTCTATTTGGTTATTTACCAAAACTGGACTAACAATGTAAGTTAGATACTGAAAAAAAAATCATATTTTTGCATTACAGATGTCCAATTGGAATTTTCATACTATAGAGGGAGAGACAGGTATAAATTAAATATTACTCTGCATTATTTGTGGTCCATTTTGTTCTTCTCTGAGAACAATATCATTATTAACGTGGCTGCAAGTATTTTTCCAATAATAGGTTAATGATTTTATTGTTATCATTAACATTTAAAGGAAGATAAAAAGTAGAATTTAGTAACAGAAATATTGTAGGTTTACAACCTTTAGTAATGTATTATGTGATACGACATTTTAACGACGCACATTTGATGCAGCAACCTTCGTGATGAATAATGATTATAGCTTAACCTTCCTTATTTGATTTTCCATATGGAAATTAGATAATATTCATTACATAATTATCTGTCACCAAGAATAATTGGAAGCATTGATGGGTGACCATCAACTTAATGAAAAATAAAATAAAAAAATTTGGTGGGCAATCCACTGCTTTACATTGAACATGCTTTCATCATAACACAGTAAAAGCAGTGTCCAACGTTTTACTTATTGCTGTCATGATTCATGTGCTCAAAGCATCATTTGTCCATCCAAATCACACATCGGAGACTCTCTCCTTCAAGCAATAAATCAAAAGCCTTATTGATATCTTGAAACTGCACCTCATGTGTGACAAACTCATCCAAATTCAGTTCCTGTTGGTAATTGGAGATAAACTTGGCATCATGGCACTATTATTTTACATAGTTATTACTATATTAACAAAGGAGATAAAGTGAAACGACTAAAAAAACTTAACTAGAAGATATTGAGCATAGTACCTTATCCATGTAGCGTTTAAGGAGAATAGGTACATGAGACTTAGGTTTGAGTCCTCCAAATAAGCATCCCGTGAGGCTCTTCCCACTAGCCAGCACCTCACTATTATTAAGGCTCACCTTGGATCCTGGCTTGTCCACTCCTAAAACTATTGTTTTTCCCCAACCCTGTAGGCAAAGTATCAGTCAACAACTTTCAATAGGTTTGTATCATTTATTCTTCAAAACTATTACTAGTGTAAGTGCTACTTTTAGAGGATTTTCAACTTAGCACAAAAATAAAAAAAACTATTACGAGGGCTACTTTCAGCTGATTTTCAAGCTTTGTGCTAGAATGATCCTTGAATATAATGTAGTTATTGCTTTTATCTTGTTATTCTGTCTGCCTATAAACCATAGTGTAAGGCAGGATTGAGTGATAGATAGATAAATAGAGGGAGAGGGATAGAAAGAGAAAAGCAGAGAGACCTTTCTACAAGAAGCATATGCTTCTTGCACCAAGGATGCCATGCCAACACATTCGAAGCAATAGTCTGCTCCCCCTGCAGTCATCTCTATGATTATCTGCTAAACAACCACGCATGAGAACGAAATTTCAAGAATTAAGGCAATTGAATTAAATAAAGATTGGAGCCAAGAAGATAATAGACCTGGCTCACAGATTTATCTTCACTTTCTCCAGCATGGACAAAGTCAGTGAGTCCAAACTTTTTTCCTGAGTTCATCAGAGATGCAAATAAACCAATTACATAATTTGAGCACAATAATAACACAAACAAACTTATTTAAACATTCTTATTAAGAACATAAAGCATTACCAATTTCATATTTTTCTGGGTTGACATCCACACCTATAATCTTAGTTGCTCCACAAAGTCTAGCTCCCTCAGCAACCTATGAAACCATTCACTTGCAATGAGCTTTTCAGTATTCTAAATCACAAAACACAAACAAAACAGAGTTATGTGGACTCCTTACAGCTAATCCAATACTTCCCAGCCCAAAAATAGCTATTGTAGACCCTGGCTCCACACCTGCAGTTATCCAAGCAGCACCTACCCCTAAAAGTGGAAGTTTAGTCAAAATATTGAATTAGAGGAATATTGTTGAGTGTTGAATTCAAATGTAAAAACAGCCTTGTGATTATTTATGACCAGATATTCTGACGATAATTTATATTATGTAACTGATATAATTCCTTTCCATTCTTTTATTTAATGTTTGAATAGACAATTACCCGTTGATACACCACAACTAAGTAGGCATGCCCTGTTGGGTGGTATTGCTGGGTCAATCTTGGTTAGATGAGCAATGTCAACCACAGTGTACTCACTAAAACTAGAAACAGACAAGAAATGGTGTATGATCTCTCCATTTAAATCCTTGAATCTTGATGTGGCATATCTAGGCATCCAAGGAGACAACTTGAAAGGAAATTTTGAACAAAGATTGCTCTTGCTTGATTTGCAATCTATACACTCCCCACAATCAGATAAGAAAATTGGGACAACCACATCTCCTTTTGTAACCTCAGTTACATCTTCTCCTACACTTTCCACAACCCTGGATCATGTCAAAATTGACCGCAACATCAGTATCCGCTACTATAATACTAAATGAAACATGCAGAACAAATAAAATGACTCAAGGTGGCAAAAGTAAAGGTAAAGGTAATTAGTCTTAGAATTTGTTCTTATATCAATATTCAGATTACTAGTGTTAAATCATGCGAAGTCTTGGAAGACATGATTCGCATTTCTATTGAACCCATGCTCAAAATTTGAACACTATCTCACAGCTATTCAATCCTTTCTCTAGGGATTTGATTTAGAAAATTAGCTACTTCCGAGAAGTAGCTCTAAACAAATTTTGACCTTGTAACAGCATACCTAATTACAAGTAAACAAACAAAAAGGAACCGAAATATGAGACAGAAAGTAGAAACCATTTCTGTAAGGACTAAGGAATCAGGACAATAATGTTTGACCAAACATTTATACATTAAAAGCACAAAATGTATGCTGATACAGAAAGACCTTTCAAATTAACAATACAAACAAGTTATAAATAAATAGTGGATTCCTTTTTCTTCGGGATGAATAATTTTACCTGGTAAATAAAATTATGGAATTAAAAAGAGTAGAAGGCATATACTCACCCAACAGCCTCATGACCGAAGATTCTTGGAAAAATTGCAGGAGGGACCTTCAAAAAACAGACAAAAAAAGTTCTCAAAAGGTTTACATTGAAAAAAAACGAAAATGATGGCAAGCCAACCTGCATCTTCCAAAAAGTAACATCGCTATGACAGAGAGAGGTGCATATAACACGGATCCGAACTTCACGAGGCATTGGAGGTGCCACAATGATCTCCTCAATACTCAGTGGAGAACCTGGCTTACGGCAAATTGCAGCTACAGTTTGCAAACAGAGAAGAACAGATAATATATAAACATATATGCGTAACATAAAAATAAACTTGAAAACGCTAAGAAATCTATCTATGAATCATGGCATGCCATACCTTTACATCTCAAGGGTTGTCCTTCAGTTGTTGTTGCTTGAATATCTTCCATGGCCATCCAAAGCACAAGATGAACAGTCAATTGAATAAGTGCAGCAAATGCTTGGGAACTGACTTAAAAACTTTGGGTCAATGATGACTACAATGATATATATATATATATATATATATATATATATATATCATAAATTGCTGCATATGGAGGGAAATGGCTTACCAATACGAGGCTATAGTATAGGCCGTGGTTTTACCTCTAAAACGGAATATATTTATTTATAATTTTATGATGTGAATTTTATAATTTTTATATAATTTTTAATTTTATCTACTTAAATTTAATAATTATTTTACATATTTATTTATATATTTATTATCTTATCCTTTTATTTTTTGATACCATTCTTTTATATATATTTAATATTTTTTAATAATATATTATTTTTATCCCATAATCAATTGTGACAATTTGACAGCTACCATAAATGAATTGTTACCAAAAGTACGTAAAACTGGCAGATAAGAAAAACTTGTGGCCTACTGCCTGAGCACATCAACTTTCCAGTCAATGAATTTTTTATAAAATAATAATTATTATATAAATATATATATATATATATATATATATTATATTTAAAATTAATTTTAATGATACAATTTAAATTTTAAAAATATTTTTTTAATTTATTATTTCATTTATTTATTTATTTTATTTAAAATAAATTAATCAAAATAAATATTAACTCGATAAATGTCAAAATAAATCTATTTTAAAAAACATAATAATTTATGAAAATATTAAGTTTGATTTTTAGATAATTCATCAATATGCTGAGTCGGACATTTTTATTAATTTTTTAGTTTTTAAATACATAACCACAATTTTATAATTAAAGACTCATTAATGTTAATATTTAAAACTGTAATAATTATTTTTTAACAAAGTACCTAATTCCTCACTCATCAATGCACTATTAAAAATTTATAAATATTTAAATTTCATTAATGTGTAATGAATGACATAGTGAAAATTTTGTTTGAATTAAACTATTTATACATTTTTTTAACTTTTAAAATGTGTAATAAATGACATATTTCATATTTTGTTTTAATTAAATTATTTATAAATTTTCTTTAAATTCAATGATGTGATGGAACTTAAATTTTAATCATAATTGATTTTAGTGAAAAGTTTTTTTGTTTAATGTTGTTGCACCAAATTTAAATTTTAAACATAATTAGTTTTTATGACAAATATTTCTTATATATATGGTCTTACACCAAATTAAGAAGAGTGCATAGTTTTTTCTAATATTTTAAAGTGTATTTTTTATCTGATTAATCCTTAATTATTGAAAAATAACTAAATAATTTTTTAAAAATGACTTTTATTTTTATATTTTTTATAATACATTCATATATTATTATTATTATTATTAAAATATAATTTATTTTTATATATGGATTATATTATATTTAATTATAATACCTTATCACAAGTTTTATTCGACAACTCTAATAACCTCTTCCAAAGTTTATCTTCGAATACGGAAAATGATTTGCCCCTTTTATTAAGCAATCAATAACTAAGAAAACTACATTTCTTCTTCCATCTGAATCAAGCAACCTACTTTGCCATTTTTATGTTTGCTGGTCACCCTCTGGGTTTATTTTGTTACCAACAAAATTAGAAAAAAAAAATGAAAAAAAGGTTTTAATTTATGTTTGACATTTGTTTGTCCAAACTAAGCTTTTGATTCTTAACATGACATTTGAAAATTCCACTTGATCTAAATGAAATCATTTTTTAAAAATGTGTACTATTGACGAACTTAACACTTTTCACAATTTTGAAACTCGTTAACTTTACTCATTGACTTAGTACAAACACAGATCATGGACATATCTCGCTACACAAAGGTTTGAAGATTCCTTGTTAGATGCATATCACTTTGCTAATAGACCACACTGGGGTAAATTGTCATCATTGCTTTCGCTTCTAACTATGGTTAATAATTTATTATAGGCTATTACAATCAATAAAAGGTTAGAATATAATGAAAATAATAATAATAATTATTATTATTATTTAGATCAATAATTAGTAAAGATAAAAGAAATAAAAATTTTATTAATTAAAAATTATGAAATGATACTCCATTATGATTTTATTTTTAAAATAAATTTAAAAAGAAAAATATATATAAATCTCAAGGTCACGTGAAATTCATGAGTCTATCGAAAATCTTTTAAAAATCAATTTTTTTCTTTTATTGCGCAGTAGTTGATAATTACTTTTGTTTTCAATGACTAAAATACTAAAGTTGGATAAAAAAAAGAAAAACTATTTATAGTTTACATATTTTCTAATATTACATTTAAAGATAATAAATAATTAGTGTTAAATAAATGTTTCATGCAAAATCAGTTTAATTTTGAAGTATAATTACATCGGCCATGGAAGATATAATTAACCATTTAGTTCAATCACTTTATTTATTATAATTAAAATATTAAGTTAGTTAATACTAAAATATTCACGTACATTTTATATATATTGAAATTATTTATTAGTGTTTTTTATTATTTATCCGTTTAATATTTTTTAATTAAAAATGTTTTATTTAAAAAAAAAGTGTAAGGAATATTGTAAATTGAATTTATAAAAATAAGCAACATACACACTATTCAATCAGATATGATTTATTTTCCAAACTAAACCGCAATATTTTATTCTGATACATATAGAATAATTTTTCCCACCTTTTTTTCTCTAATTTATCCAGACTTGGTTCTCCTGGTCCTAATCTGAAATAGTATTTGCATGTTTTGGAGTTCCATAACAGATCTGAACGATAGATTTTCATTTTCGTGGGCAATGGGTGGCTTCACCGCTGAAGATCTGTCCACCATCGGCGGAATCGCCACCGTCTCTCTCCTCCATTCCTTCATCCCCACTCACTGGCTTCCTTTCTCCATTGTCGGTCGCGCTCAGAAATGGACTCTCTCCACAACTCTCATCGTCAGTACGTTCTTCATTTCATTACTCTTCTGTCTAATTGCGCAACTTAGGTTACCGACGTTTTTATTATAGTTTAGTTTTTGCTTTGGCATGTTTCTTGTTGTGTATGATGCGCGAATCTTCGTTAGGGTTTAGGGGCTGCGGTTCTCTGCAGCATTGTTCTGTTGCGGCGGTTTCTTGTTTGGATGTGTGTAAATTGAGTGAGACGAGAAAAGATTGTTCTCGTAAATGAGTTAAGTTGTATAAAGTTGAAATCTAGTGATCCGATTTTGAGTTTCCATATCGTCTTTTCCCTGTAGATGATATTATCTGGAATCTGGATGCATACAGCTTACACAATTGCTACATTCCCCTGCCCCCTTTTGTTTGCGTTTGTGTGTCCGTGTCCTTATCCTTATCCTTGTCTTATCTATGTGTAGAAATTAATTATCAATCATTCAATCTCAGTTAGCGGTTTGAAGTGGTCGACCACAGAAATGCTATAGCAATATAAGGAATAGCGAGATGATTGTTGTTGAATATTTTATATCGATATTAGATAATTAATTAAGGCTATATACATACTAGTGCTGGAAAAAAATATATATTCAAAATTCATAGTTAATAATAAGAATTGTTATACAAGTAGACCGACAAAAATAAGGACATAAGCAAGTGTAAGTCTCTAAGGCGTAAAGTAATTAAACATTAAATTTAAATAAAACTTGTTAATAGGAAACTTCAATCATCCTCTGAAAGATTTAAGTCTGCTTTATTATCGTTTGTTTTTCATTACTACTAGAGTTGTAGATCTCTTCCTCTTTCTCATTTTTAGTTTCTTCATCATTCCCTTCTATCACGTCTTGTCCCTTTACCCTAGTGCTTGAAAGCCTAAATGGAGCTGCCCTCTTCAATCTTGTTTTCTGCCTAGTATAGGTTAAAGGCTTATCTGCGCCAGTTGCATTCGCAGATTCTTTCCAAGTTGAGGTTTCATCATTAAAGATCAAATCACATTCAGCATCTACACCCATTTCTCTCGCTAACCACTTGTTACCATCATCAATTACATCATGACATTTAAACTTTTCTTTGGTTTAGTTATATTATACCCAATATAAACCAATGACTGAAAATAGCACCAACTAGAGCAATACAAATGGCAAGTCTGATTCGGTTGAAGCAATGGGACACATGGTTTCTGATCAGAATAATCAAGGATTAAGAAGGAGCTATAGAGAGAGAAACGATAACTGAAAATATGTTACTGACTATTTGTGATATCTTAGGATAAGGTTGCGGAAAAGGACAGGCGGACACTTTTATTCTGTTTTTCCCTGAATGGATTAGATTCCATATTTCTTATTAAGTATCATAATTGTTGTTGGCACACTGTTTGATTGCTGTTAGGAAATACAGATTTTTTTTACTGTGGATTTTGCAGTATCCTTAATGTATCTCTTACACAAGTCTTGCAACATTTATGCTCAAGCCTACCACTTTTATTCAAATAAATTTATAGTTTTGGAAAAGAAAAACAGAATGTTAGTTTCATAATGTTATAGGAAACTCTACAGAATTAAATCATTTGATATTAACTTACATGCTCACATTATGGCAAACTGCAAGACAAGCTCAATAATGGCAAGTTTTTACATTTTGGTGCATGTGATCCATACATGCTCCACTACTCAACTTAGTGCAAAATTTATTTGCATTAGTATTTACATGATTGTTTTTCTTATTGGTTAAATTTTAAAAAATGAATATTTTCTTACTAGGAGATGGTATTCCGTTTACCTTATGACTACTTGCAATTCAGCTATCTGATATTATTAGCTTCTCATTTGAAGTCCTATTTATGATTTATTCATTTTAACTAAACTCATCATTGCATTTATAAAGTGTCTTCTATCACTTCAATATCAAGATCAATTCTTGCATAGCCTACAAGAGAACTAAGGATTTAGAAAATAACTCGCTGGAGGAAATGGATGGTAAGGTTAACACTCTCATCTTCAACCAATGATTCGAAAAGTTTCTCTGTTCCTGTCTTAATTACAGTTGACAGCACTTTTAATTATAAATGCTTTAAAAAAAGCATACTGTGAAAAAGGAATGAGAGTGCTAAATATCGAAAGAAATTAAAAAAAATCTACTGTGAATTCAGAAACAAACACTGCTGTTTTTTATAGATAAATTAAAATAGAGCACACAAAAAATGAGCAAAAATATCAGAAACGAAATCTACTGAACAAATTTTGGACATGAATTAAAAACATCAAAACACGGAAAAATGGGAAGAGAAAGACAGAACAAAAGAGTTGGTTCCCACAGTGAGTGGGTAAACAGAACAATAGAGGAGAAGCAACAACAGGGGAAAACGGTGCAATAGAGATTGGGTTCAGAAGAATCTGTCACACTGTCTGGAAAATGCAGGTGAGAAGGCTGATTCACACATGAGGTCATCCTATTATATTTTCGTCAAGGGCTGCATTTGATGCTGGATCATTGCGCTTAAATGACTTAAAATACACCTTTTTCTTGACATGTTCAAAGACTATTTCTAACTATTTGTTTTGGAATCCCAGATGCATTTCATACCTCTAGAACAATTGGCATAGTGGTATCCTTACTTCTGGCACTTTCAACTCAGCTTAAGCAACTAAGGATTTCAATAAACCTTTCTGGAACTTATTATGGTGTTTGATTTTACCTTTATATTTATAGTATAAAGACTCAGAAGACTGTTCTTGGATTCTGTTGACAAAGCTTTCTAACCTTATTCATCTTCTTTCATGCAGCTGCTCTTGGAGCAATTTTGCATGTAATATCCACTTCACTGCTTGGTATAACAGCAATTACCATGGCAAACACCATTGCTGGGGAAGAAACAGTGCATAAGATTGCTTCACTTTTGCTTGTATTTCTGGGTGGTAGTTATATACTGTTGTTTCTAATGGGAAAGGGTGGCCATAGTCATTCACACAACCAACCGATGGAGAAAATGGCTGTAGCTGGGCTTATTCTTGTTCCTGCTTTGTCTCCTTGTGCTACAACTCTCCCAGTATTTCTTGCCGTTGGAAATTCATCTTCCATGATGGTGCTTGCCATTATAGTACTACTGTTCAGGTATGAGTCAATTGTCTTAAACAATAGGATTTTTTCCCTCCTGCAATTTTGTTCTTTGTTTTTAAATTCGTATAACTTTCGTCTGCTTCCATGTGCATGTTTGTGGATCTGTGTTGGTTTAGGATTATTTAAAGTGATATGTTATTGGTTGGAAGATGGTATCAGTGATTATCAATATTAAAAATTCTGATGTTGACCTTAACATGGAGTAAAGCAAAAGCCCCTAATAAATCTTTTACTTCATGATCATGAAAATTTGTTTTTACAATTGTAGAACTAATGAAATACATTATATTCAATATTGTTAAAACTGAACCAAAAAGTGACATTAGGTAGGGGCTAGCGAGATTCCAATTCAGGTTGAACTGTTTTAACTAGCTGGTTGAATCTGTAGGACATCATTCAAATAATTTTGCATGAAACATTGTAAAATTCATAAAACCTTTCAGGAAATAAACTTGTCTGCAGTTGCTTGACCATTTCCTTAGTTGAGATTGAATTGTAATCAGACAAGTATAATTGATTATTAGACTAATTGGGCTGCCTAATCTTATTTGTCTCGCCAAAAATTACTGTTGCTTGAACATTTGGCTACAAAGTTAGGAATTACTATGAGTTTTAAGTTGTAATTCACGTGGAAATAATATCAAATTTATATAATCTTTCAGAACAAGTGAACAGATTAAACCAGGTTGAGTGGTTTTAACAGGTCATAAGGTGTTTGAGTGTCAACTCAGTTTTGAGACTGAATTATTATTGGACAAGTGTCCAATTCATGGTTAAAACTGGTTGGACTGCTTAGTCTGGATTCTAGCAACAATTTCTCCATCTCTTGAACATCTTTTTATATCAAGCTATACTAATTCTGTAGTAAGACATCATGTGCTACAACCCTCTCTATTTGGTACTCAAATTATTTGAAATTTGAGATGCCACGCCATCCAAGCTGAACAAAGATGGTTAACAATTTCTCTAGATCCCTTGACTACTTTCTTGAAATTCAGGTTGCTTGATAGAATGTGTAAGAATCCTGCTTTCTGTCTTGTATTTGGATTTTGAATGCTGTTCTGCAATAAAAAAATCTTTTAGGGCACAAAATTTCTTAATCTGGATTAATGCTTGTTTGGTTGAGATGCCAATTAAGTTTTAAAAAAAAAGTTCAGATATACATTATTTTTACCAAGCTTCACACTTATCGCATTTACAGCACAATAACTGTGATGACTTCACTAGTAGCATTGTCGTTTTATGGAGCCAGTCAGCTGAAGTTTCACTGGGTGGAGCGTTATGACAAACTTCTTGTTGGTTCAGTGCTGTGTTTTGTAGGAGTCTTGACCCTACTTTTTCATGATCATGATCATGATCATGGAGACGTGATTTCGATTGGAGAGCACCACTCACATGCACATAGGATGATTATTTCCTTGTGAGATCTATAAATATTTTGTAATACCATGTTTGTTGGTTTCATTTTGTATCAGAAAGAAAAGGAAAACAAATGTTTTTGTTTAGGAGAATTGATCATCTTGGTCAAGTTTAAGTGTTTGTATACTGAGTTTACACTGAGAAGTTAATGAATATTCAAATTACTGGTTAATTTTGTCTACTGTTGAAAGAATGACCACTCCCAAATTTCCTTAATCTATATTATTGTGTTATTAAACATTGCTGTGTAGAGAGGTATCTTCAATCAAATATCATTTGAGGCTTTAATCTAATATCAACTGTAGTAATCTTGCAAGCCTAGAACTAGTGGATGTTATTTAGTTGAAACAAACAATATTTTATCAGTATTGATCCGTATAACTTGTTTACGTACGCAAATCGTAATTAAACTTTGTAATTTAGTTCATGTTTTTTTTAACAATTTTTTTGAGCAGATATCTAAACAAGTATCAGCGTCGACGCTTGTGGCGCTTCCTTTGAAAATTATATGGTTCGTTGGTATGTATGGTAAATCTTTCATTGGTCCACATAAATAAGTAATCACAATATATTTAGTTTGATCTTACTTTAAAATTTATTTTAGGTTTAATTATATATATTTTTAACCCTTGAAATTGAGGATAATTTTAGTTTGTCTTTCAAAATTTTAAATCTTATTTTAATCTTTCAAATTTTAGTATTTAAGGATTAAAATTACATTTTTATTAAATTTGAGAAATCATAATAATTTTTTAATTTGAGGGACTAAAAAATTATATATCTAGATTTTAAAAACAAAATACATAATTGTTCTTTTATTTATTTAAAATCATAGTCTGATTTGGTGTAGTAAAATAAATGATTATTTATTTATGTAAGTAAATAAATGGTTTATGATCTTAACGTAGAATAGTGGAACTTGTTAGGAAAGAAGAAAGGAAGTGGACAGAGGGAAACTTGGTACGATGGAAAAAGGAAATATGTGAGGGAGGTTCTTTGGGTAAAGATAAATAAATCGTTATAGTTAGTTTTTTTATAATGCATTAAAATTAAAATTATGTTTGTTTATCATTCAAGAATTAAATAGGATAGAATTCGTTAAAAATTAAAATAATATTGTCGAGTCTATAAATTTATATTTTACTGAAGGATAATACTTGGACTCTATTTAAAAATTTGGTTGTAAAATTAATTTTTAAACAAGTTAATTTGAACGTCATTTTATATCTTAAAAATTAAGTTTAACGCATAAAGAAGGTAAACTCCAACCTTATAAACTATAACTTACTTTTACCATCATTTATCATTTATCCACTGAGAGTAGTAATTTTAATTTTAGAAGTTTACATGAAATAATTTGTTAAATAAACTATTAACTTAAGTCAAACTCTAAAAGAAAATCCGATCAAATATAAAATATTAATCTAAAACACTAAATAGACATTTTTTTTAATTGGTCAAGCCTATTTAATTAATGCATTCAATCTATTTTAACCAATAAATATATTGTTTATTTCCATTGAATGTAGTATATATAAAACTGAACATATATTTACACAGTGTTATCAATTATTGTATTTCTTAAATATCATTGATAATTAACATCAATAATATTTATAAATAGAATATATTGATTAATTTTGATAAATTTAAAATTTATTCCCTAAACTTATTACTTTATGAGTCCATGTATATTAAAATTATATTTAAAAAAAAATAATAATAATAATAATAATAATTACGTCATTTAATACCTACATATTATTTCAAATGACACATTAAAAGTTTTGTTATTTCATTAGTTTCTAAAAAATAGTCTATAAAGTGTATTTTACAATTGAAAAAATTAATTGTATATCAATATAATATATTCTTATTTCTCATAAAAAAATATAATATATTCCTAGTTTTTTTATATATTCCTATCGATAAATTATAATCTAGATCATATTTTTAACTAGACAAATTTAAATATATATTAATATGAAATGCATAAAAATTTATAGCTTTATAAGTAATACATACATTAAAAACTATTTAAAAAATTGAATTAAGTAACATGTTTTGATAGACACTAATATAATGTTCTCTTCATTTTTATTTAAAACAAATTATTATGAATTACTTTAAAAGTATTAATACATTGAAAAAATATTTATTTTCAATCATTATTATTAACCACAAAACATTTTAAAGAATTGAATTCTTAAGCATAAAATAGTGTGGGAATTCATGTCGGTTTGACACCGCGCATCCGAACATCATAGTAATAATTAATGTTATTAAATCAGTATTTATACAAATTAATATTTTTGTTAGGTTTTTTAATTGTTATATTGATTAAATATTATATACAATTAATGCTATACATTCAGACATCAAAGGATTAATAAATGTTATAAATTAAGTATTTGTGTAAATTAATATTTGTTATATTTATTAATTGTGTGTGAGAAATACCAATAGTTACTACGAAATTTAATACCATTATATAATCATTATTTTTTTTATGAATTTTATTATTGATTAAAAACTTTATCTTATAAAGCATATTTTCAAATAGAAAAATTTTAAGAATATATTATCATAATATAATATTCTCAAATTATATTGTTAAATATTTTATATAAATTATTATAACTTATTTTAAAGTTAATTATACATTTAAAAATTATTAGTTCTATTTATTATTCATAAACACATTTTAGATTAATCAAATATGACTCATAGAATAGACTTGAGAATAAATATTAATTTATTATTTAATTTTATTGATATAATTTCTATAAATAATTTTTTATAAAGGATTAGTTTATGTATTTTTTATCATTATTAATTTATGTATTTATTAAATTTTAATTTAATTATATTTTTAGGTAAAATATTTAATAATTAATTTAAAAAATTTAGTATACTTTATTAAATTATTGACTTTTCATAGTAGTTTATGTATATTAAAAATTATTACACAATTATATATATATATATATATATATATATATATATATATATATATTAAATTATACATTAAAAATTTACTATTTTCTTCTCATTTAAAACGAATATAAATTAATTTCGAAATAGAAAATTATTCACATTAAGGTAAACTATAGAATTTTAAAATTATATTCTAAAACAAAGTTTTAAAATAGAGAAATTTGAATATATATTATACAATTTCTCTCTCTCTCTCTCTCTCTCATATATATATATATATATATAAACTTATTTATTACTTAAAAAATATTTTAGAAATATATTTTAAAATAGTGAATAAAAGAGTAGACTTAAGGAGAACTATTAATGTAATGTTTAACGTTTTTAATGTAGTTTTATATAAATAATTTTTTGTTATATGATATCAATTGAAAGTATGACTAAATGTAGTATAAAATAATCATTAATAGTATTATTAAATCAAATATGCTAACATTCAATTTTATCTGATAACTTTATTAATATATTTTATTAATTCATATGATATACATAGTTGATTTTTTTACTATGAATAATCAAATAAATAATTAAAACCATAAATGTTATGTAATTGATAGCATATTGCAGGCAAAAACATTAAATTAATATTTAAGCCAACGAGTATCGTACATAAAACTATAAAACCTTAATCGACTCGTCTTTTATTTTTTCCAGTTTTATACAAAACATTTATATAAAAAAGAAACATTTTTCCTTAAGAAACATTTTTAATCACAAAGGTTAAAAATTAAAGAGATTAATTCTAAAGTAATATCATAATTTTTAGAGATAAAAATATGGTTAAAGTATGGAATAATCTTTATTTAAAAATAATAACCATGGACTAAATAATAATTTTTTATTAAAAAAATTATAAATCAATATCTTTATCCCATTAATGTATCATCAATATCTTCTTTTATATAATTATACACGTCCATCTTAAAATTTTATCATTCTCACCTTATTTTTTTCTATTTTCCCTTTAAAACTCGACATTTACCACGTAAAATATAATTAAGTATATCATAATACGATAAAACTTGGAAATGCATGTACTCATAATATTTATTAATAATTTTCTCCTACATATTTATTTAGTTTTCATCCTTATAGAGAAAGAATCTAATATCCCCATATTGGATCTAACTTATGTGAAATGAAGTTGTGACAAAAATTAAATATATTTATAACATTATTTAAAGTTGGGTGAAAAAAAATAATTAATTAGTTAATTAACCGGGATTAATTTACATTATCCTCTAAACATTTTCTCGTTACTTTATTATTATTATTATTATTAATTATAACTTTATTAACTTCTAGAGTAACTAAGATACGCGTTTTGATAATTTTAATATCTAACAAGCAAATAATGAGTACTGAGTCACTCTGAATTTAATTACCATTTTTATATAAGCTTTGGAGCAATATTATAAATATAAATAGGTATAAGTATACAAATTCATTTTCATAATAAAAACTCAGTTTTTTTTTTTTTTTTTTTCACATTCATGATGAATCATTTTTTGTCTCCAAATAGAGAAATGGTTGAAAAGAATGGAAGCATTCGTAGGGATGATTGTTACAATCAATCACTTGGGGTTAACTCAGATATGCAACAGAGATCTAAGAATTATCCTCGTCTCATCAATTTCATGCAAGGTATACCAATTTTTTTTATTACTTTTGATATTTTCTTATTCAAGTTCAGAACTTTTGTATTTTATTTGATTTTTTATTTTTTTTATGTGGTGAATGTAGGGAAGAACCAAGAGAACAACAATGTTGAAGATGTGAAGACTCAATCTATGGTGGCTTATGCCTCTTCTTCTACCAACAACATCAATGCATCACTAACAACAAGATATGGTCAAGTGTTGCCTTTGGCTCTTTCAAATGCTCCTCCACAAAAAAATGGTTATCATCTTTTGAGTCATCCTTCACAAATAGACTCAATGAAAAATTTCATGCAAGGTATGTTTCCATGTATGACTTCTAACTAAACATTGAAAAACAAGCACATGGTTGGTGGTATCATGTTTTTAAAGACATAAACTTGATTATAATTTTATTTGAATTGATGAGATGAGATGTTAAATGCAGAAAATTACCAACAACAGAACAATGTTGTGGATGTGAAGACTCAATCCATGGCACCTTATGGATCCTCCTCCTCCTACTCCTCAAAAAACACCACCAATGCATCATTAATGGCAGCAACTGGTTATGGTTACTGTAATGTTGATCTTTTGAACCTTCCATCACACTCAAATAAAAATTTCACATTCAATGATGTTGGTTTACAAGGTCATCAAATAAGTGGTCTTCCAAGTCACCCATATGGAGCAGGTTCTCTGTATCCAAATCATCAAAGGAATAATAACCCCTTCATGTTTAACTGCTTAAACCCTCTTCCAAGGGTTGACACAACTAATTTTCATGGTATGAAAGATATTCTTAAGCCAGGTTTTGTGCCTCCAATTCAAGTTCAAGATTTGGACATAGTTTCTCCAAAGGATTTAAGTCGTGAGAGGGCATTGAAACGTCCCTTGTGTGCACTTCAAGACTTTGACATCATGGCAAGTGCTTCAAAAAGGCCAAGGATGGGTTTTACTTCTCCTAATCATTATGAAGGAAAACAATCTGGGTTGAATGAGTTGCTTCATTTTAAGGATCCATCTTCTACCTTCAAGATTAAAACTCATGCAAAGGAGAATACAGATAAGAAAAAATTAGATCTTTCACTGCACATTTGAATTATATGTTGTACATTTTCCTTTTGTTTTAATGGGTGTCTTTAATTCATGTTCTACAATTATATACATGCTTGTAATTCTCAAGAGTAAGATTTTTTTTTTTTTTATATGTATTTGTTCTTCTTAAACAATTAATAGATGTTTTGTTGTTTTCCGTTTCAATTATTCTTATAATTAACTGTATATTTATTTATTCACATTATGCTTACAAAACTTTTTTTTTTCTCTCACTCGGTAAAAATGCTAACTTTACTTTAGAACAGACGTAAAAATTAATATATTTAATTAATTAGGGGTACAAAATGGGTATAGAGAGTTCTACTTGGCCTATCTCCAATAAAAATTCTCTGTTATAATCTAGTGATTTTAATTAAAAAAATGCTTTGAAAACTTCATAAATATTTAAAAAATAAAAAAAACTTTGCATAAGTTAAAATGAATTTATATAGCAGCGAATTCATATAAGAATTTTTATTAGTTTTTTAAAATATATTTTTTATGTTGTATATAAACTAATTTTATTTTACGAAAAAATATTAAAAAAACTTATATTTAGTAAAAAACTTACCTTCGATGTAATAATTCTTTAGGAATCATGATCTACTTTAATGATATTATTAAACAAAATATATTAATTAAATTAACGAATTGAATATATCTATTTTTATGCATGTATTTTAAAAAATATACATTTGAATAATAATTCATTATTATGTTTATATTAAATTATAGATTAAAATACAGTACTATTTTAATTATAGTAAAACAAAGTTTATAAGTATATATTTGAAAATGGAAAAAATTAACTTTATATCAATTCAATATTTATAAATTTTTAATTATTATTTATAATAGAAAGATTGAAATATTAAAAAATTCTTATTGTTTGACTGAAAAAGTATATATATATATATATATATATATATATATATATATATAATATGTACTACATTTATTTTCTATTTCTAAAATTAATAATAAACTGTATTGTTTAATTTTAATAAATATAACGTATATTTATTAAATACTTGAATTACCATATGAGTAAATGTATATTAGAAATACAAGTAAAAAGTATGTTATATATATATATATATATATATATATATATATTAATATTGTATATATACTAAAATGAAATAATATATATATATATATATTAATTATGATAAAAAAATTAAAACTTATCTAAAGATAAAAATATTAATAAAAATATTATTATCGTGAGTATAAATTTTTATATTTATAGTATGTGAAATATATTATTAATAAAAAAAATGTTAAAGTAAATTACACTTGTTATATACGTTAACAAATTACATTTGATATTTCTTAATTATTTTATTCTATAATTATTATTTGCACCTGTGTTTTATCTGAATTATTATATAAAATTTAGTGAACTTAATAAATATAATAAAAGTATATTAAATTAATATAAATTAATTATGATATTAATAAATTATTAAATATAATGAAATTATATATATATATATATATATATATATATATATATATTTCATTCTTTTCCTACTGAAACTCAATATGTACCATCATGCGCAAAAAATATCAAATTAATATTGAAATTAACTATTATTTATTACCTAAATTTGGATTGAGAGAAAAAACTAATTTCTTAAAAAAAGTATATTTTAAAGTTAAAAAAAAAATAAACAAGAACACTTGATTACCTCAGAATTAATTCCTATTCACCAAAAATCATAATGTCAAATGAAAACTCAAAATTTAGTTTAGTTGATTGAAATTACTTTACAATAAAATTTTCTGACTCATACACATGTTAGATTAATGTTTTAATTGAATTAAAAATTGATTTGACTCTTAAAATGTCATGGTGTACCATATTCATTATTTTAAAAAAGAATTTTTAATGAATTTTGAAAAGATGCAAAAGTATTAAATTTATAATTTACATGATGATCATTACTTGTTGTTATCTGTAAAGAAGAAGGTGACAGAATGGTTGAAGAGTTTTGGTGACATTTATTGTGACCCCACAATATTGAAGGAGGAATTTAGAATTAGGGTTGTAGGAAAAAAAAAAAAGTAAAGCATCAATTGGAGACATGACCCAGAAAAGATGATGAAGCCAAGAAACTAATCACATGTCCACATTTCATACACTTTTCTTTTTCTCCTCTTCTCGTCATCTTCCACTTTACCACGTTATCCCCCTCACCTTTTTTGTAAATCTTCAATATTTCATATATTAATGTGTTTTATATAATATTATTTGTGTATTTTAGTTCCAACACATTTATTTATAAGTAAGTACATGGGAACATTAACCTTCAACCAACAAAATTTTAACTTTGTTTATGGTCAAAGCTTTGAATGTCTTTCTCCAAACTTTTAACCAAATAAACAAATAAACTTGTACCAGTTTAGACACTCACATAACACCTTTTTGCTGATAGCACTGAACTGTATCAGAGAACATTAAACCTCAACCAACAACACCATAAAGCTTTGATTTTTTATTTTTTTTTATCTCTTCGAATAAATAAATAGATATAAGAATTTAGACACGATTTTAGATGAAAAATGAACGATGGAAAAATAGATGCCTTTGAAAAGAAAGATAGTACGATTTGCTTTCTTGTGTATTGAATTTCGAATGCTCCAAGCGCGTGTTCTCACGCTCCACTTTCGGCAGACAGTGGGACCCACGTGGAGGTGGCATCACTGAATCACTGTGTTCTCCTATGTTTCTTTTGCATGGCAGTAGCCATGGTAATAAGATTCATTACATTACATTTACTTTATATTATTCTCTCTTTTCTCTCTCTCTCTCTCCTCTGAAAATTCTCAAATCCGATTTCTGTCAATGATTCTCTTACATGGGTCTTTACTGAAATCCAAGTTCATTTTGTGCAGCTTTGCTTCACTGCAGCCTTGGTAGTTGGTACCCACCAAATTTATCATCTTTTTACAAATTCCAATTTTCTTTCTTGCTCTTTCACTGTGATCTCTGCATAATGGGTACCCTCCTTGTTACTGTTACACAATTTCATTTGTTTGGGGGTTTGATTAAACTTTTTTTTTTTTTTTTGCTAATTCCTAAAATAAATTCTCTCTTTCTATTTTGTAGTTGGGTTATCTATCCCCCCCCCTTGAAATTTGTCTCCTTTGTTGTAAAATTCGTTGCTTTCTGCATCTCCACTCATTCACCCACGGTGTGTGTCTCTCATTGGGTTTTGAACACTGTCTTTTGCCTTTCAACTTCAACTTTCAACTCCTGCTGTCTTTTTGAGTAGTGGATGCTTTTTTTCTATGACTGTTTTGGAGTTTGAGCTGATTTTCCCTCTTCAATTGTAGCTGCTGTATGCTGTGGTTTCGCTAGCATTGTTTTCTTCAGTATATTCTTCAGATCAGATGCAATTTGTTTTCTTGTGTGTCCAGATGAGAATTGATGGTGACATTTCATAATTTTGACGGTTATCATCTCCACCAGTTGTTTAGACTGTCTGATTTCTTGTTTCCTCATTGTTTTGCAAATACAATTGTGTTTCTGTGTATCTAAAGAAGAGATCTGTGATCTGGATTATTATGCTAATTCATTCACTGTTTGATGAATTTACAGATAGAACTTCAGTGAAGGACTTCCATAAAGAGAAAGTCAAGTTCAACTAGATTTGACATAATGGGGGCCTCAAGCTCCAAAATGGAGGATGACAAGGCACTGCAGCTATGCCGTGAAAGGAAGAAGTTTGTGAGACAAGCACTTGATGGGCGTTGCTCACTAGCAGCTGCTCATGTTTCATATATTCAATCTTTGAAAAATACAGGAACAGCTCTGAGAAAATTCACAGAACCAGAGGGACCAATTGAGCCTTCTTTGTACACTAATGCAACACCAGAGCAACCACTTGCTTTAACTGAAAGGACCCTCTCATTCTCTTCACCATCCGTGTCACATCACATGGATGCAGCTGAACATGAAACATTCTCCCCAACTCCCTCCCCTCCTAGTTCTTCTAGTAAGTTCCGAGCGAATCATATGAAACATAGCACTATTTCTTCTAAGAAAGTTGAAGAAAGACCACCTGTACCTGTTATAGGAATAGTAACATCATCAGGTACTGCTACACAGAATGCCAGTGTAGCATTTGAAGATTCTTCTCTTCCAGCTGGAACACCACAATGGGATTTTTTTGGTCTCTTTCATCCCATTGACCATCAATTTTCTTTTCAAGATGGGAAGGGTATGCATCAAGATATTGGGAATGCTGATGATATACAAAGACTAAGGGAGGAGGAGGGAATTCCTGAGTTAGAAGATGATGAAGACAAGTCTTCATCTCATGGAAGGGATCAGTCTAGGGACTCTGAAGATGAATTTGATGAAGAGCCTACTGCAGAAACTCTAGTCCAAAGATTTGAAAATCTAAATAGAGCTAACTCAAGTCATGTTCAAGCAAATGCTGTACCTGCCACAACTAAGCCTGTGTCAGGACATTCAGCTTCTGAAGTTGAATTAGTAAATGGAGAGAAGGGGAACTCTGCTAATTTATCTACATTAAAAACAGCACCTATGGCAGCTTTGCCTCCACCTGAAACAAATAAACCAATAGAGAAGGAAAGTCATAGTGAAAACACGGTTACCCCGAAGAATTTCTTTTCAAGCGTGAGAGATATAGAACTGCTCTTTAATAAAGCTTCAGAATCTGGCAAAGAGGTTCCAAGGATGCTTGAAGCAAACAAATTTCACTTTCGTCCAATATTCCCAGGAAAAGAAAGTAATCTTGCTGTCTCTTCTTTTCTTTCTATATGGCTGTGAATCAGTTATCATCTGGGAATATTAAATATTAGCAGCTCTTACTTTTTAGTCCAAGTAAAATATAACGATTAGATTTTTAATGACAATTTTCCCCCCATATTCTTTCCAACACTTAAGATACACTCTAGACACTTGGCCAAAAATCGAAAAGGAATATACCGTAGAGCCAGACAGACACTCCTTGGATGAATGTCCATTAACTAAGATTATGGTACATTACATATTTTACTAAAATATATTGTTTATATCCTTGAGTTTGAAAGAAAACTTCACTTTCTGTTTCAAAGAAGCTTTTGGATGTTTCTTTTCATTGTTGTGTAATTTATTTCAAAATGAAATGCTTTAAAATTTTAACCATAGAATTCTTATTTGTAACAGATGGTTCTGCAGTGTCCTCCCTTTTGAAGGCATGTTTCTCATGTGGAGAAGACCCAAGCCAGGTTCCAGAAGGTAACTTGAGTCATTTTTACTGTTTATCTTTGAGTTTTGCTAGACATTTCTGACCTTGTGGGGTTGAACCAATCTTCTTTTAGTTATGAAACTGAAAGTATTCCCTCAGAGAGTACATATTTTCCTCAGCAGGAGTGATGCTAATTGCATATCCCATCATTAAATCTGCCTATTTGTTGGTGTTGAATATTCTATATTCTGTGGCGTAGATATGCAACTAATGTTGTTCATTTCCTACTTATTTTGAAGTTCATTGAGTTCATTTCCTTTTAAATACTGCAACTTACTAGTGTGCCATTAAAATTGAAACTCATTTCAGAAGATAAGGTTATACCAGACCATCTGATAAAGTTTTTCCTTTCTTTTTTTTTTTTTTTTTAATGTAATTTCTATGTTCATTCCTGTGTTTTTGAAACCTGTTTTTTGACTTCAACATCTAACTTTTCCTTTATTACATCTTCCTAGAACCTGCCCAAAACTCGGTGAAGTACTTAACTTGGCATAGGACGGCATCATCCCGTTCCTCCTCATCCAGAAATCCGTTAGGAGCAAATTCAATCGACAATGCTGAGGACCATACAAATAATCTCTTTGATAGTTCTTGTATGATCTCTGGAAGCCATGCATCAACCATGGATAGGCTATATGCTTGGGAAAGGAAACTCTATGATGAAGTGAAGGTACAGTGTTTTTCTTATCAATAATTTTGTCAACCTCTGATTAATTTCGGAATGTTACATTTTAAAAATAGTATGTTCAGAACTCTTGTTTTGGATATTTAGACCAAACCCTGAAGTGATCTGTTGACAGTAAAATATTTTGAATGCATAGGTTCATGTCTTATCCTCTGTCTGTTTGCTAATATCATTGTTTTTTTTTTCTGTGATCAGGCTAGTGAGATTGTCAGAAAAGAATATGACATGAAATGTAAAATCTTAAGACAACTGGAATCAAAAGGAGAAAAAACCTCCAAGGTTGATAAAACACGTGCTACAGTCAAGGATCTGCACTCAAGAATCAGAGTTGCAATTCACAGGATAGACTCTATATCAAAGAGGATTGAAGAATTACGGGACAAAGAGCTTCAACCACAACTTGAGGAGTTGATTGAAGGGTATGCTTCTGTAGGTTTTTCTTGATTTGTTGACTATCTATTTCATGCTGACACGTATTGCTTTGAGTATACATTATATATCAGAGTGGATAAACGATGTTCCAAGAAGACCAAACACGAAATACCATAAGAAGAAAGTTTATTAGCAAGTTTCTATTTATATAAAGTTGCTATATTTGATAAATTCATCTGGTGACTTTTTTTTCTATCGAAACTATGCATTTTCTTAACAAAAGTCAAATAATCAAAAGCCCAACTCCTTAAATACATTATTATGTTTTTGTGAAAGTCATTCTATATCAAGCTCAGGTGACTGAATTACACCCTTTTTTAAATTCTTATCAATTTTTTATAGGTCATAGAAGATCCTTTCTATTATGAGTCATGTGTCATTGATCTTAGCCAGTGGTGCATATCGAGTCCCCCTATAGTGTCTTTTATGCACGTAAAACATAATAGAGTTTTCTACCAGAAGAGTTTAGACATCAAAACCCTCTTTCTTAATTAGGAGTAACATTATACTTAACTTTTATTAATTGTTTATTCAAGATTGATGGCTTTCTAACCTTTCAAATTAGTTTATTGAGATTGGATCTGTAAGCAACTTATGTTTTCATAGTGACAGAGATGGACGGTTCACACACGTGAATTTACTTTTGTTGATTGAAATGAACCTCCTGCTTGTGTATTTCATCAGTTTCTGTCATGCTTTGTTGACAGGTTGCATAGGATGTGGGAAGTGATGCATGAATGCCACAAACTTCAGTTTCAAATCATGTCAGCAGCATACAACAACAGCCATGCTAGAATCACCATGCATTCTGAATTACGTAGACAGATTACTGCCTATCTTGAAAACGAACTCCAATTTCTGTCATCAAGCTTTACCAAGTGGATTGGAGCTCAGAAATTCTATCTGGAGGCTATACGTGGATGGCTTCACAAATGTGTTCCTCTTCAAGAAAAATCATCCAAGAGAAAAAAGAGGCCTCAATCTAACCTTCTTATCCGTTGTGGTCCTCCAATATATGTCACCTGCGAAATCTGGTTGAATAAACTCAGTACCTTACCTGTAAAGGATGTTGCAGATTCCATCAAGAGTTTGGCGGCAGATACTGCCCAGTTCTTACCACACCAAGACAAGAACCAAGGAAAAGGTTCTCATCCTCATATGTCAACATGGAAGGCTGATATTGGTGGTGAATCAGCCGATGGTTTATTGACAGATGATGTATCAGAGGACTGGGTAACAGGCCTTGATCAATTTCGACGAAGCTTGATTCGATTTCTTGGTCAATTAAATAATCTGTCTGGTTGTTCAGTCAAAATGTACAAAGAACTCAGGCAAAACATTCAGGAGGTAAAAAAGTATCAGCGTTTGAATTCTCAGTCTCAAAACGGTAATTTGAATTCTCAGTCTCAGGATGATGGTCAACAGAATTCTGAATCTCAGAGTTGATCCATCAAAGTCACAATCTCAAGTGGTATAGCCTGAAAATAAGCATCCACATGATAAGAGAATTGCGATGAAACATTGTGGAATTGCAGAATTACAGCTTTGTGTTTAGCATACAAGTCCACAGGATGGAGCATTTGCACATGGTAGGATGTAATAACAGATTGCCACACTTGTTGTTCATTTAGTCCTTTTGGGGTTCAAATCAAGAAACAGCCTCTTTGTATATGCAATGCAAGGATAAGATTGTGTACTACGACACTCTCATACCTTCACAAAGCGAGGAACCTTATGGCAATGGAGTAAGAGCTGTGAGTACTGGTTTCTGATGGTGAAGATTTGAGTGCAAATTTTGGCTAATAAAGATTTCTACCATGACATGTACTCTCCTCCTTGATTTTCTTTGCTACTGTCATTTTTTCATTTATGTTATGTGTATATAGTTATTGGTTAATAATATAGTAAGATTTTTTTGCAACTACAACGTTTTTGTATCTGTATTTTTATATTGAAAAGGAAGAATAAGGGATAACATGACAAAGAAACCATTAAAACAAGTCCAATACCGAGGATAATGTCTCAAAAAGTGTTTATAAATTTGATTCTGCATAACTGCTTTTAAGACCATCAAGTCTTCTTTTTAGGCACAGAAATATTAAAATATTTATTAAAAGAATAACAACATCCTTTATCTCTGCATTCATGCTGCAATTTTCGATGACTAAATGTTTGCATCTTCAACGGTAATATTATGACATAACACACCTCCTATGGAATGGTACTAAAAGTGATTCTTATGCTAAAAAGATGTGGACTAGTTGTAGAACGAGAAATAATTAATAAAAAAGTTAGTGTTTTTTTAATAATATTATTTTGTTTGTTAATTTTGAAAATAATAAAAAAGTTGTCATTTACTATTAGCTCTCCTGTACTTTACTTTCTATTTCTATACAAGAAAAAAATAATTAAAATATAAAAAGTAATATTTTCTAAAACTAGTGGTGAAAGTCAAATAATATATTATTAATAAATAATAAATAAATATAAAATGAAATAAGAAGATGAAAGGATAAAATTGTAAATATATACTAAAATATATTAAATGATCATTAAGTTTGAGAGTGACAAAATCATAAATTATACGAGAGTTACAAACCGAGGAGGGGTTGAGAGGATAAAATTGTAAATATACAAATAAATATATTAAATATTCATTAAGTTTTGGGGACCAAAATCATAAATTACAGTAGAGTTACAAAATTTTAGGGTGACCATGACCTCCTAAGCTCCTAAGAATAGATAAATTTTTATTTATATTTATTTTTTATTTTTGAAATAGACATTTTTTATTATGTTCTTCTCAAATAATAACTACACTTTTTACTCTATTTTGTATTTTTTTTCTTTAATCATCTTCTTAAAGCAAATTTTAAGACTTTTGGCTGGACTCGACATTTATGTAATTCTTGAGCAAATTTTAAGATTAAATATTTTAAAAGTAATTAACGTGTTATTAAATTATTATAATTTTGTTTAAAATTTATTTTCATTTTACAGAATATAAAAATATTATTTGTTTTTTAATCAATATCTAACTCATTTTGTTTAATTTTTTGAAATATTTTAATTTCCGGCAATATTTTATTAAATTTAGTTTTGCAACACTTAATTAATGAAATATTACAGATCAGGACCGTGTCTTTTAAAATAAGGGATTCATTAAAAATAAATAAATTGAGATGTGAAAAGAATTTATCGTTAACATCAAACATTACGAGTTCAAGTAATGGAGAGTTCAACGCAAATGCAACACCCCAAAGTTCTTCTGGTTAGGTATAATTAAGAAGGATTCTCATCTAACGTTAAAAAAAAAGGGGTTAAATTAACTCTTTGTACTTAATATACATTGACTTTAATCTCAAAATATTGTTAATGTAAAATAGAATTATTATCCACCAAACAAAAATTATAATCAATATATCAGTCAACGAACTCATTATTATTATAATAGAACCAAAACAAGAAAGCAACTAATTATGCACGCGGTTGTGGAAGAAAAAGAAAAACTTTGCAATCACTTCCTCACCCACACCGTGGAAACAGTAAATGCTGAAATATTAAGACTTCTCTTCCAAGTCTACATGTATACACTCATTACTCAACCACCCACCAGACAAAGTGAAAATTCAATTCAACCATTTCTTTGAGCACATAAATTCCACCAATTGATTTCCCAAACCCTGTTTTTTGTTGTATAATTTTACAAGTCTATGATAATCGGGCTTTGGTTGCATAATCACGTTAACTAAAAAATTTAATAAGAAATATAAATTATCTTTATTTGCTCGGTCACCTCTTATACTAAAAATAATTCATTCATGTCGCTGTTTGTTTCAGTCAAAAAAGAAGCTAATAATTGTCTCTTTTACTCAACTGTGATAGAAACTAAATAAATAGTTAAATGCAATTAATAAAATCGCGAAATCAGGTCTTTACTGTATTATTTTTTATGATATCTGAAAATTATAATTACTATATTATTTGAAATATAAACAGTGTATAATGTTTCGGTTTTATCTCTAATAAAACACTAATAAATAATAATAATAATAAAAAAAAGACAATCTCTGTTGTCCACTTTTTTCATGGCCAAGGATCCACCTTGTAGTCGCAACTTTTAGAAACAATCTTCGATTGCGCCGTTAACTCATTCACCGTCACGTCACAGTCAACCTTAACAGTAATCTTCCACGTCTTAACGGACCCCACTTTTATTTTCACCGGCACCCTAATTCTAACGGTCAACGGCACTTTCAGTTTGGTCTGCGCCTCCACCAACGACCGTCGGTCCTCGCTCCTCAGCTCGATTTCGTTACCCTTTAAAACCGTCCCGAACGCCGTCACGTTATTTGAAGGCTGGTAAAATGCCGGAAGAACGCCGTTACAGAGCCTCGCGTCGTTGTAAAACACTTCGGCCGAGCTATCCTTCAAGTAATAGATTCCGATCTTGTCGTTAGGGTTATCGGCCTTGACGGTTACGTTGAACTCAGGCGAGATCGCCGCCGCGGACGACGACGTGAGGTTTATTCCTCTGACGGCGATGTTTTCGATGGAGTACTTCGGCGCCTCTGGACGGAAAACGAGATAGAAGATGCCGGCGGCAATACCGAGGAGCACGACGAAAATGAAGATGATTCCGATGAGCCAGCAGCAGCAGCAGCAGCATCGGCTCCGGCGGTGCCTCCGTTGAGTGTATTGGTCGTAGCGGCGAGCGTTCTCCGCAGGAGGAACGCGGTAGACTTGATCCTTGGGGATCTTGATGACGTAGGTTCCAGGCGGAGGCACCGGCTTCTCCGATGGCGGTGGCCGCAGAGGTTGTGGAACGAGGGAGGATTCCTGAGGCGATGCCGACGGTAATTCGGCGGAGACGGGAGGCGAATCGCGAGGGTGAACTCGGTCAGCCATTGAGTGAGTCAGTGACGAGGCAAGAAACTAACTGCAAATGCAAATGAAATGAAAATTAAAACTTCTTTCTAATCGAAGCGAGAAGAACGAGTGAGTGCTGCTTGGTGCATGTGACTGTATAAGAAGCAAACGGTTTACGCGTGCAATGAAAATAACCACGCGGTTTGGGGATATTAACATTATGAAATCTAATTTCCCAAAAAGAAAACTCAATTTAAATTTCAAAAAAGTATTACTTAATTTGCTGGAATAAATCTATTTTCTCAGTGATTAACTATAAACCAAAAATTAAAAAATTAAACTAAAAGATTAAAATGTGTTATATTTATAATTTAAAAAGTATTACATGATTTACTAAAATTAGATTTAGTCAAAAAGTGTTTTTTTTTCTTTATATAACTTTAATTTTTTTTATTTGATGATGATCGTCAAACAGAACAGACGGATGATAAGGCTGCATTGCACGTTTGAAGCGTTATTAAATATTAATTTATTATTTGGTAACTCAGAAACACCTATGCATTTTTCAAATCTACCAAAATTAATTAATAAAGATTGAAGAGAATACATTTTTCCTAAAATTTTATGTTAATCAAAATTAAATGTAAGAAATGATATTTCAAAGAAAGAAAAAATTCTCAATGTAACAGAAGTTGACATTTGAGGAATGAATTTGATAGTAATAATATTACAATAAATACAAGAGATGAAAACTATAATGACAAGGAATGTAAGAAAAGAATGAGAAGGAGAGAGCAATAACTTACTCGATGAAGGAGCAATGGAAGAATGTGAGAAGGAGAAAGGAAAAGGGTCACGTACGTGTATTTATAGGAGTCAGAGAGAGGCCACGTCATCAATATGCTTATTCGAAGAAAGATAGCGGTGAATTTAAATTAATATGAATGGGGTACAGTTCAATGTGTGATCACTACAGTTGGCAAGTTTAGAAGGAAAATAAAAAAACACGGAAAAGGAGTGTTTGGATGTTCCATTTGGATATCGAACCTTCTTTTGTGGGATTCGCTCTGGATAGTTGTTGGTTGGCGCTTTGCCACACACGGTTTTGTTTTGTTGCTTGGCCTAAACTAAACCCTTCAGTGTATTCATTCCTTTCTGTGTACGCATTTCTCTCTGCACCAAATTTCAGGGGTCAATTTTGGCCAACACAAATATACAACTTCCTCTTCTAAGACTGTTTTTACTCAATTTTTTATTTATTTTTATATAGATGTAAATTAGGAGTGTTTTTAATGGATGTAAAATTAATTAATTTTATATGTATATAAATTATGAACAAAATGTTAACGACATGACAAGGAATGTGTTGCAGCCGGCATGGTGTTGGGTGATTGAGACCAAAATTATACCATCAATTCAATTTATGTACGACAAAATCTAATGATTCTTACTCCAATAGGAACGTCATTTAATTTTCTCTATATAAATTAAGAATACTTAGGATAAGTTTTCCTTGTGTACCCCGAATTTTTCTTAACTTTCCTAAGATAAAAGTTTGTGTTTATATGGGAAGATAAATATTAACTAAAGCTCTTCCCTGTAATATAAATTTCAGATCGAAATTTTAAGTTAACTCAGATAAAACGACATTTTGTTTTATCCTTTATTATATTAATAGTGACAGTAAAACTAATAAAGTGTGACATGGTTCATACTTGATGCCTGTAAAAATATGACGATAAATATTTGTATTACGTCATTTATTGCAGTGATGGGAAAATGGTGGATTAACGTCTTCTAGCAATATCAATTATTAGACAGAACAATACAGCAAAAATCATCAATATACACACAACCTGCCCATAGAAGGGTTGAAAAGAATGAATGTCCTTTGATAAAGAATTTCATTTCATATCATATCCTGACTTTGTTATAATGCCTGTTGAGAGCTGTCATCAAGGGACCAAAATTGAACAAAATTGAAAATCAATTTGAAGAAATTAAGCAAGTATGTAGATAATGATGATGATGATGATGATGTTAGTGGTTAAGGCTATGATATGATCAGCAAGTCTACCTTATTGTTGAGAGATCATCAAACACGGTTTTCATGTCAGGCCTATCAGATGCTGGAAGGATGCATCTAAGAGCCACCTTTAGCATATCATCAAGAATTTTAGAGGTTCTCTCCCCATTACGCTTGTCTACGAGAGACCAATCAAAGCACTGGCTTGAACGGTCTTGTTCAGCCAAAAACCTCACCCAATCAGTGAGGTCAACCACCCCTGGAATCCCAGAAACTATTTCTCCAGAATTTCTTCCTGTTAGGAGCTCTAACAAGACCACTCCAAATGCATAGACATCACTTGTCAATGAAGGGCATGGTTTGCTTGATCTAGCAAACTCCGGTGGCCGGTAACCAAGTGCACCGGCATTCAGAACTTGCTCGGTAGTACCTGCAGCAGTGAGTATCCTGTGCAGGCTGTAGTCTGTGAGGAGGACATTTCTGTTGGGAGTTTCTAGCAAAATGTTTGTGGATTTGAGATTGCCATGAGGTATGGCTTTCTCATCGTGTAAGAAATGCAGACATAGAGCCACCTCCATAGCCACCCTCAGCCTTTCATCAAGAGACAAAGGGTGGAGATTTGTTTTATCTACTTCTGCATAAAAATAAAAAAAGAAACAGTTAAACAAAACTGGCTCCATGCAGTTAAATTTCCAACATACATGCCAAGCATAAGGCTATAAAGTTCAGCTCATTAGAGTGCTGGAATATCTCTTCCTGGATTTAGACATAACTGAGTCCTTATCTTTGACTGTTAAAAAGTAAAATAAGTTTTATTATCTCTTTAGAACAATAGTCCAGTGACTCCATCTAGTAAATGTCGTGAAGATTACATATATATTTGGCATGGTAAGTGTACTGTCCAAGACCCAACTCATGTGTGGGATCTTATCCATACGTAGAACGCAGATTCCGACTCGTTAAACAACCAACATAGTATTTAAATAACCCAATTAGTTACATAACCAACCTCGTGAATCGGACATATAACGATCCAGTTATATATAAATACTGTTTATAAGGCCTAAATATCTATTCCCTAACAAAATACTCTAGAAGGCTCGGCCCAATACCGAATATAAGGACAAAGTTATGACTAGGGTTAAAGGGGACAACAAAGTAACAATATTTTGCAACAACAGTAAGTTTAGGTCATGCAGAAAAATCAGATCAAAGATCTACCTCAACCTAAAAGTCCAAAAAGAAAAATCATCTATGTACTCCAAGTTTATAAATTTGATATTTTATAAATTATCCAACATCCTGAAACAGCTTCATATATTCAACACTGGAGAAATTAAATCATATGTGTTTATTCACCCTTCACACCCAATAATATAATGAAAAGCCAAGGTTTAATACTGCAATCAAACATGAAGCTATATTCTTACCATGGAGATAAATGTCCAATGATTGTGCATTCATGTAATTTGATATGATCAGTTTCTCATGTTCCTTTGGCCCCAGGTAGTAACCCTGGATAGAAACCAGGTTTGGATGTTTGATTGTCCCAAGTTTCTTTATTTCCCTTGCCAACTCCTTTTTTCCTTTGGTTATTCCTTCTCTTAACCATTTGACAGCCAATGCATGACCAGAGTTAAGTGTAGCTTTGTATAGCGTTCCATGACAGCTCCTGCCAATAACTTCTGCTGGAGCACATGAAAGTTCTTCCGCAGTCAGCACCAAGGACCCATCAAATATATGCAAATCTCCAACCAGTTTATCTGGAGAGGATACTTGGAGAGAACCATGATTCTCAAACTGATGGCTTTTAGAAGATGAAGGATTTGAAGGTGACAAAATAGACATTGGGGAATACATTCCTTCCTCATCCTTACCTAATTCACCAGGGCCAACATCCATAGGTTTCTTTCCCACTGGATGAATGTTTCTTGCAGCATTAGAAGAGTCCCTTTGAGAAGGTGGTAATCCTTCCAAATTTCTGTAAGGTGCCACTAGATTTGATGTGAAAATACTCTCTTGAGTGATGCCTCTTGATTCATTTTGTTTAGAAGTCCTTACTTTTTCGTGATGAACCCTATAATAAATTATTATGCCCACAAAAGCCATCACAAAAGCACCAGCAATCACACATGCAATCAGGGCAATCCTAGTGGCAGACTTTTTATGTAACCGATGTTCCCTCAAACCTAGGTTGGAAGTATCTTTTGGTGATGATTGTGAATGTGGAAACACCAACATAGTATTTCCTGGATAAAATGCCGATTCGGGAAACTGCTTTAAGTTTTCTGGTACAACACCAGAAAAATTATTGAGGGACACATTTAATACTCTCAACTCATCTGGAAGGTCATCAGGGATAGTACCTTCCAATTTATTGCTGCATAAATTGAGATATGCCAAATTGTGAAGCCTACTCATATTTGAAGGAAGAGTCCCACTCAAGTTGTTGTGTGAAAGATCAAGAAACACCAGACTAACATTTTCATTAGAAACTAATGTAGTATTTGATGGTTGAAATTGAATAGGAATTGATCCAGAGAACCTATTGTTGGAGAGATTAAGATTAATCAATTTGGTAGAGGCAAAAAAGCTTGGTAGGAGGAATCCAGAAAGCTGGTTGAGGCTAAGATCAATCTCCTTTAGCTCTGGATATGTTCCCAAAATTGGTGGAAGGAAGCCCTCCAATAAGTTATTGGATGCCTTAAGTTCAGTTAACCTTAAAAATTGAGAAGTTTCGTTTGGCAGCATTCCTATCAATGAGTTGGTACTTAGCTCAACAACTTCCACATAATTACCCCAATACCCAATCCTTGAGATATTACCTGATAGAGTGTTATTACTCAAATCTATGATGGCACAGTGGCCTACCCTCAGAGGTAAGGGGCCAGACAATTTGTTTGAAGATAAATTAAGCTTCCTCAGAGTCACCGAGGTAATAATTCCAATGGGACCTACAAAGAAAGTTTAAATTGTAAAGATAAAGGTAAGCAGAAATTCATTGAAAAACAAATATTTGGAAGACATGTCATAATCATATGTGATTTTATGATATTATGACTAAAATTGATGAATAAGTTAAATGAAAAATAATTAGGGAGAGACAAAGTAGACCAAGATTTCTAGTGGAGAATAGATTGTTTGTCACGTGTCGCATATGTTTGGAAAGATTTTGAAAGCACTTCCCATTTCTATATAAAAAAGCTTGACCTCCATCAGGATTAAGGGAAGAATAAATAAAAAACTGTATAACGTGGACACCAAGTTCACCGCAGATATATGTTACCACATGAAAGTTCTTAAAGATCTAAAGGTCTGATGACAGTTGCATACCTGTCTGCATACAATCAACAAAGATCACCTTAAGAGGGTTTAACATCAACTACATTTTCTCCCTTATCATGTTTGGAACTGAATCCTTAAATCAACATATCAGACTGATGTATGATGATATGCAACCAAAATACTTGACTTAATTTTTTAACATACTGTGTCATTTGTAATCAATGCAGCCTTCGGTGGTACTTAAATGGCTTAAAGAGTTATGTTTGAAGTTAATTAATCCATCAATAGGTGAAACCATGGTATAGAAACTTCAAATCGAAGAAATACTAAGATTTTCTTTAATTTGAGTGGTCCACTAATGAGTTCTGATTTCAGTCAAGAATAGACTTTTATTTCAGTTTGGTGATCGTATAGTACTTTCTTCTACAACCTTCTTAGAACAGATAGATCTTCCAGAATATAAAAAATATCTTATTTATTCCACAGAAGAATAATCCCCAAAGGGTCTATCTAAAATAACAAAATAGTAGAATAGAGCATTAGAAAGATAGTTGCAGTTTCATATTTCAGTACTAAATAGAAACCTGATATGGGTTATTGGCAGTAGTTTTTCACACCCAAAACTTCATTTATGAATAACATCGAAGAACCGATAGAAACAAAAATGGGAGTAAACTAGTTCAATTGCATCTTGAGTTTAGGTATATGCAAGCTATATATTTATATAAAAAATGGATAATTTTGAACTCTAAAGAAAGAGCATAGATGGAATTTACACAGGAAACATAGATGTACCTTGAAGCTTGTTTTGACTAAGATCCAGTTCAGACAACATCATTGAACTTTCCTTCAGTAGAGCTTCTGGCAGCAGACCAGTCAGCTGGTTGAATGCAAGTCGAAGAATCCGAAGAGATACCACAAAAGTGAAGGAAGGTATATTACCCTCTAACTGATTATTACTAGCATCAAAGACCTCTAAACTGTCAAGGTATGGCATACCATCATGTGCAAATAACTCACCACTCAAGGAATTATGGCTAACATTTAAATATTGAATTGAGGACAGAAAAGATTCATCTACAAGTCCCAAATCCAGTGCACCAGAGAACATGTTGCTGCTTAAGTCAACATATAGCACACTGCTCATCTGATAAAAGATATGCATAATATCCCCGGAAAAGTTATTCATGTGCAAATCTAAATACTTCAACCGCTCAAGTTTGTTAAACTCAATAGGAAGAGAGCCTCCAAGTTCATTAGAAGAAAGATTCAGATATATTAACTTGCGCGACTGAACAAAGTTAGAGAGTAATGGTCCATTAAACTTGTTGAGGGACAAATCAAGATATTCCAGTGATTCCATTGTTGCAGCATGTAAGAGCTCTCCTGTGAACTGGTTGTTCACAGCTGACAAATTGCGAAGCGTTGTAAGGCCACTAATTGCATGAAAATTAAACTCACCAACCAAACCAGCATTATCCAGAGTGATTGATATAACACTGCCTTCACTACACCATATTCCATACCAGTTCCTGGGACATCCATCCGACTCTAGAGACTTGGAATTCCAAGAATTAAAAACTAATCCAGAAGGATCATTCTGAATACTTTTTTTAAATTCAAGGAGTGCATCAATATCTGAATTCCCCAATGCAATAGCCACCAACAACGATAGCACCAACCAGATAGCCTGCATGCCTTTCCTAGTAGCTCCTACTCCAAGCATCAATCAACAACACAAATACATATGACGTTATAAGCGAATGTACCACATTGGAAGTCAGAGCAAAGGGGCAAGTGTAAAAAAAAATTTGTAGGCACAGACATTAATTTTAGAACATATTATTCAATAATAATATAACACACATTGAATATCACTCCTTGCTACTCAATTACGAATCTCACGTAATAAAGAGAGAAAGAAAAAAAAAACTTAAGTTCATCATCAGTAACAATAATAGTACAACTATTAGACAAAGAACCTACCCTTCCTGCTGCACAATCATAACCCCCACCTCACAAAAAAAGGCAAAAAAGTAAACAATGATGCATTCTTACCTCGTAATTCACAAGAAGTACAGTTGACTCAACTGAGTTGAGTAATGAAGCATATACGCCTAACAACAGAAGCAACAATGCTGACCAAGGCGAAGAACAAATTTAGAACAAGGGAACCACAGTAAGTTTCTGCTGTTGGAAAACCAATGGTTCTAAGAATATGAGGCTATAAATCTGAAGAAGGGGGTGAGTGGGGTGAAATGCAGTGTGGCAAACAAATGATTGAGGGAAAGTTATGATTTTGAGAGAAGGGTAGAAGCAGAACAGAGTGATGGAGGACGAAGAGTGAGGAAAACATTAACTGAGAAACATGGTAGGTAGGTTGCTGTGTTATCATGTCATGATTAACAAAATCATAAACAGAAAAATTATAATATTTCTTTTTTCCTTTTCTTTTATAACTTTGAATAATAATAGTATTTTTTTTTATATTTTCTGCCTTCCTCTATATTATTTTATCCAGTTATAAGAAAAGTGGATTCAGAGGAAAAATAGAAGAAGAGGAAGAGAAAAGTGACGTAAAAGTATATTTTTTAGGAAAGAAAAGATTTTTGAGAGAGACAAGGTGAGAGTGGTCATCCCCAGATACAAATGAAATATAAGACCTCGTTAGATGCACCTTTGACTTTATGGGTGAGTTTGGTTTTGTTCCAAAGGTTCGAATTTATGCAAATTTCACGTGAAATTTTACAGAAAACGCACATGTAATTAGATGTGTTATCACACAATTACAGTTCAATACAAACAAATACGCGGAAACTTTTAACCACAACTTTCTATTTCCCAAGCATCCAATGCAAAAGCGCGTCTTGTCATTTTCAACTCTAACCATTTTATGAGTCTCATGTTTTATCAAAGAAAAGATACAACAAAGAACATTTTTTTTTTATCCATTCTCGCTATTCTTTTCTTTTGTTTAATCTTCGAAGTGACCATTTTTTTAAATGATTTTGTTTGTGTTTGTTTTGGTCGATTGAATTAAAAAAAAAAAGACATTATTATCTCCCGTTCTCATATAGTATTTAAAATAAAAAAAATCTAACTTCATAAAAAAAAAAGATAAGTATATTAAATTTTACTACTTTATAATATATTTTTAATTATTCTTCTTTTAAAACAAAAAGTAATGATATAACCAATCACTAATCCAAAATTTGAGAACAGTTTCAGCATATAGATTTGCACAGTATTACCTACCAGTTACAACCATACAAATTATTCTATTGTAGACTTGTCTTTATGAGGGTATACATTGAAAGAATTTATTCTGGTGCGATATTTTCCATAGTTTTTTTTTTTTTTTTTTTGGAGTTCTTCCCTTTTTTCATTCGTCCTTCAAAATACACCAATTGGAATGTACACATCAAATGTTGTTGCTGGTTTTGAGAAAGTTGATGAAAATTTAATACTAACACAATTATGACAGTCAACATAAAAGTTTGACAACAAAACCAGTTGGGAAATTTATTAATAAATTAAGCAATTTTGCATGTGATAGATAGTTGGAATCTTTTATTTGAAACATAAATTATCCACACAGAAGAACAAGCCTCTGTCATTTGGAATCTTTTTTCAAATGAAGGACATAAAAAAACATGAGCACAGACATGCATGGAATCTGTTTTTTTTTTTTCCTTTTTTTCTTGTCATAAAAAGTCTAATTACTTTTATTTTTACATGTTTATTTCCTTAAAAAATATTTACATCTAGATTGATCTAACACAAAATCATTACATTATTTAACAATGGAAATTAAAAATAATTTATATATATATAAATAAAATCATAATAAATTAAAATTTTAAAACGATTAATACTCAAACCTTACAGTAGATATATATTATAATGCTTCTAAAAAATATTTAGTTCGAATAGTACTATATTTAATCCTTTTAAATAAATTCACTTGTAAAATAGTTACACATTTATGTTTTTTTTTATGATAATCTATTGAATTTTTTACCAGAGAGGATCAATATTTTACAATAATATGTTTAGAGTTTAAAGAGAAAATGAACAGAAGAAACAAATTTATTTTGTAATAAATAGTCTAAAATAGTTTTTTTTTTAATTACAAGATATTTAATATTAAAATATTTCATTTATTTTATAAATTTTTTTATATTCTGGGCCAACCAATGTCTAAAATGGCCCAAAATTTCAAGTGAAATTGGCCCAATATATGTACAGTTCACAGCTTTCAAGTCTGTCCAATAAAATCTCTACACAATCTTCATGGACTCTCGTTATTTCATCTCATATTTCTTATAAAAAGACAATACTATCATGTGTTTTATTATTTTGAAATATTTTAGATTAATAAATCCGAAAATTTTCTAAATTAAAAAAATTATTTTAAATTCTGTATTATAAAATCTAGAATATGATTTTATTACTTAAAAAAATAATATGAATTTTTTTTAAAAAGGTCAAAATATTTTTAAAATTTTGATTTATGGAATATTTTAAAAAAACTTATTTAAAAAAACTTCTAGTAAAAGTTTCATTTCGAAATATTTTCAAAAAAATCATTTGGAAAAGTTAAAAAAAAAATTCAAAACTTATTTTATAATAAAGACGATATTATATCAATTTCTGCTCGCACCGTCAATTTCTTCGCTTCTTCCCTTCTTACTTTCCATAATATCATATATTAATTAATATTAAAAAATGCTTTTTCATTTTTGGCATTAATTCATCTTTTTACTATAACATAATATTAGGTTTCTGAAATTATGCCAATACTCCCTCTATCCCTTGTTTTGTAAAAATAAATAAATATTATAATTTTCTTGAATGTAAGTGGTTGTGGATTTTTCTATTTTACCCCAATGTAATTTTAAATTTTGTAAAAATTAAATAATAATTTCTCTTCTTATTTTTCAATCATATTAAAATGAAAATTTGGATGGCGTTGCCCTCGTAAGACAAAGCCAAAAGATTAATATTAAAACATGAAATTTTGAATGAGAGTGAAATACATTATAAATATCACCTATATGATTTATCTTTCTTCCATCATACTTATAATATAATTATAACATCTTATCATAAATATAATATAATTATAACATGTAGTGAAACTAATTTCATTCGTGATTCACCTTAAGTCACGTGATTTTCTTTTTTAATTAAAATTAATTACGGGGTCATTCACGCATAGGGATCTGTAAAATTGGTTTAAATCTGAAATTGATTGCAGTAAATTAGGTTTATTCCTTTATTTAATTTTAGGAAAAATAAATTTAGGAATAAATTAGGGTTCATACTAATCTGATAGAGAAATCCCTAAATTCATAATTAGAATTTATCTTAATTTGGAAAAAAACATAATTTGAAAAAAAAACTATAATAAGAGGAAAATCATAAATCTAATAATCAGGCTCGATACCACATATAAGTTCTGGTTTTCCTACATTCTTAATTTATTCTAGAAAACTATTCTACACGATCTTTATATTATTGATTTTCACAATATAACATACATGAATTATAATAAGAAGACTAACTTTGATCTATGAGAGTTTGTTCTTTAACTCCAACCTCATTTTCTCAATTTATATTTTTGTCTTTATTTCTCTTTACACGCTTTATTGATGATTTATCGTGAAAAACCTTATGACCGAGATACAAAACTATAATTCCATTTTATTAACCAACGTCCATCAAGTTGGTTACCCTAAGTTTTTATTTTATTTTATTTTAACTTTATATAATAACTAATAGGTCCTTATATTTTATTAAATCACATTTGACTCTATCATTATATTTCACATAAATCATATAATGGAATGAATTAATTAAATTAATTCTAACATCTCAACCCAAAACCTTAAGTACTGGTTATGAGTTTTTTTTTCATTTGTAAGTTATTTAACTTTTTTATTTTTATCTAATGGAAGACTTTAAACTTACACTTGAATTTTCAGCATAATCTTCTTCCATTGTCCTCTGGTGGAGGTAATGGAGTCATAATAATCAGAATGTTGTTGTTCGGGCTATGGATGAACCCAACTTGAATGTGGGGACGGAACCCTAACTATCATGAATCATCTAACCTTGTTAAGGAGAGAAAAAAAAAGAGGGATGTCTGATGATGCAGATAAAATTAATAGTTCAAAAGAGTTTTTCCTTAGTTTCCATGCATGACAGACCAGCTTATAAGAAGAGATCAATGTTTTGGATAGTGAAGGAATGGTGGTGGAAGAGAACGTAGATGCGTAATCAACATATAATAATAGAGGAATAATGCATAGAGAGTTATACAAGCAAAAAAAATTTATATGATAAACATTTCTTTGCAAATAAAAGGAGCATCCATAGCTACAGAGCAAATAACATATTATAAAATACCACCAAAAATTATATAAGCTTTTTTTTTTTAAAGACTTGTATTTACAAATCTAATGCTTTGTTTATTGAAGAAGCTACCTACAAAGTATAAATTAAGAATACTCAACTTGAGATATAAGTATCACTTTTGTTAATAATGTTTACTGAGAAAGAAAGCATAATTACACTTAGTATTTTCAATGACGAGATAAAAAATTATAGTTATTATGATATTATAGAATAAAAAAATAGTAGAAAAAAATAAAGAAAAAATGTAAGACAAATAATAAGTGAGAGTAAACTTAAAATACATCTAATGCATGGAAAGTTTTTACAGCATGAAAAAAAAAAATATATATATATATATATATATATATATATATTTAAAAAGTTAATAATATAAAAATTACAGACATACACTAAACTCTTCAACTTCAATTATATGGGAATTTAGATTTTTATCAATGATGTAATTTCACCGATCGTTTCACCATAACCTTATCATTTTACTATTTTTTTTCTACTAAAATTATTGATAATAACTCATCTTTTCTCTACAATAAAATATCAATTTCTTTATTTTTCTTAAGAAAATAAATTATACAATGTGAAATATTATTTCATTTTATTGAAAATAAGATTCTTCAATGTTTTTTAATCTTGAAAAGTTTACCAAAAAAATTTAATTTTGAAATTAGGGAAAGATTTTTTTTTCTAAAAAAAATATAACTTATATATTTTGCATCCTAACTTAAAAAAAAATACTACTTTATATAATATATGAGTATAAAAAATAAAATTCCATTATTTGATATAGATATAAATATTGAAATTACAAATTTAAAAAGAAAAATAAGATGTTCAACTTATTTCTAAAAAAAAAATACTCTTACTATTAAATAAACTTACAAATCTCACTATAGAGTCTTCAACTGTCTTTATATAGTTTTTATATTTTTTTTAAAATTTGTTTGTAATTTTATTTAGGACATCTCCAAAAAGAAAAATTTCAATGAGTTGCTTCTTATATATATATATATATATATATATATATATATATATATATATATATATATATATATATATATATATATATATATATTTTTTTTTTTTTTTAAGACTCATACTTGATTTTATTCCTTTTGAATTTTTCTTAATAATTTTTAAAGAATCATTCTCTCCTATTCTCTTTCCTCATTTATTTTATTTTGTTATTTTTATTACTTGATGAACAAACCACACAAAATTTAATTAACTTAGATAAAATTTCTCTAATAAAAAATTATTTCAATTAGTACTTAAATCATCTCAGTAAATAAATCTTGGGGATGTTCTTCATCATCTTTCTTATATTCATTACATTTTTTTTTCATAAATATGTTTTTAGAATTAAATAAATTTTACAAATTAACATTAGTTAAAAAAATAAAAAATAAAAAATTGTTTATCTTATTTATTATTGTTGGATAGAAATTTCAGACTATAGTATATGAATATAGTATATTAATAAAAAATAACTAATAAAATTTTAAACTTTACAATCCTTATATATTTAAAAATAAAAATTATTATTAATATTTTGAAACATAGTATTTCACTAACATCAATAGTGTAAATAGTTAGAAAATAATGTAATGTGTTTTTTATTTATTTAATGATATTGTAATTTATTAAAACATGACTAATTATAAAGTTTACTTATCTAAACACAGAAATAAACAAAAACTTTGTTTAATACATATCTACTTTCTAACAATGTATTTATTACTGATAAAAGTGATGAAATGTACTTTTACAATAATATAATCTCACGTATGTTTTAAATAATTTAGCTTGTTACGTTTGTGAGATTTTGAAACTTAAATTAACCAATTATTTTAAATTAATTTATAATAATAATAATAATCATTATTATTATTAGGAGTTATTATAAGAAAGAAAATGTACTTTCAATTTGGTATTTTCAATGAGTATACTGAGGTGAAGAAAAGAGAAATGGTGTGTCACAAAATTCTAATTTTATTAACATTTCATTATCAATTTCTTGAGTATATTGAGTAGATTCTTTATATCATTTTATTTTTTTATATATATAATCAACATATAACAAGATATTACAAATAGAAAATAAGTTATTTTCTTTGATTTTTAAAATTGAATAAATTATATATATATATATATATATATATATATATATATATATATATATATATATATATATATATATATATATGTGTGTGTGTGTGTGTGTGTGTGTGTGTGTGTCTTTTTCATATCAGTAATCTTGGAAAACATGCATGTGAAGAAACGAGAAATGGTGTGTCAGGAAAATAGCAGTGATTGAGATCCTTCCTGCAGTTAATTTCTTATTTTGTGTGCCACAATTTAATTAACGTATTCTCACTTTTCCAACATTTATTAAGAAAGAAACACAAACACGGTATAAGTCTTGCATGTTATATGAAGTTTTTTTATGCTGAGATAGGGCTGCATCTATATCACCTTCTGTCATGCATGCTTACTTGTTTCTGTCAGGTATCTTCCCTGCAACATTATCCCCATGCAGAATCCTATTTACTTTCAAGAATCAACATTATAGTTTACCTTATTTTGGATATAACATTGATTTTAATTCCACATCATTATTTTCCAATTAACCATAAAAAAAATTAACATATTTTTTGAATCCCTAACATTTAATGTGTTTTTTTCATCCATAAGAAAGGTTTCTGAAATAAAAAAGAAGAAAAGTGCAAACACAGAGAAACAAATATACCTGCACATGCCTTCTGTCTCTCCAAGAGAATGTTGGAACTTAACATTCAAACCAAATCTCCAACAGATGAATACTTCTCATGAATCTAATACTTCAAGAGATTACATTAAAAATTTATATAAACTTTAAAAACCAACAACTAATATTATTTTCTGGTGAACCATTGAGGTATAACTGTTAACAAATTCTTTATAACATAAATATTATTATCAACAGTAGGTTTATATTTTACACAGATTTTACATGAGTGTTTTGCATTAAAACATATAAAATATACTCTAAAATTACAAATCAAATAGGGATAGAACATTACACTGGAATTTAAACTATATCAATCAATTCATTTTTACACAAGTGAATTTACTGACAAATTAAATGGTATGACAATATGTGTCAATAGCATACATCTTGGACTCTATTTGGGCCTTTTTGGGTGTGCAGCTTTATTGGTAAAGCATCGACTTTAATCCCAGGTTTCTTTTGATGTTTTTAACTGTTGTTCTTAAGTTTCGATATTAGTCATTAAAAGGTCATGTTAAATATTTTTTTTTCACGATAATTGATGTGATATTAGATACTATCATTCAGTGTTATCAGCAATGTAATCATAAGTGAGGTCCATTAATTGGAAAAATCTGCATTTTTAAAAATTTTCAACCAGTTTGAGTTTTCTCATTCTTAAATCATAATCACTTTGATTAAGTAACATGAATTTCTCACTTGTATCAATTCAAATTTCGACATATAACATGATGTCTATATATGATTAATGAAGTTACTTTGTTTTATCTGTGATTCTTTCTCTCTCATTCAAAAAGTATAGTCATTCTGTTTGGTCTACTTTTGATAAACCAAGTATCTTAATTTTCTAAAGATTCGCAGTTCAAGTGTTTTAAAACTGTTTTTATTTCTCCACATTAATTAGCATTTTACACACCATTCAATGAAATATAAATATGGCGAAGTGAGGTCTTTTTCATGTTTAAAAACTTAGCTAAGAACAAATAAATGAATATGGAGCGAATATTATATATGAAACTCTCCCTTTAAATATCAACGCAACATATCTTTCATGAACACTACAATTCTATGAAGTTCCATCTTAATTAGCATTACACACCCTTCAATAAATTATAATATATGTCAAAGTCAGGTCTTTTCATGTTTAAAACTATCATGCATACTATAATTACATTTGTATAGTATTTGAATGATTTAAAGTAATAATTTTATAGCCATTACAATAAAAGAAAAATAAAGATTATAAATGTTTTTAAAACAAATTGTAATCTAAAAAGTTAATCTAATTTTATCATGACAATAAGTTGTATAAGTTATCTAAACTATAATCAAGCATAAAATTGTAAACTATTCTTCTGCACCGACATTAACTCATTCCACTGAGATTCGAATTATTACTTCAAATGTCAACTTTGATTAAATAATTGGTTGAAAGTTCAATTGTTATGTTACAAGTGTTTCAAAGGTTAAATTAAGTTTAGAAACATCCAATATCAAGATAATGAACCTCCTAAAAAGAACTGTTATAGTGAAAGTATGGAAACTTAATCAATCATATTCATGATAGTAAATGAGTTTAATACAAATAAGAGATTTTGGATGTGAGCATGAAATTAACTTAACCAATGTGATAAATTTCCCTGCAACTTCAATTACTACCAAATTAAGGTTTTCAACAATGTTTTAATATCAGCAGTAATAAACCACACTCATTTAGGCTTCACCACGAGCACCTCCATAAATCATATAAATGGAGGCTATAACAATCAACCTGCACTCACTTTCATCCTACTTTTCTCTCATTCTACTCTGTTCATTTTTTTCTGCTACCATCTCTTTGTGCAAGCTTCAAAAAGTTTTCAGATTTTTCTCCTCGTCCACTTCTCCAGATTCTTATAAGGCTGTCCTTATCAAAAATAGATCTCCAGGTCTTGTTTGCGTGTGTTCGTCTTTGGTGGTACAGATTTTAGTATTGAATTCTAAGTTTTAATCTTTTCTCAGTTTTTTGAACTTTATATATATATATATATATATATATATATATATATATATATATATATATATATATATATATATATATATATATATATATATATATATATATAAATTGTATGTACTTCCCTCCTCTCTGTCCAGTTTTATTCTGGTGAAGGCAGTCTCATGCATACTTCTGCCGTCTTTTGTTGTCTTTCAAATTTTGTTTCTTAGGTATTTTCGTAAAGTAATAAAAGATAAGAAATATATGTATAGGTTGAATTTGGGAGAAAAAAAAATTAGTTTTTCATATTTCAATATAAAACAAAAAGTAATTTTTTTCAGAGCTTGTAAAAAAAGATACCATCAATTGACAATTATTGTCTGCTTTTTTTACTTTTGATAGGTGTAAAGTCAAACACGAAAAAATAATGTTGGAAGACATTGTGTCGGGTTACATGGGAGGCGGAGACTCTTCTGATGAAGGAAGAGAAACACATGTTGCAAACCTAAATCATGTGATGCAATTCCAAGAACAGCATGAAATCTTGAAGAAAATGCTGAGAATGATGGAGTCAGGTGAGGAGACAAAAGGCTTTGTTTTTGGGATAGTTCCCATAAACGGAAAGCCAGTTAATGTAGCATCTGACAATCTTCGAGATTGGTGGACTGAAAAGGTTAACTTTGATCGGAATGCTCCGACAGCCATAGCCAGGTATGAGGCCGAGAATGTCATCATAGAAATGAATGATGGTTGCGCTTCCATTGGTCCAACACCAGAATCATTACAGCAGTTTCCTGACACAACCTTGGGCTCTCTCTTATCAGCACTTATGCCACACTGCAATCCCCCTCAGATCAAATTTCCATTCTCAAAGAGGGTTCCTCCACCATGGTGGCCCACTGGAAATGAAGAATGGTGGTGTCAAATTGGTCTTCCTCCCAAAGACCAAGGTCCTCCACCTTATAGAAAACCTCATGACCTCAAGAAGATATGGAAGGTTGCTGTTCTCACTGCAGTGATTAAACATATGTCTCCCGATGTCACCAATATAATGAAGGTTGTAAGACAGTCAAAATGTTTTCAAGGAAAGATGACATCTAAGGAGAGTGCAATATGGCTTGCCATTCTCAACAAAGAGGCAGCCCTGCTTCAAGAGATTAACCTTCCTCCTTCTTCCTCTGGTGGAGGTAATGAGTCCATAATTATTAGAGAACAGAGCTTAAATGTGGAGGACGGGAACCCTAATCATCATAATTTGTCCAACCTTGTCATCGAGCGACTCCGGAAAAGAAAGGTTTCTTCTGATGATCAAGATAATCGGAATAAGAGTTCATGCAATTGTGGACAATCTGGATGTCCTTTTGATGATATTTTTCTTAGTTTACATGACAGACCAGCTAGGGACTATCATCAAGTGAACCCTGCATATAGAAACATTTATAAAGACGACGATGCTGGTCCGAGTCGCCAAGATACTGAGGTTGAACCAGTCACTACATGTCAGACTACAAATTTTGTTACACCTTCATCTGGTGGAACTGGACTTGGAGTTTCTGAAGATGACCAAAGAATAAACACAGATGCTACCACCATCTATGATACTAGTGTTGCAGGAAACGATAACTTGAATTCCAACAACTTTGTACCTGTAGAATACGGTAACATTTCTGAGGTTATCTTAGCAGAAGAGGACAAAATGTTGACTGGTGAAGGAATGGTGGGGGAAGAAAACTTGGTTAGAGAAGAGGAAGGTCAATTGGAACACTTGAATACCACCAACATAAACCCTTCTCTTGATGATATCCAGGACGAGATATTTGATCCCTTCCTTGATTTAGAATCCTTTGTTTCTTTGTATTAAAGTCTCATGCCTCCTCCATTTTTGTTCAATTTTTGTGCAGTTAAAAAGATATATTCTTATACAGGAGAACGATCATTATCATATCTCCTGTATTATTCTTTTATATATACCTATCTATAATATTAATTTTTTATAATAAAGAAAGATAAAAAATTGTTTAATTTAAATATTATTCTTAAACAAATTCATGAATTATAAAATTAATTATTTCATATTATTCAAATACAATAATTGATTTTTAAACTACTTCATTTAAACCATCTTAACATAATATTTATTTAACACAATCATTATAATCATTAACAGTTGTTGAAGTTATCTCTAAGATAGATATACATTTAAATTATTCTGGATATTTACAACAAGAAATTATTAATTGTTCCTTTAAAATCTTCTTTTTAATTTTAGAAAATATAAAAATGTTATAACAATACTTGAGGTTATTTTAAAACGAAAAAAGAATGTTATAGAGGTAGTAAAATATCATCATTTCTGATTTTATTAAAATTAAAAATTACTAATATTGATAAAATTAATTACAAAAAATACTAATATAAATCATGAAATTATTACATAAAATTGTAAAATAAATAATATAATAAAAAAATTCTAAAAAGATTTAATAGTTATATTGTAGGTGAATGTCTTAAGTGATGTTGATAATAATGTCTGAATTTTCTATTTCTAATATATTGGAGACTTCTTATAAAATATACTATGTCTATAATTTATATAAATATATATATATATATATATATATATATATATATATATATATATTATTTCATGAATATTTTTTCATTGTTAACACCATATTTATTATAAAGTAAAGGATTAGTATGAGTAAAAAGGAGGCGTTGCAACATGTTTTAATATTGTCTGTATTTCAGCGGCACTTTGCTCTGATCCTTAAATATGTTCTTGTCGTCTAATTAGGATCCCTCTTTTCTTCACCATATCTCTTTTGTCCATCTTCCAACCTCATCACCACCTTTTCTGGTTTCTCTGTTATAATGTTATTTGCACACAAACTCTGGTTCATCTGTCCTTTCTCAAATCTTAATACAGATTTGATTTATTGATATTCAAGTTCATATAATAATTGAATAAATTTAGTTTGTTGATATTCACTTTTGTTAGCTTTCTCCAAAAATAAATTATAGATAAAATGCTCTGACAAACATTCTACAAATATATCATTGTTACTTATTTCGTCTGAAGCTTTTAGGTTTGGATCCTCTCTTCCTGAGTTTAACTGTCTTTGAGTCGTGGAACAAATAAATATGATTTCCTACTGAAGACGGAAATCCTGTACTACAATCTCAAGAACAAGATGAAATCCCCAAGAACGTGCTGAAAATGATGAAATCACTTAAAGGTAAAAGAGTTTGTTTATGAAATGATTCATTGATCTTTTGCCTCACCAGCCTCCATCATTTTCAACATGTTCTCCTCTTATTCCTCTAACATTCCGACGGATCTTGACGATTGATCTTGAGGGCCAAATAATATATTATTAATAAATAATAAATAAATATAAAAGGAAGAAAGAATATGAAAGGTTGAAAAGATAAAATTGTAGATATATACTTAAATATATTAAATTATTATTAAGTTTGAGGGAAACAAAATCATAAATTATATGAAAGTTACAAACCGAGGAGGACTTGGAGGATAAAATTGTAAATATATAAGTAAATATATTAAATACTCATTATGTTTGGGAAGCCAAAATCATTAATTACATGGGAGTTACAAAACTTTGAGGTCACGGCCCCTCGGCTTCCAAGAAGATCCGCCACTGGATTCCCGTGAATAGAAAGTCAAAGACCGTAGCATTCCACAAAATTGATATGAATGCTCTGCTGGCAGAGTCAAGAATGAGAAGATGAGGTTTCAATGTAATTGTAACCCTAGCTTCAGATATTTATACAATTCTATTGAAAAATATATATCCAACTGTATTCAACTTTCTCTCTTTCCCAATGACCTGTAGCAAAACTGATACTGATGCCAAGGTCCAGCTGACTGACTATGTATCCATCCATAACTATACAAAAAATTGTCTGAGGAGAAAGAAAGATCCTCAGGGCTGCTCTAATTGAAGCTTTGGTAGGGTATTTGTTATTATTTTTATCAGTTTATACTAATATAATTTTTTAATTTATGAAAGTTTAAAATATACATAAATAGTCTTTAGAACGAGAACATGTCTTTCTTTCCTAGAAGGCTATGCAAAAGCAGGGTCCAAAACAATGTCAACTAATGTTGGTTCTTGAAAGTTGAAATAGAAGTCTTTCTTAAATAGGATTTTCAAAGAGTGCAGGGGGACAATACCTGACAGAAACAAGTAATCATGCATGGCAGAACATGATGTAGATGCAACCCTACTTCACAACAAAAAAAACTTTATTCATAGAACATGCAAGATTTATACCAAGTGTTTGTGTTTCTTTCTTAATAAATGTTGAAAAAGTGAGAATACGTTACTTAAATTTTAAATTGTGGCACAAAGAACAAGAAATTAACTGCAGGAAAGATCCAAATCACTGTTATTTTCCTGGCACACTATTTCTCTTTTCTTCACATGCATGCTTTCCAAGATTACCTCACTCTGATATGAAAGAGACTAGTATATATATATATATATATATATATATATATATATATATATATATATATATATATATATATATATAATACTGAAAATTTTAAGCTCTTGGGATAATTTTTCAAATTTATAACTACCACGTCGTGTTAAACTCTCAACAATTACTATTAATTTTTTGGAATAAAATATATATAGAATTGTATAAAATGATAGGTATGTTAAGCACAAATTAATCAAATGGGGAGAGTATTGTTCAAGAAACATTTATTGTTTATAAACTGCAGAACGAGGGTACCCGTGGAACCCAATACATTTAGGATGGAAAAACAAAGGAACTAAAGAAAAACAAAGAAGTAGGTTTAAAGTGGTTGGTAGGTTTTTTGTTCAGTGTTCAGTTTTCTATAATTGTTTATATTTTTAATTTTTTAAGCTTTAAATAAACTATTAATCTTCAATATGATATTAGTAGCTTAGAGCATGCTTTATTATAATTACACTGATATATTTTGATGTATAAAGTTGACTCTTTTTTTTTCATTCCACCATTATTGAAGATATATTCTCGTCACTGTCTTCCCATTCATTGGAACTATCCAAAAACAAACCCTTTTGCCTCACCTGAATTCATCATTGTCAGCATTTTTTATCCTGTATTTGGAATTGTCTTACAATTTTTCTATCCAAACTCTGTTTTTTTTTTTACTACCTGACTAATCTCAGTTAACAGTAAATTTGTAACATCCTTCCTCACTTATTAGTTAATGTTACCTATTACATGTCTATAACATTTTAAATTAAATCAAATACTGAAATATTGAATAAACCAATAACTCACATATTATATGTTAAAAATTATATGTTAAAAAATTATATTACACATGCTTTGTTTCTTGTGCATGTGATATATTTATTATGATTTTAACTTTACAATGGATCTCATTGATTTATAATATATTTTTAATATATATATATATATATATATATATATTATACTTAAAATAAATAATAAATTTAGTTTCTAAATTTAGCTATATTATATTTTAAAAATTATTATTTAAATACTAAACTTAGCAATTAGATAAATGATTCACATCTCAAACATTCACTTATTATTTTAAAGTATGGTAAAAGAAAACATAGTAAGAGTTATAAAGAAAGACATGAAACTTAAATGGATTTTACAAAAATTTCAAATAAAATTTGTTCATGACAAATTAAAACTGATTAGAGTATCAAACTTCTGACCCAGTTGAATTCGTTTTGTCTGCAATTAACATGTTGCACCAAACTGGTATAGCATTTGAGCATCAACGATGATTTATATGATTCATGAAACATGACAACAATACTTTATGTGTCAGTTCACAGAAAAAAGTGTTCTTAAATTAAAGTTCAAATAGCATGTTCATGTCTCTGGTGACAATGTAAAAGATATAAAAGCTTAACAAATTCATAGTTTTCATTAGTTAACATTTGCAATTGAACTTTCGTTTAAAATTCGATATAGTTTGACTTCTTATTTGACGATAGTTGTACGAAATTCATATCTTCTAGTAAAAGTCATCACTCTGCAATTCAGATTGGAGTCTCTTGGTTGAAGTAAGTTCAGTTAGCAAGTCTGGATCATGATCTGCTTTTGCAGATAAAGATTGCTGAAATCCCAAAATAAAGAAAAATAATGAGTAAAACTTACAAAACTAAGAGAATACTTTATCATATATTCTTATATTGTCTTGCTGAAAAACTTGATTTTCATTAGACTTTGGTTGATCAGCTTGAGATGCACCTGTTAAAATGAGTAGTATTAGCAACATACCCAGAAAAGCAAATCTTTAGTTTGTGTAATTTACTTTCAGTATACCTCATCACATCAGTTCCAACCCTTTCATTATGGATTTAATCAAATCTTTGTCATCAGACACCCTTGTGACAGATATGGAGTTGAAACCAAGTTTTACCTTAGTTCTAAAGGCTAAAGTACAACCCAACATTTTGTCAAGGGGTTTTGGATATAATTTAGGGTCCTCCTCACTACACTGATTAAGTACATAACAGAAGTGTAAGCAAGCTAACAAAAATTTAAACAAAACATGGATCAGATATTTAAATGAATCACTGAATATGCAGAAATTTTTGAATATTTCTCTCATCAACTCTCTAAGCTCAAGAGCAGACATCCCTATTAGTTCAGAACATTCACGATCCCAGAAAATAAAGTTTGCATCATCATTCTTATCATAGACATTGATCTCCAACTTATACCTGCATGATTAAAAATTTAAAACAATTAATCTTACAGAAATTTAGATCAGAGCATAAAGGGTCAAGGGAAACAACCTTGGAACCACTATTCTCCACATTGGCATTTGAGAGTCTCATTTTCAGTTTCAGTTCTTTTCCTACACTTGCTGCATGCATTGTAGCTCTAACCATTCTTATCAACAATGAATTTCCCATTTGTCCCAGCAGTCACACAAATTGTTCCCTAGTGAGAATAGTTTGGGAATGAAGAAAAACAAGAGAAATTAGACTTCTGCACGCTTCTTCTAATTAAGATTATTTTAATTATAAGCACACCTCTTTAATTTAATTTATTTCAGAAAGATGCACCACTTTCGCTTTATAGATGAACCTGTCTAGCTCAGAGATTTGTGAACTTCCAGAAAATTGGGAGCTTGTAGACAATTGGATAACCTTACATCTTGACTTGATAGTTCATCCAAGTTAGTATCAACCAAACTACAATGTATGAAATTTAAAATTAGAAATTCAATAAATTAAATGTACATGAATTCATCTTTATACATGAAGATGGTAGATTAACATTAAGAAACTCCTAAAACTGTTTTTGAACACTTGGATCTCCACTGCAATGATATTAGCATGTTATTTAATATTAAAATAGGAGAAACATAAGATATAAGACATCAAAAAAACAAATTTTACCTAAGATTTTTCATGGTAAACACAACCTTCTTTGGATAATCATTAAGCTGTTGGTGACTAATTTCATGCAAACTGCAATAACATCTGCAGACAAATCTACATACTTCTGAAGATATGCAGACAGAACACATAAAAGTTGTAGCACCCTTGAACATATATGTTTATACTGATGATCTTATTTTGTCCATAATGGGCACCACTTTAAAGTTGTTCATTACATAAGAAGATTCCTCTTTTAGCTCACCCTTCCATTTCACCATTTCATCTCTCTTAACCATAACTTGAATTTTATCGCCCTTTTCAGAAATCAACAACAGTAAATTATTAGGATTTTAACTATATGCTTGGATTGAAAAAAAGAAATAATAAAAACTGAAATTATAGAAATACCTTTGTATCCATAATAACCATTTCAAGGTTAGTTTTATTTGCTCAATCTTTAAAAAGACAGATTTGCATAGCATATAATAGTTATGCAATTAGAGCTTTGGTGATACATTTGGCACACTACATTATGAGAGAAGACAGATACAATACATTAAAAATAAAAACTAATTAGTTCTATAAAACTAATTTATAATTTATAATTATAATATTTTTATTTAATTTGAAATTTCTCACATCAAAGATAAACAATTTAGTATTAGTTTGGTAATAAGTGTTTCATTCCAACAACTAGTAATGAATAATGTCTCGGTTGTTTCTAATATCATTTTAAAAAATAAAATACAAATAATTCAATTTAAAAAAAATTACGTTGGAGGATGATAATTATTTTCATGGATATATTCTTACTAAATTTATGATACTTTTAAATGAATAAAAAAAACTAGATTTTATCACATTCATATCTCATTAAATAAATTGTATAAAATTAATTAAGATGGAATTTTACTTGAATTATAAGAACACTCAAGAAAAAAATATTATATTACTATTTTAAAAAATTAGGCATATGTACGAGAGAGTATAATATATAATATATATTTATTTGCGTGATGTTAATGGTGACAAAGACCTGTCATAGTTATATTTTATTGAAGGGTGTGAACTTATTAGAATCTTAATATTCAAAAGATGTGTCATTATTATTTAAAGAGAAAATATACTAATGATAAATTATCAATATTTTAAGTTTCTTATTTTATTTTTTATTTTCATTTTGTTTACATAATTATTTTTTTATGACATTTTTCTTAAAAGGGAAAAGCAATATCAAACACATGAATATGAAGTCCATATTTTTCAACTTAATCATGTTAAATAAATTGAAGATTATATATGTTGGACCTGTTAGTTATATTTTTAGCGATATTTACGTTTATTTTATATATAGTTTAATGATATATTTATAGTTTATTCTTAATTATTCCCTGTTTTGCTTTGATTTTTTTTTATTCTTAATTCTAAAAGTTGATATAATTATTTACATAATAGCTTTAATTTATAAATACTTATTTTTATTATTTTCGTAATAATAGGTGTATCACTTTTAACAAATTATTTTAAATTATTAGTGAAAATTTATATATATATATATATATATATAATAATAATAACTTTTTATTCATATTTTAAACCAATAATTGACTAGTTGATAATATTTTTTTAATTTATTTATGTTTTTTTAATTCAAAATTTATCAAACATAATATTATTTATTATTATAATATTTTTATATTATAATATAGGGTCAGTTTAGAATGAATAGAAGATAGCCTTCTCTATTTAATATTATTTATTATTATAATATATATATATATATATATATATATATATATATTATTATCGTTATTTATATTTTATTATTTTATTTTTGTATTAATTTGTTTTCAATTTATTAAATTAGATATTATCTTATTAATAGTATTATGACTTTTGTTAATTTGACAAATATTTAATAAATATATTTTTATTTAATAATAATAATTATTATTATTAGTATTAGTATTAGTATTAGTATTAGTATTTTAATGACAATTTGATTATTTATATAAAGTTATCATTAGTGTTTAATTACATAAAAAAATTTGTTTTCTGTACTTCTTTTATTCTTCTTGTTTTTCTTATTGATACTTATTCTATCATAATGACCTAGGAAAATTTAAATAAAACATGTGGTAGATAGTTGGTCAATCATTTTGGTGACAAATTTAGTAGAGGTCAATAACATTAATAGATTTTATAAAAGATCTTATTTAATATATCAATAATCATCTAATAACTTTGTGTAATTTTTGTTAATTGTAAAAATTTATCAAATCAATGAAAGTTACAGATTCCCAAAAATATCTACGACAAAACAAACCATGGTTTGGCATGCATGGTACGTCTAACTAACAAATCCACATTTTAAAATCTAATTTTCTCTTACAAAATTAGTTAAACACAGAATTTAGATTTTGCAAAACTAATCTAACGTTTAATCATCTTTGACCCTCAACTTGGGAAATAAGGGTAGGATTTAATAACACAATTTTGACATTTAACGCATCAAACACGAAACACCTTGTCCCTTTCAGAAAAGTGAAAAGCAACAATCCCAAACAGTTTTATTGCGATCGACTCAAACCCCCATCCATCTCAACATCAAGCATCAATGGTAAATGTTTCTGCTTCTAGTTGTGACCCTTTCGAATTATTTTAATGCAATGTTTTTTCCTTCAATCAGCAAATCATGTTACATTTGTAAAGAAAACAAACATTATGCGATTCCTTCCGATGAACCTAACCTCATTTTGTGTCTGGTGTCACTATGTGTGGTGTTGGCTTAATATCCACCACATCTCATTCATGTGCAGATGGGTTTGATTTGAAATGACGTAGATCGTGTGAATGCGTATGTGTATATTATAATTTAGTGGTGTAAAAAATAATAATTCTTTTCGTTACAGATTCATTTTGTGCTTCTTATCAGTCGACAAGGAAAAGTGAGGCTCACAAAATGGTATTCACCATACTCTCAAAAGGAGAGATCCAAGGTACCTGTCTCTAATTATAAGACTCATAGTAATCACAATTACTCGAATAATTGGATGTGAGTCATCAATGCAGTTTTATCATCCAAATTGCATGCTGAATCTCCACAATTCCCCTATAGACAAACACAACACAAACAAAACCATATTCAATCTATTTGATATCATATAAATTGCATTAAAAATACTTTAACAAGTGACATTTTTATTATACTTTTAACTCCATTAGAAATTTTTAAACTGCATTTAGATACATTTTTATATTTTGCATCTGATGCTACTGTTTACATGCAGCCGATTCGATCATATTCTTAATTACGCAGGTTTTATTGCCTTGGTTTCTTCTGTTAAAACTAGGTGTATTAACTTGTTTCTTCTTTTGTTTGATTTATTTCTTTATGTTTTTGGAAGGTAATTAAAGAGTTATGTGGGGAAATTATCTGTAGAGGCCCGAAGCTATGCAACTTTGTGGAGTGGAAGGGATTCAAAGTTGTATATAAAAGGTGGATGAAGATTGTTACCTTCATTTATTCCCTTGGTTTTTGCATGGCTAAGAAAATGCATTAAACTCATGGTTTTGGTTATTGATCAGATATGCCAGTCTCTACTTCTGCATCTGCAATGACCAGGAAGACAATGAATTGGAGACCCTGGCCATTATTCATCATTTTGTTGAGACACTGGATCGCTATTTTGGCAGTGTTAGTGCAAAAACAGTTCAAATTCCAAAATTCTTCATAAACTGTTCTCATAATTAACCTGAATCTGTTTCTCTCCTACTTCTCCTACCAGGTTTGTGAACTGGATTTAATCTTCAATTTTCACAAGGTAATTTGTCTCCTCTTATTAAACCATATTCTCTGTGATTATTATTAAACCTTATAATCTAAAGCCATGTTTGTGTTCTAGCATGAGTGGTTAAAACTGAGCTTGATATTGGTAGGCATATTATATATTGGATGAAATTCTACTAGCTGGAGCCATGCAGGAAACTAGCAAGAGAACAACTCTGAGACTGATAGGTGCACAGGTATATGTGACTAGATACCTACTTCTAGTTTTCTATAGCTATCATGTTTTGGACAATTTACGTTTATTCTGATCATAAAAAATTAACAAAATTGATCAAAGTTGTTGAAGAAAAAGTCTAAACGTAACAACATTGAAAATATTTAAAGAAATTATATAACAATTTTTTTATACTCGTAACTTTGTCTTACAGAAAAATTTGATCCCATGTTAATGTGTTGTAGGAGGATTTGGTGGAAGCTGCGAAAGAGGAATCAAGTTCATTGAGTAATATAATCGCCCATGCCACCAAGTGAAAGCATATTTAAGGGATAGAAATTATCAATTATATATGTTGCATGTATGCAGCAGAAATTTTAATTCTGGTGAAATTTTGTTTTATAGAAAATCATTAAAAAATACTTTAGAATATACTTAATTTTATTATTGGAATTTTTTTTTAATATAACCACAAAGTGCATATAATTCATGCACCCAAATAAACTTAATAAAAAAGACTTGTTATTTTTTCAACTCAAAGCGTGTTTAATTGTTCATAGCTTCAATATTATGTATAGACAATAAAAAATATGAAGCTCATTAGTCGTTTAATTTTCCTTACTATCTTCTTTTGACAAACTAAATACCAATTTATACATTTTCTGATGTTTAGTTTTTTTTTTTTTTCGAAAAATATACTAGCAAGATAATTAATAACTATTTTTTAATATTCTTTCTTTTCTTTGTTTATTTTTTTAGAAATAACCAAAAAAAAATATCGTCTTTTATTTAATAAATTAGTTAACTAACCAAACATTTTTTTTGTCATACGTGAATACAAAAGATAAAACAATAAATTTACCCTGAAAACAGAAAAAGATCTTTATATGTGAAGATACATATATATTCTTTATAAAAAAAATTATATATATATATATATATATATATATATATATATAATTTTTCATTCATACATACTTCATTAAATAAATGAGGAGTTACATTATATTTTATTACTACCTTTGTTTAATGTTTCTTTTTAACTAACGAATTAGTGAATAATTTCTTTTTTTTTTAAGTTTAATTAGTTACAATTTTATCTATATATATCTTTTAATTCTTTTAATAATTTTCAAATGTATTTATAATGTGAATAGAGAGAAATAATATAAAATATAGAACTATATATTATTAGAATAAAACAACTTCTTGATTTTAAAAAACTGTAAAAGACTGATAAAAAATTTGAAAATATATTTAGTTACATAGGAAATAGTTGTCATGATAATCATTTATTATAAATAAATAATAAATTATCATTTTTCTTTTTTTTTAATAAAGGTGATAAAATGAAAAAAAAATCTTAATAATACTAAACAAAATGTTGTCAACAAAAACCTATTAAGACTATCAGTTGTGTTTAGAAAATAAATCATATTTAAATTAATCCGACTATAATATAATTAATTATTTTTTTCATTCCATTTTTAAAAAGGTTTTTGTCATAGTTTGTGCTCAAAAATTAAAAATATTTAATTAGTATAAATTATTACTTATTATGATTTGATTAAAATATATTTATTAATTACATATGAGTGATAACATGTAAATATTAAGAAAGAGGTGTGAAATATATCATTATTGAGATTATATATAGATGGAAAAATATTTACTAGGTCTAGAAATTTTTCAATGAAAAAATATAAAAAAAAAAACATTTTTTTTAAATAGAGAAAATATTATTTAAGCATTAAATTGAGAGATTACTTGTTCCAATTCTATTTATTAACACAACTAAGATAGGTTACTTTTACTAATTTAACTCACTCACACAAGCTATAAATGGTAAGTTAAATTGTGTGATCTTTCTTTATTTAATGTTTTCACACACTTAGTTTTCAAAATGTCTATTCTCACTCTCACAGTTTTTTTATTCTAATTTTCTATTTAAATATTAAAAAAATAATTTTACGTTAATTAATAAATTAATTAACATTATATAACTTTAATTAAAAAAATCAAGAAAGTAATTACTGAAATTTAAGATCATAAATATAGAAGTTATTAAAATATATATATCATTTGAAAAAAAAATCATTTTAATAGTTTTAAATAATTTCTCTTATCTAATATTATTCTTAATATATATATATATATATATATATATATAATTATTGGAAGAAATTGTTATAATTAATATAAAGTTGGATAATTTTTCATAAAATAAATTATTATTTATATATTTAATATAATTAACTTGATAATAAATTTGATAGTTTAACTTGATCACACCTTGTATTTTAATTTAGAATTGAATATAACAATTTTATCATTATTCTCATTTTAAACTAAAAAAATTATATTGATTTTGTGTGATTGAACAGTGATATATGTTTGTCTTGCCAATTTAAAGTTAAATATAATATGAGTCAATAATTTGTTAAATTGAATTAAAAATTTTAATAATTAATTGTAATTGATTAATTTGAGTTTAAAAATATCAATAATTATTGAATTGAGTTTGAAATTTTCAAATAATTAGTTTAGTTATTACATTTATAATATAAATAATCAAATAATAGAACATAAAATGATACTTATAAAAATAAAACTGTATAACAAAATAATAAGATAATAAAATTATAGTGATTCTTTGTTATTTCGGCTAATGTTATTAATAAAATAAAACTGTATAATTTTGTTAAGTGTTTTTAAAGTTAAATTCATTTATTGTTTCACTAAATTGTCATATGCAATGGACCCACACAAAAAAAATAAATAGAAGAAAGTGAGGGAAAGATAAATAAAAAAGTAAAACCGCAACTTCATTAATCATATTCACACATCATATCATAATAAATGAATTAATAAATATTAATAACAAATCGTAAGTAACAAAGAGGAAGAAGAGGATGGGATTAACCTAACCTATGTTATAAATATCTATCAAACTTCAATTAATCCTGGAATCGAGGCTTTTATCAATGTTTTAATCTCACCAATAATGAATGACACCCCACTTCATATTCACCAATAGCACCACCACAAGCAATAATAAATAAAAGGAGATAATGCTCACAACTCTGTCCCTTTTTCTTACTCACTCTTTCTTCTCACGTTTTGTGTCCCTCCACTCTCTTCTTCTCCCTTCTTCCCTCACTTTGTGCTATTGGTCTATAAAACTTCCCTGCTTTTTCTCTCCTTATTGACCTGTGGTCATCTTACAACTATACCCACTTCTCGATCCTCTGGTAAGGCTTCCCTCCTGAACAAAAACTGTCTTTTTCACTATTCACTTCATTCTTGATCTCTGCTTCGCCTTTCTTATTGTGTGTATTTTTTCTTTTTTGTTGATACTGTTGTTAAACTGTTGATTTGTTGAGTTTTAATCTTTTCATACCTTTATAATCTTCAGACATGTATATTTATATGTATATCTATATCTATATATGTATGTATATATATATATATATATATATATATATATATATATGTATGTAAAGAGAGAGATAGAGTATGTTCTGTTCTGTGTTTACTGTTGCTATTCATGGTGTTGAGCGGGTTTCCATTGGTTTGGCCTTAGATCTTTTGTTTATGAATGGTTTGATTTGTTTCCTCCTATGTTTTGGGTTTTTTTTTTTTTTTTTTCCGTTCAATCTGTTTGATGATGGTTGATGAGGGATTTTTCTAAATCATAGTTGAACATATGTGCTTCTGATGTTTATAATTTCTCTGTTTGCGGGTGATTTAGATCTGTTCAATCTGGATAGTGCTGATCTTCTGTTTTGACGTGGAAGGTTTTGTTTATAAACCAGAATTTTTGAAGATTTCATTTAAATTGTGTGTAGATGAAGAGATTAAACAGAGGAATGTAATTTTTTAGGGGAATCGAATTTTTACTGAGTATCATGTTCTGTTTGAATGTTTTACACTGAATTTTTTAAATTTTGAAATTCCTCCAAAATAGGTGGAAGAATTAAACTTTCACTCTCCTCCTTCATTCAAATCCTGTAAGACACGTCCCAGACCCTCCCACAGTTGCAGGATATCATTTTTTTTTTACTTTTCATGTCTTTTTTATCTATCGAATACATGTTTATTTTTATACTTTTAATATTAGTATTTTTTACATATTTAGTTTCTTTGGATTTTAATTTATATTGTTAAATTATCCGTCTTTATATATTTTTATTATTGAAAATCATAGTTTTATCATACCTCTGTTTCAAAGTTTTTATTCTGTTTGATACCAGTACCTCTTTACTGAATTCACTTTGAAAAAAATTAAAAATTCAAGCAAGTTATTATAATTTATTGGCTTTTGATTGTTTCAATTAATTTCTTTTTATTAATCAGACCATAGTTTAATTATGTCTAGTTATGTCGATAATTTAGACTTAAGAATATATTTGAATCTTTGAATATTTTAGAATTGATGACCTATGTGAGAACCAAACTCAACTCAATACTGATATCAATTCAAGGTACATGATAAATCAACTTCTGAATTTTTTTCTTTCTAAGTATATTTTTGCTTATATATAATATAACTGGGTGTAAGTGAAAAAAGAATTTGCATAGTGAATCTAATAAGATATTGCTACAGATTTGATGCTTTTGATTATTCATTTCATCTGGAAAGTATTATTTGATCTTTGCACCGCCTCAATTGACAATTATTCCTTGTTTTTGGCTTGTGACAGGTGTAAAGTCAGTTTGTTACTAACTTCATCTGAAGGTGGTAGGTTGAGTTGAACCTCTTTTCCTAGAGACTTGATCTATCTTGAAGCTGTTTTTTTCTGGGAAAAGATGATGATGTTCGAAGACATTGGGTTTTGTGGTGATTTGGATTTGTTAAGTTGTCCCCTTGGAGAGGAGGACGTTGCTGTGAGACAAACAGAACAAGATCCTGTGGTTGACGATGATTACAGTGATGAAGAGATTGATATGGAGGAGCTCGAGAAACGTATATGGAGGGACAAAGTGCGCTACAAGCGAATGAAAGAACAAACCAAGGTCAAGGAAGGGACTGATGCAGTGAAACAAAGGCAATCCCAAGAGCAAGCTAGGAGGAAAAAGATGTCAAGAGCTCAGGATGGAATACTGAAGTACATGCTGAAAATGATGGAGGTTTGCAAGGCACAAGGGTTTGTTTATGGGATCATTCCTGAAAAAGGGAAGCCAGTGACTGGAGCATCGGACAATCTTCGCGAATGGTGGAAGGACAAGGTCAGGTTTGATCGGAATGGTCCTGCTGCCATAGCAAAGTATCAGACTGATAATGCAATTCCAGGAAAGAATGATGGTTGTAATTCGATTGGTCCAACTCCACACACATTGCAGGAGTTACAAGACACAACATTGGGTTCTCTTCTGTCAGCACTTATGCAGCACTGTGATCCTCCTCAGAGAAGGTTCCCTCTAGAGAAGGGTGTTCCTCCGCCATGGTGGCCCACTGGGAATGAAGAATGGTGGCCTCAAATTGGTCTCCCCAAAAATCAAGGCCCGCCACCTTACAAGAAACCTCATGACCTCAAGAAAGCATGGAAGGTTGGTGTTCTTACTGCTGTCATCAAGCACATGTCACCTGATATAGCCAAGATTCGAAAGCTTGTAAGACAGTCTAAATGCCTTCAGGACAAAATGACAGCGAAGGAGAGTGCAACATGGCTTGCCATCATCAACCAAGAGGAAGCCTTGGCCCGAGAGCTTTATCCTGACTATTGTCCACCATTTTCATCTGGTGGAGGTAATGGCTCCATGGTCATCAATGATTGCAGCGAGTATGATGTTGACGGGGCAGAGGAGGAATCAAACTTTGATGTAGAGGACCGGAAGCCTGACCATCTTCATCCATCTAATCTTGGAATGGAGAGAATCACAGGAAGACTACCACCACAACAAATTTCTCATCCATTTAAGGGAGATGTTGTCACAAACCTTGATTTCATCCGGAAGAGGAAGATTCCTGGTGAATTCAACCTCATTATGGATCAGAAAATCTACACTTGCGAGCATCCTCAATGTCCTTACAATGAACCTCGCCTTGGTTTCCATGACAGGTCGGCTAGGGACAATCATCAATTGAATTGTGCATACAGAAACAGTGCTGCAGAGTACGGTGGTGGTTCCAATTTCCATGCTGCTGAGGTTAAGCCAGTCGTATTCCCTCAGTCATTTGTTCAACCCAGCACTACATCCCAGACTGCAAGTGTGGTTCAACCTTCATTTGGTGTAACTGGGCTTGGAGTTCCAGAGGATGGCCAAAAAATGATAAATGACCTCATGGCAGTCTACGATACAAATGTTGCAGGACATCATAACTTACGGTCCAACAACTTTGTAACTTCAGAAAATCGTAACTTTTCTCAGACCATGTTACAGCAACAACAGGACAGTCATGACAATTTTTTCACTGACCAAGGAATGGTGATGGAAGGGAACTTCTTTGCGCGGGAGGAAGGTCAATTTGAGAGGTTCAAGGGCATGAACATGAATGCCCCTTTTGATACCAACCACGTGATGTTTAGCCCCCAGTGTGATTTGTCATCTTTTGATTTTAAGGATATCCAAGGGGTAGGAATGGATACCATTCACAAACAGCAAGAGGTTTCAATTTGGTTCCAGTGATTTGGTTACACTAAAGTCTCTTGACCCAAAAGCAGTTACTGTGTTTTTTTTTCTTCATATGTAATTGAATGTTAAGGTCCAGATATTTATGTGCTTTTTCTCATGTTGGTGGTGTTATGGATTAAGAATCATGGGTGTTCCCATAATGTAACCCTTTTATGTGTGTTTTTATGTAATAGTCCTAAGATGCTACTTATTGTTATAAGGACAACTGTTATATAAATAAAGTTTTTTATTCAGTTTCAATGCTCTACATTCATAGTTAAGGAATCTGAATATGTGGCTCAATTATCATGGGAACAAAACCTAGTTTGGTGGGATGAGAGGAATGCATCTTTCTCATATCAAGTGCTTTTCTTTTCCAATCGCAAAGTAAAAATGGTCCCATCAAAACTTGTTTGGCAGATGCCAATTTAGATGGTTATGGCTATTCAATTGCGTGATGGACTTGCATGTTTGGTGGGGTCTTTTCAAGCGACACGTTGTCTTTGTTTTTTAGTAGTCGCCAGTCAAATCCTTAGGCGTGCGTTGTAATGGTTTCTCATCACCCTTCAATTCTGAAAGAGAAATTGCCTAATTATGAGACAAGGAAAGGACCACATCACTTGACAGTGTTAAGCTTCTGTCCATGTGCTTGGTTAGTTTACGTGCTAATGCCACGTTAATGTTTTTCTAAGTACCTTCATTTCTCAGATACCAGAGGCATGTGTTGCTAAATATCACTTGGAATGGCATAATTGTCACCAATTTCAGTGAGGTAACCAAAAGGTTTGAAAGGGTCACATAACTAATTGCACTAAGTGGGAAAACTACATAGTGCACCATTAATTGTTGTTTGCTTCTGTAGAAATCTCTCTTTTTTCTTTATAAAAGTAACTTTTAATCATTTACAATGACATAATTTCAAATTGTTATATATAGTCAACTTGCCGAGTTTAATAATAAACACTTTAACAGTTAAACTCTATTATTAAATGCAAGTTTACCTTGCCTTTCTCTTATTTATGTTTCTGACTAAATTATAAATTTTGCATTTATAATTCTTAAGTTTTATAAATAACAATTAAGTGATATGTTTTTGAGGTTAAATTTTTTTAATATGTCTTAAACTATATTAATGTTTTTTAGTAACTTCCTGCATTAAACTAATATAGTTTGACTCTTAAAGTAGTGGGTCTTGAGATTAGTTTAAATGCTTTGAAAACGACAAGCATGATAATTTATGGTGACATTAGTTACTTTGGAGACCTTTTATTTATTTTTAAGTCTAATAGAATATTTAAAAACAATAATATTCTAATATATAAACAATAACAAACATAAAATAAGTTATATTATGACTATAATATAGCTTAGTCAATAATCGTATCAATAATATTATAATAATAATAAAAAAAGATATTTAGTTCAAATTTATGAATTTGCACCCACTTGTTTTGTCCATATTTTAGTTCAAAGTTTTGCAATATGGGAGGGGCATAATAAATTATCACCAAATTGTTTGAAAGGGTGGTATAACTAATCACACTACGTGTTAAAATTTGCAAAGATGGAAAATCCACGTAGTGTACGACTACTAGTTAGGTTTTCGTAGAGGATGTTTTTTTTTTCTATGTATTTTTTTATATATTTTAAACTCATTTTACGATACTCTTATTTATATCTTTTTTCTAAATTATAGCTTTCATTTATAATTACTTAAAATTATAATTTTTTTTAGAAAAATGCACCAGTTTGATAAAAAAAAAAAACTTTAATTTGATTATGGAGAAAAGACGGTATATTTGAATTGTATATAAACCACTAGAAAAAAATTACTCATCAAAGATATCAAAATATAATAAATTTAATTTGTCGGTAGGAAAGATATCAAAATAGAGTTAATTTGATTGGTTGGTCTAAAAGATTTTATATATATATATATAAAAAGTTATAAAGGAATAAATTTTGTAACTTTTAACTTAAATCAAATTTATTTTAATTCAAATTATTTAGGTTATGATTTATATGGGTTTAGGCTTATTTAATAAATAGGTTTCATCAGTTTTATAAAATAATAAAAATAAAAATTATATATATATAAAATAAAAAAATGATTTATTATAAAAATAAATATCAATGATAAGACTTTACCAATTACTTATTTTAATATTTAAAATTAGTTTATTAATTTGTTGACTAAACATAAAATTAAGTTAAATTAAAAATTTTAATCCATTTTAAAATATAATTATTTTAAGTTATCAAATTTTTTATTTGATTTATAGGATTAGGTTGAGCTGAAATACCAACTTTATTGTTAATTATACAAATCGTCCAATTAATTAATATATGTTTATTTAATTAGTTTAAAGTTTTATATTTATATAAGTCACTAATAGAAAATTATGAATATTTGTTCTAATTGAAAACTGATTCTCCTTTTCTTGCCGCTTTCATCGTAAAAGGTTATTGCAAAGTCAATTTCAATCTTAAATAGTTTTAATGGTGGTTCTTGAAAGTTGAAATGCAACAAGAGCAAAAAGAATAGTTGAGTCACTGTTGATCTTACACACTGAGTAATGATGATAAATATTCCTACAGACATACTGTACGACAATACAATGTTGCATCAATCTATACCAGAAGATAAAAATGAAGGCTATGAATTAACGTACAAAAATATATGAAAAATGAGGCATCAATAAAAGTAAGATGGTGACAAATCTGATACTGAAAATCCCATTTTAGAGAAGGGTTGACTCAGTGGTAGAAGTATAATAGTTGAAAAGTGAAAGGGTGTGGTTAGCAATTCGTGAATGTGACGGTACCGTAGGTAGGTTGCAGACTAAGGAAGATCCATGGCTTTGCTTTCTCTTCAATGGAAAGAAAGACACCTCCATAGTACCCTAGCTGGCGACATGCATGCATTCTTTATCATCTACGTGTCTTCAAGTTCAGATTAATAATATGTGACTCTCTCACGTTATTTATATCCACTTTCTTCCTTAACTCTTAACTTGGATAGGGTTTAAGAAAGATAGTGTTCCATGTTTTTTCTTATCAGTGCATGCTCTGTCTCTTTCTTTTTCATTCATATGATCTATTTGAATAGCGTTGAAGTATCACATGAATCATAATGACTTTAGATGAAATTATTATTTTTTATATTATCAATACGTTACATACAGAATTTAGTCAAAAAAATATGGCTAGCATTTATTATATAAATATATTGAATGTGTAGAAATTAAACTGATACGAAAATGACAGAGGGGTGTAGATAAAGAGAGAAAATTTTGATGATGAAGCTTTTTACTCAATTATTGAAGCCATGTAATACAATTTAGCATAAAAAAATGGAAGTGGGTGGGGTCGTGGTAAAACGTGCTTGTTTTCTTCAGATTGTGACACCAAGAACTTTGAGATGTGTTAGTCAGACTGTAGATGAAGCACTCATGCACGATGCACCCCACCTTTCCCAAGATGATAGCTTTTGTATAAAATATGTAATTTTTGTCTTTCACTTTTTCGAGTCACTCATCCTTCTCTTTTAACCCAAAATTTTCACAACATCATGTGGAGATTCCAAAAGTCTCAAATATATGTCAGTTTTCTAGAGAGACCGCTTATCAGAAGCAGTTGGTTCTGGATTGATTTTAAGGATTGGCTGCAATGTTTTAAAAGGTTTCATCATTTTTTATAAATATTACTAGACAAAATAATTGTTATTATTTTAAAAATATTTTGTAGTAATAATTATTTAAAAATTAATTTAAATTATAAGAGAATTTAAATTCCTAACTCAGAGTAGAAACTCATATCATTTTTTTACGTGATATTTGATTAGATTATTCTTTTCTCTTTTTAGAAAATTTAGTCGTTACTATTCATCATTTTTGAAGTATTTGTTTCCCTCTTATTTTCATAATTCTCCACAAATTAAAAAAAATGTTTAGAATTTAATTAAATACTAAAATAAATTGGTAGCTAAAAAAGTATTATAATCATAATTTTGGTACTGAAGAAATTAAGATGCAACCCACCAACGCTCCCTAAGGTAGGCTAGTTTTATCAATTATTCTATTGCAGTTGAAAGGTATCTTGAATATGAAGAAGTTGAAGAACAATTTTTTAAAACAAAAGAAAAAGTTGAAAAGATAGTTAGGTATAACTATTATAATGGAAGGAGGAAAGAGAATAAGTTGATGAGAGAGAAAAGCATAGAATATTACTAGAAGCCCCAAAACAAGAATGCTTTTGAATTTTGTATACAACTATTTTTTAAAATTATAATAATGCAAGAGAGAGAAAAGAAATACAAAACATGATTGGAATAGATGGAGAGAAAAAAATTATTGTATTATTGAATTAAATAATACAAAACATGGGCGATTTAATTATTATAATATTTTTTTTCTTAATTAGTATGTAATATACTATAAATTATAATTGAGAAAAACCTAAAAGTCAAAAGTAGCACATTCAGTCATGTCTCTGTCACTATTTCACTGTTAACTATCACGGATGGCATAGTCAAAAGGATACTAATAAAATGCCAAAAATGATAAAATATTTTTTTAATATTAAATAATAATATAAGATATGTCGTAATCATGGAAACATATTAATGTTTCTCTTTTTCTTCAGTGACCAGATATTGATCATGTGAGTGTTTTCATGAGAATTGATATCGGGTGTAGGCCCAATAAGAAGAGGTATCCTGTAAAGGACGCACTGGACTGAAGTTTTCAAATTGAGGCCCAAATGTTTGGCTAGTTAGGCCCAATCCAATACTAAATGAATCGTTTTAATTAATGACTTACCCATTCGATTACTACCCATTAATAGAGTAAATTAACAAATTTAATATCCGGTTCGATTTTCATAATATTGATACAGCGTTTGTATAATTTTTATAATAAAATTGGGTCCAATTAACCATTTATAATAAAAAAATATATAGAAACTTAAAAGACATTATATATTTTGAGACAGTGTTTTGGATGAAAGTACGTGGATCATATATAAAATGTTGAGTTTCATATTTATGGGCCGATTTTAGTATTGAACCCTTGTACATATTGTTGGGGCTGTTGCTTCCTGCACTCCCATAATTTCTTCTTGTACGTCATAATTAAATTGAAATTCATTTTATCCTTATTCTTATTTTCATCTTCCATTAATGTTATTTTTTAATTTGTTCAATGGCTGATTTTTAAGGCCTACTATAACATTTTCACTCTTTCCTCTCATATTCTTCCAAAAATTACAAGAAATGAGTAAAAATGTCCAACTTTTTTTTTTATTTTGTATCAAATTTTTATATATACAATATTCATGCAACAAATTTTTTAGCTGAAAACACATTATAGGGAGTGAGAAAACTGGAATTGCTTTTTGAAAAATATGTTCTAGAAAGTGTTTTTTAAAATAAATTTATGAAAAATCAATTTCAGAAACATTTTAGAAAATCCTCTCCAAAATACATTTTCAGAATTAATTTTTTGAATTCACCATGGAGTACATTTTGAACGCATTTTTCAAAATGTATTTATTTAATTTATTTTCTAGAAATGCATTATGAATTCATCTTTCCATAATTGATTTCCAGAAATGCATCTCGTCGTAAGTATTCTAGAATAAGTGTTTCGGAATACTTTTTTTAAAAAGTCAATTTGAAAATGGTGTTCTAAAATTTAACCTCATTTTTGGGATATTGTTTTAAATTAAACAATTTAGGTCAGGTGGTATAATTTGAAAGGAGGAACCTCTAATTCATACATAATATTAAATATTATTTATTATTAGAAAATACTAATGGAGATGATAGCACAAAATACTAAAAAAAAAAATTAAATAGCCAAAGAATAGATATGCAAAAATCATATAAAAATAGAAAAAGAAGTTAAAGGTAAAAAATAAGACTACAAGAAAGATATTTTAAATATTGGAGAGTGTATGAAAATGTATAGAGAAATTACGGGGACAGGAAGCAATAGGCTGTTGCTAGTCCCATGACAATAACTTTTTATGATTGGTAGGTTATTGTTCAGATATGCTAGTCTCTGCCTGCATCTGCAATGATGAAGACAATGAATTGGAGACCCTGGCCATTATTCGTCACTATATTGAAACACTGGATCATTATTTTGGCAGTGTCAGTACCATAAACTGCTGAAATCTGAAGTTCTGAATAAATTGTAGACATGCTTCAGAACCTGAATTTGTTTCTCTCTTGCTTCTCTTACCATGGATTTAATCTTTATTAATTTTCATAAGGGAATTCATATTCTCTCAGGTCGTATTCTCTAGTTATTATTCAACAACTTGAATATGAAATCCTCGCATCATAGTGCACTCAGTTCAACTATATCAGGATATCCTTTCATGCATTAAGTTAAGAGTTATTTTCCATGTTTAGTTTCATCCATGCCAAAACCCACAAATTATCTTCAACAACTAGTGTGTTTTGCTGGTTTCAAGTGGTCTATTAGACCAATTTGTACTGTGGCTCATTTTAGCTTACTGATTTTGTGGATGAAAATTTTCTTGGCTTGCTTGCCATATCACTGCCATTCTTGCATCTATTAATTAGTAAAAGCACAACATGAGTGCTTACACCAACAACAAAATGATGAGGGAAATGAAAACTAGGACACGAAACAAAGGCAAACTAAACTAAAGGAAAACAGTGTCAACTTCAGTTCTGTTTGATAAATATGAAAACTTAGAAAACTTAACAAACCGAAATATTAACTCTCTAATATCCAAAATATTCTACTGATTCTCAATAACATCACTTTAAACGATCAACAATTACAAAACATTCCAATAAACTCTAATTAACTTCTTATTCATTTTAGGTAATAAAACCTAACCGTGTTTCTTATTGATGAACACCTTCCTGAGAAGGCCACATGCTAGAGCCTCCCTAGGTATACGCTTAACATTTTGAACAGCCTCAGCAAAAATCACACCCATTCCCATGTACAAATGAGGCTCAATGTGACAATGGAAGGCCCAAACTCCAGGATTATCTGCCTTGAACCTCAAAGCAGTCCAACCATAAGGGAATATCACTGCAGTGTTCCTCAATGGTGGGTTCTTCAAGTTGAATTTCCTCTCATCACCCTGTTCAAACTTCCCATCTCCATACCCCAAAACCCAAAAGTCATGCCCATGCAAATGCCAAGAGTGAATCTCACTATTTTTCCCACTCAGTACATTAGCATTTTGGAGTATCACATCAACCACTTGGTTGAACTGAAGCGTGTAAACCCCACTACCAATGTTTGAATTATTGTTGGAGGGAGGGTTGTAGATGTCATAATCCTCTGAGAAAGTGTCTGGGGGGCTTTTTGTGTCAAAGGCAGCATTGACATTAAACTTAATAGAGCCTAGGTAAGGAGTTGATGGCAATGCCAAGGAGACATTGTTGATGGCCCATCTAGTGAATCCACCAACAAGGTTTTGGGTGTTGAGAAGGAGAATCCTACGATCATAGTGTTGAGGAGGTTTCTCGGTTCCCTCCAGAGCAAGAACTTTGTAAGTGAATGCCTTGCTACGATTGTAATCATTCCATTGAGGAGTGATTGGTGGTGGAGAAGTGGGAAAAACTGAGGCAGATATTGTTTTGTAGTTTAGGATAGTTAGCCCCTGCGGGGTGTTGGGTTTTCTTCCTCTAACACCAATTGAAATCCAGTAGTTCTTCTTTGGATCTTGATTTGTTGTGAGGAGGACCGAATAGGTTTCACCAGAATATATGTCTATGTCATCAACCGTAAATGGTTGCACGTAGTTTCCATCAGCTTCCACCACCACCAATTTGTGGTCCTTTAAGAACAAAGATATCAAATATTAGCTCCAGTTAAAATCATTCATTTGGTAGTAAATAAAAATTAAGAAACCTTTTGGTGCTTTTCAAGTGCTATCTAGTAACATAAATGGTAATAAAAATTGTGTTTTCATTATCAGTAACAACTTTAAAAATTATTAAAACGTAAAACCATACCATGATGTGCACATATATGAATTTCATGGAAGAATGATTAAAACTTATTACCCCAATGGCCAAGTTGAGAGATGCTAAGGAGGTTGTACTAGCAATCCTGATTCTGTAGGTCTTGTTTGGATGAACATGAAAAATGTGGGGTGCACATTGTTCATTGCCTCTGAACTTGCATTGGGGCAAGGTGGTTTTGACAAGATTAGCCGCCAAGGAACAATTGTATTGTCCTCTTCCATTAATAAGCAGTGACTGAAAAAAGTAAAATGTTTAGGTCAGAAAATTATTTCCACTCCAATGACTTTTATAAGCTGAAACTTATAATAATCAAAGTAGTGTAGATAGCTTCCTCTTTTTTTATTCCTTCTACTTCTAGAGTTAGCCTCACCTTGAAACTCTAAGGAATTAATTAAATGTTAGAAATAATGGGAACTATAAGATATTAATTTTGCTCTTCAAAGTACTTCGTCAAAGTGAAGTTATTTGAAGAAGCACGGCACTGTAAGTTTTTTCTTCCCTTTTCCATCTCTCATAATTAACTTTCAAGTAACAACGGAAATATTATAACAACCATTTTAAGTTTATTATTTACTTATAAATATTACTTTAGATTTTACTTTCTTCTTCTTCTTGAATACAGAGTCAACTATTTAAAACACTCAATACTTTTTGGATATCATTTAAATTTAAAATATTGTGTTAAAGAGTCTAAGCTTAATACGTTTTTGGCCAAAAAGAAACTATCTATGTATAACTTTGAAAATAATCATTACAAATTTAATAGTCTTGACATATAAACTCATTATTAATTATAATATAAAATATTACATGTTGAATTTCTTGCTGAAAATCGAATATGTTTCTCAGTTTTATTTTTTCCTTGTTTGTACTAAAATCCAATACATTGATATATCCACTTCAACTTGTAGGGATGAAGGCGTTCAATAAGTCCATTTTTGTTTTCGTTTTCTTCTACTTTTGGCGTGAACGAGATGAACAAAGCATGTGTTTGTAGATAGTTGGGATTAGATTTTGATCTGCCATGAAATTGGATCCAAACGTTCAAAATTTGTTTTTATATATACTTGCATCACATGTGGAATATTGGGACATAAAGCTGACATGTGATATGTTCTTTGTAAACTTTAAGAATAATAATAGAAACATTGGAGAATTGAATGAAACAATAACAACAATTACCTGAGGTTCATTAATCCATCTGAATGGAATGGAAGAGAGACCAACTTCTTGTTGATGTATGGTTTTGTGCCACCAATCACTCAGCAAAAGGTTGAACTCACCATCATAATGGAATGCCTCTTTCTTTCCCTCTGCTAAATCCACTATCAGAGAACCATACAACCCTGCTGTTCTCTGCATACCATAGTGTCCATGGTAGAAGTAAGTACCTGCCTAAACAATGTTTTTACCTCAGATTCATACTCAGCAAACTATGCAAAAAGCACACATAGAGAGAAAGCAAATGGGAATCTGTAATGGAAAGTGATGAAGTCAATTTTTTGTACATACCCTTTCAACTTTGAATCTGTAATGAAAAGTTTCTCCAGGGGCTATAGCACACTGAGAAACGGAAGCTGTTCCATCTGCCCAAGGCGTTCCATACTGCAACACAAGACATCCAAAAATAATTTTTACTTTTTTCGTTGAAAAAATAGTGTGTAAAGACTCTTTGAAACCTATACATATATGCATGGAATGGAAACCTGTCTAATTCCATGCCAGTGAATAACTGTTCCTTCTGTGGAGAGTTTATTTGTGAGAATAACATGAAGGGTGTCTCCAGCTTCAGCTCTGATGGTTGGGCCAGGAAATTGGCCATTGATTCCCATCACAACGTGTTCTTGGCAATCAGGTTCACCATACATGTACTCCACATCAAACTTGTAGTGCCTTACAGCTCCTAGTGATAGTTGTAACAAACACAGCCAGATGCAGCACAAGATTTCACCTCTTAAGCGCATTATATTGTTGCTTTTGCTCGCAGAGAAGGAAATTCTCACAGATTTATCAGTTACAAGTTATTGATCTGCTACGTAGCTTGTGCATTATGGCATAGCAACTGGGTTTGTATATATATACATAAGAGGCGATAGAGGTACCATTATTACAGATTTTTAAAAACCACAGAAAATTTATAGAGGGAGAAATATGATACAATTTCATTGTCTAAGTTTTATAAAGGGAGAAGATATAAAAAGGTGTGACAAGTGGTATAGTATAAAGACAAACAATATCATCATAAAAAGAAGAGTTCTTATATTTTTACACTATAAAAAAACAAAAACATTCATTTAATACCTCATTTTTAAATTATTATATTATTATTTATTTATTTATTTTATTCTCTTTCCGTCAATTAACCAAACAAATAATATTTTAAAATTATCAATAAGATAATTGTAAAAATAATTGTCAAAATATCTTTTCCCTAAAAGATTTATATTAGATGAATAATATAACATAATATTTCTTTTTAGTCTCACTGTTATTTAGATTTTTATAAATGTTCGAATCACAAATTTATCCTTTTCTTCCTGAATTTGGATTATTTATTTAAACTAAATGTATATTTCCTTTTTTTTTTAATATGAACATAGAAGTTGACCGGGTAACATTAATGAACTTTTAATTTGTAAGGACGTGTTTGTTTGTGTGCAGTGACAAGTTAAAGTCACATATAAGGAATAACTATTGCTCTAGCCTCTAAAAGTATTTGACTATTTCTTAAAATTGAAAAAAAAACAAAAAGATTTCCTATATTGATCCCTAATTATAATCTTTCAGTTTGTATTATTATTATTATTATTTTAATATAACAGTTTAAAAAATAACTAATTTTAATTATTAAATTAAAAAATACATGATAAAAATTGAAATTAAAAAAATCTTATTCTTAAAATAAATAGATATTTTCTCTTCATTGTTAATTATTTTATAATTATACTTAAAAAAAAAAGACACTTCTAAATATATAACGATAATTCAATATTATTTTTCCCACATTATAAAGGTTTTGTAACAAAGTTTTAAAAGTCTTGAATAGAAAAAAATATTTTTGGATTTTGTATTAATTATTTTTTAATTTAATTTGACATTATTTAGTTATGTATAAATAATTAAGTTTCATCTCATAAAAATACTAGTTAATAATAATATAAACGTTTTTAAACATTTTATCATTTGTAATGAGTTATTTGTTTTCTTAATTTTCTTACAGAATCCTTCTTTAATTAATATTGTAGAATATATTATTTGTAAATCGTCTATAAAATCATTTTTATTAATTAAATTAGTTTTTGAATTTTTCATACTTAATTTTAAAAAAATATATATTTTAATCTTTTTCCGTATATTTTTTTTATCCTTAAGTTTGTGAAGTATTAAGAATTTGGGATTGAAAATTTTGTAAAAATTTTGGATTATAAAATTTTGAATATAATATTACTTCTTTTTATTTAATTTAAAAAATATTTTTTACATATATGATTTAAATTTTAAATAGAAGAAGTTTTTAAAAATAAACTTTACAGAAATATTCTTGATCAAATTTTATGACAATATTTTAAAATTAGTTTTTTGAAATATATATTTTAAAAAATTTGATTCCAAAAATTTCCTTCCCATTTTTTTCACATGATTTTAGTGGTGATTAATTTTTTAAAATAATTTTTTTTCATTAAAAATTATAAAATTATAAGCAAGGTTTATTAGTAAGAAAAGAGTTCACAATATTTTATAATTTTTAATAAATTTCATTATAAAATAATAAAAATGTTAAAAGTATAGACTAATAATTCTCAAATAAGCACATATAATTTTTTATAAAATTTACAAAGTTTATGTCAAAATTAAAAAATGTAGAGTAACATGGAAACATGACATGTTATATAACTCAAACAAACAATGATGAGGGAAAGAAAGAATACACATGCACAGAGAAAGGTAACTTAAATTATTAATTTGGCAAACAAAAACCTGGGTAGTTTCAATTATGTTTCTTGTTCATGGCAATGTTCCTGGTGAAGCCACATCTTATAGCATCTCCAGGTATACTCTCCACACGTTCAACACCCTCAGCAAAAACCACTCCCATTCCCATCTGCAAGTGAGGTTCAATGTGACAATGGAAGGCCCAAACTCCAGGGTTATCTGCCTTAAACCTCAAAGCAGTCCAACCATATGAGAATATCACTGCAGTGTTCCTCAATGGTGGGTTCTTCAAGTTGAATTTCCTCTCATCACCCTGTTCAAACTTCCCATCCCCATACCCCAAAACCCAGAAGTCATGTCCATGCAAATGCCACGGGTGAATCTCACTGATATTTTTCTCATTCAAGGAATTGGCATTTTGGAGTATCACATCAACCACGTGGTTCAACTCAAAGGTGTAAACCCCATTTCCACTTTTTGAATTAGGGTTTAACGGAGGGTTGAAGATATCATAATCTGCTGAGAAGTTATCAGGAGGGGGATTCTGGTCAAATGCACCATTGATTTTATACTTGATGGCACCCAAGTAAGGAGTTGAGGGTAATACTAAGGAGATGTTGTTGATGGCATATTTGTCACATCCATCAACTAAGTTTTCTGTGTTGAGAAGGAGGAGTCTTCTGTTATAGTAATGTGGAGGTGGTGGGGTTCCTTTAAGGGCAAGAATTTTGTGAGTGAATGCTTTGGTGAGATTGTAGCCACCAAAACAAGATGTGAAGGGGGGTGGAGAAGTAGGGAAAAGTGAGTTAGGGATATTTTTGTAGTTTAGAATGGTGAATGCTTGAGGGGTGGTTTCTCTTCCTGTTACACCAACTGATATCCAATAATTTTTGTTTGGATCTTGGTTTGTGGTGATGAGGACTGAGTAGCTCTCCCCGGAGTGTATGTGTATGATGTCTGTGGAAAATGGTTGCACGTAGTTTCCATCAGCTTCCACCACCATCATTTTGTGGTTCTGTAAGCAAAGAGAAAAGGGTAAGTGGAAATTTTCTAAAAATCTACAACAAATTCATTTGGTGCTACTTTTTATAAAAGTTTGCTGAAAAACTCACATGAAATATGAACAAATTTAGTAATGAATGCTTGATTAGTGGAAAACACATCCCACAGGCACAAGTTAAGTTATGGATAATTTGTGAAGAAAAAGACACATAGTGTATATGCATAGATAACTTACTGCAATGGCAAAATGGAGAGATACAAGGGAAGTTGTGCTGGCAATCCTTATCCTGTAAGTCTTGTTTGGATCTACTTGAAGAATGTGGGGTGCACATTCTTCACCCAATTCAAACTTACACTGTGGCAGTGTGGTTTTAATAAGATGAGCTGCCATTGAACAATTATATTGCCCCCTTCCATTTATGAGCAAAGACTGAAAAAGTTAAATTTTTTAATATCAGGAAATTCTTTCTAATCAAATTGCTGTCAAATTGTATGAAGCAGTAAATGAAAAAGAAAGCAATCGGAGAGGTTACAAACATTCTTTCTTAATTTCTTGTTGCTAGCCACACACAAAATGTTAAAAAAAAATTAATGTATTCCAAAAGAATTAGCTTTTTCAAGAAATAATCACTTCTTATATAGATGAATGCATGGTACATATATATTTTGTAATTTTCACAACCAAGGTACGTTTAACAACTCCATTTAATGTACAAACAAAAAATATTCCATTGCCAATGAATTTGAATCCATATATATACACGCTGTAAAACATATCCTCAATTTGTTTTTATAGAAACATAGTAGAATGAAGAAAGGTGGAGATAGATAAAAATATCAAATGTTCACTATTATTTGAAAATAGAAAGGTTATTTTTATGAAATTTGTTGGAAAAACCTTTCCTCCTCTCCTAAATATGAATGATAATAAGGTGGGATGAATACAAGGAATAATATTAAGCAATATTAAAATATAATTTAAATAATTAAAAATAAATATTTTTGTATCCTATATTAATATTTAAAATAAATAATTCTAAACTATATTATACTAAAAATAGATTAATTTATTTTAAACTATATTAAGACTTGGTTTAAGACTAATTTAGCTCGGTCAGCACATATTCGTATATATTAGTAAACTAATAAACGCAAATATGTATATTTTGCTACAATAATTCATTCCTAAAAAATTATTTTCAATTTTTTTTAACTTAAGTATTATAAAATACAAAAAATAAATATAATGCATAAATTTTTATTTAAAAATATTTGAACAAATTAATTAAATAAAAAAAATGTTGTTTACTTAACTCACTTTTCTTTTCATGTTTTTTATTCTATATTTTATTTTTCTATTTCTATTTCACTTATAATCCAAACAAATAATTAATGAATTATTGGGTATGTTCACAAACTTAATTTTAAACTACTTTAACTATGCAAAAATATGTTTAATGAAAAGTATATTTGAAGTACTTTGATTTGATAAAAGTCATCATATTAAATTTTGACATTAATTTCGTAGTATTACATTACTAACTTATGAAAGACATATTGTTGATACACATGTAATTAGTTTTTTCTACTGCCAAAATAATAAAGTCCACCAAAATCATGTTCAAATGCAAATTTTGGTTCTACAAAAATTATCAAACATGATAAGTGTTTTGCTTCAATTACCTTAGGGTCATTCACCCATCTGAATGGAATGGAAGAGAGACCAACCTCTTGTTCATTTGTGGTTTTGTGCCACCAATCACTCAGCAAAAGGTTGAACTCACCATCATAATGGAATGCCTCTTTCTTTCCCTCTGCTAAATCCACTATCAGAGAACCATACAACCCTGCTGCTCTCTGCATACCATAGTGTCCATGGTAGAAGTACGTACCTGCCTGCACACATACTTCTAGTTTTACCTCATATTCATAACTTTTGTTTTTCAAGCAACACCAAGATAGAAATAATTAATTAGGGAGATGAATGTGATCATGTACATATATGAATGTATACCTTGTCCACTGTGAATCTGTAATGAAAAGTTTCACCAGGCGTTATAGCACACTGTGAAATTGAAGCAGTTCCATCTGCCCAAGGTGTTCCATTCTGCACCAAAAACCATGTATGGGTTTAAGTTCATATAATTAACCTTTAATAGATCATATTTTCTATCTGTTGTAAAACTTCACTGTCCACTGTAATTTTCTTTCAAATCATCCAAACAAACAAGTATGTATAATATTTATAAAGAATATTTGTTGGCATTTATTAACTGTCTGGACCAAAAGTATGCTATTTTTAAATTAGGAGGAGGTAAATATGATAAAAATAAAATAAATTATTAATATTGAAAATTTAAAAGATTTTAGACTATATATTAAAACCTGTCTAATTCCGTGCCAGTGGATGACTGTTCCTTCTGTGAAAAGCTTATTGGTGACAGCAATATGAAGGATGTCTCCAACATGAGCTCTGATGGTGGGGCCAGGAAATTGGCCATTGATTCCCATCACAATTTCCTCAATGCAATCTGGTTTCTGGATCATGTACTCCACATCAAACTTGTAATTCCTCAGACCACCTATTGATAAATGAGCCAAGTTCAGCCACATGGACCAAAGGGTGAAAGCTTTGAAGATCATCATGACGTTGATTTTGGTTGGAGAGCTTGAGAATAGTGTCAACAAGTGATGAAGTTGCAATTAAATGAACTGAAAGATGTGAGAATTGAAAAGGGTTTGATCATGTGAAGGTTGGATTTCGTATATAGTAAGAGATAGCACTTAGGAGATATTACGTGTTTGGATGAGTGTTTACAAAAGTGGTGATAATTATAAATGCGTGTTTAAAGGCGTGGTGGATCATGTTAAAAAAAATGTCAGAAGTGGGATTTGAACCCACGCCCCCTTTCGGAGACCAGAACTTGAGTCTGGCGCCTTAGACCACTCGGCCATCCTGACTAACTTATGTTAATTTTAAGTATATTATATTATTTATCTTATTATATAAATGGAATCATAAATAAAATTGTATAAAAAAATAAATAAAAATGCCAGTAACCACGACTTAATTATGGTTTGCATCGAATTGTGCTGCGGAAACGGCTTTGGCTCCATTGATAGCTTTCATAAGCCTTTTCTTTGCTTTGCAAAGTGCGAGAAGTCTAAACGCTGCAAGAAGAAAGAGAACCCGACCGTACATTTGGCAAAGATGGAAAATGAGGAGCAGTGAAAAAAAAGGACAGCAGTGATTGGTATATTTTCAATTTTTTATCTAATTGTGAAACTAACGCAGAACCAAACAAAATATATTAATCATTTTTTATTAACTAATAAATAAAACAATTAAATGAACTTAAAAAAAGTGCATAACACAACCAAACAAAATGTGATAACAATTGAGATGTTTCAATGCAACTCACTATCATCGCTTGCCAGGATATCTTTATCGAAGAGAATGATTTCAGCACGCCAAATGATCCCAATTCTCAAACGACGTATTCCAACAATGAGCGCACTAAAGGTGAGTTTGAAAAAGATACACAACCATGTCTTCTTGCTAAAAGCGTACAAAATGAAGCCGATGTATGCAGAAGAAAAGGGCTATTCATTTGAAAACCTGTAAATCACTCCCCAAATATTTCACTTCCCCAAACCTGATGGGGATCCAACCACCTAGCTGAGTGGTTAACTCAAAACATCTCCGAATGATATTTAAAATTATAATTCTGAGCGTTAACTCAACCACCTAGCTGTAACACAAGACCCCTATTTGCTGGTCCTGTTTACCATTTTCATTGCATCCTTTGCTTCTCAAGTGTCAGCTTTTGTAAGAGAAAAGAACAGATGAATATTTCCTAGTATCACGAGCCAGTTTGTAACTCATCAATGCTTAATGAGTAAACCATCTTCGAAGATATTTTTTCTCCTCGCAAATTATATTCAGTGACACCCAGTAATACGTGAAGTGAAATACCACGGCGACAAAGAAACAAAACAATAATAGAGCTTGCAATAGGAACTAAGTATTGTTTTATAGTGGGGAGCAATGCGTGACATATTTTCAGTGAGTGACTAAGTCGACTTTTTCCAAGTATTACATCAATAGATATTCAAGTCTCAACATTGTCAGATCTTAATATTGTTACAAATGTCAATGCTCTTCAGTATGTAAATTTACATATACCAGAGATTACATTTACCACTGCCCATTACACTATGAGGTAATACACTTCAATTTTAGAATATATATATATATATATATATATATATATATATATATATATATATATATATATAATTCAACGCAGATTGAGATCCTACCACATCACGTTATTCACGAGCAGTTTGTGTCGTAACTTACAAGTCCCAACAACTCTGGACCTTCCAAACGAGGGTTATTCTCAAAGCTACAGCATTGAAACAAAAAAAACGCTTATTCAACATAAAACAGGAAAGAACATAACCAGATAGCAGAAAATATGTTCTAGCAAGAATCTAAAGTGCACACATTGAAATGATTTCAGAATCAGTGCACCAGAAAAGCAGGAAGACCAACTATAACAAACTAAACAAAATGCAATCAGATTTACTGTCATCACAATTCACAAACGCATTGTTACAGGGCAGCCTCCCAAAAGCAACAGGGATTTAATTATATGAAATTTTGCATTCCTATTATCCCATGAAACAATTGGATAATGTCTATTACATGCATCTGTATCATTACACAACATAACAAAAAATTACAATCAAATAGAATGTGAACAAGAAAGCTTTAACATCTTAATCATTAAGAAGCAAAAATTGCAACGAAGTGATACATATAGCAGTGTATGCCAGAAACGGTTACTAGATTTCTCTTTGATGTCCCCCCCCCCTTCCCTCCCCCAAAACATTTAAAAAAAAAAAAAAAAGTACCAAGGCACAGGAGAGATATGTTGGGACCTACTTATTCAATGGAATATGCTCGAATGGCCCAGAGGTAGGAATTGTACCGCATAAATCATTGTTGGAGACATCCCTGAAAATAAAGTTAATGTTTAGTCTCTTTAAAAGCACATATCTTCATCATACCACCAAATAATTTTATCATGATCAACATATAAAGACAACATTGTTCCTTACACTACTTTAAGGCTCGAAACAGCAGCAAGTTCCTTGGGGATAGGACCAGTTAGTCGATTGTCATTTAATCGTCTGCAAAGAAAACAGATGAAACATGCAAGTGCTGAATATTTAATTCCAGAAAATAATAATCAGAGGCCTCACCAGTTAAGAATCTGGTAGGTTACACCATATCATATTGAAAGACTAACAGCTTCAAAATCTTCAAAAATGGAATTACTAAGATTGCTACTTATTTAAAATTTTAAGTTAGCTTCCTGGTGTTGGTTGAACAAATTTCAGACTCTAGGAAAGAAAATGGACTTCAACAGGTCATTCATTGACTAGAGGTTTGATTTATAAGGGATTTTGGATGTTGCTCAACATCATCCATCATAATTTTTAGATTGAGAACTTCAATATTACACTTACACAGGAACGTTTTAAGTTAATTAGTTTGCTGAGATTAAATCATACCACAGAATGTTGGAACTGAAGTCATCTCAATTTAATCAGAATGGGTTGTACTAGAGTCACTCTTCACTCAGTCATCGGCCATTTTATGGATCCCCTACCCGCTTCCCTCTTTGAGGAGATTTTGTTTCTTTACACTGACTGGACTAAATTATGCTGTCCTTCATGGTTTTATTTGTCTATTCTAAGGATAAGATAGTAAGCTATTCTATCTTCCCTTCTCTCCCTTCCTTTGAACTAAACACTAGGTTAATATTTCTCCTGTGAATAAGGTTTAAATTTGGATATGAGCATGTGAATTTTTGAAGCAATTCATTTCATATCTGCTATCATGATTCAGATGTCTTAAAATCAAATATATGCCCTACAGCTCAACATCTTAATATCAACCACAAAACCCACAATTGTCCATGCCCAAACTTTACATAAAATATATAACTGAAAAACAACAAAGTCCATAAGTTGCTATCCAAATGTTCTTGTAACTCTCCTGCATTATTCAAACTTATGTAAGAAATTCAAATGAAAGGGTAGGGGAAGCAACAGATCAGTCTAGGCATGCTTAATATGTATGTTATTACAGACTTACAAAAAAACAAGATTCTTCAATTTCCCCAATGAAGATGGAATGGTGCCTGATATGTTGTTGTTGTACAAGTCCAAGCTAACTAGACTCTTCAGGTTACCAAGTTCAGGAGGAATAGTTCCTTGAATGTTGTTCTTGTACAGTTCACTACATCCAATTAAAAGAAAAAACACATGAAACACAAACCAATATGAAATGCTTTAGTTCACTGTCAATGGATCAATCATTTCAGTAGTAATATGGACACAATACGAAACACAGATACTTTCACACACTTCAGCAGTAGGTACACAAGCCTTTTAAAAATTCCATGAAAATCTAATACAGCTACATATCAGACAGACAAAAAGAGTATAGTATTGAAACATAAAAGCATTGTCCCTTAATAAATCAAAAAATGGAAATTGTCCTCTTTATGGATGATCTCAAGAGAGAAATGATAATGATATTACTCGTACTTGCAGACAATACGGAATGATTAACAATTACGATAATTTATATTTTTTACTTTGTACATAGTAATGTCTACAAGTGTTCTTACTTTGGATTTGCATAATTGTAATTATATAGTTATTATGTATTTTTTACAAATTTATAAATATTTAGATATTGTGTAAGATATATCTAGATACATTTATAGAATATTCGTATCATAGTAACTAATGCAAATAGTAGCTGATACATATAGTGTATCTAAGCATCATAAGAACACATTAAATAGACTTAACGTGCTTCTTTTTTGTAACACAAAGTGATTTATGATGATAATGATTCATAATTTTTATATTGTTGACAAGTATCTCATATGTATTGCCAGTATGTTTTTAGAATAATCATATCACCATATCTGACTTAAGTGTGACAATATCTGCAAAAAATATTAGCAAACATACAGATACTGTAGATGCTCGAGCCTCCCAAGTTCAGGTACCAAATGTCCAGATAGGTTAGAGTTACCAAGATCCCTGTAGAAATCACAATAATTATCATCATAAATGTTGAGATAATATAGATAGATTCGGTCAATCAAACACACTTCAGTTAGCTTTGCAATATTACCAATTATAACAGCAACAATCTATGAAGAGCCAATACTTTCTTTTTACCCTCGTATCCCATACAATACACATCAATACCTTACCAAACCGTACAAGGGAAACAAAAAGTATCTAAACTACTAATAAAAGACCTGAAATTTAATTTAAATATACATATGAGATATAGAAGCATGAATTGCAATACATATTTATTATGTTTTATGAAATTGTACATATATCTAAATAAGCCACGTACACATCCAACATATTTTAAAATTATACACCTTGAATCAATGAGAAATCATCGTTTAAATAACGTTTGGGCTAAGTATTATAAAAGTCAACAAACTTCTCCATTTGCGATTAGATGACGCCAAATTTACACTGTCAATACATAGATTATTTATTCAACTGCTGTAACAAGTCCCACATCATAGGCAACAATAATCCCGCTCACAAAAAGTGAAACAGCAAAAAGAGGTGTCAAATTAAACTACATAAAAGAAGACCAATGATATGATTCACAATATAGAGAAAACATAAGCACCAAATAATCAGTTAAGTAAGCATGGAAAGCTAACTTTTAACAACAAGCAATTCGACGAACCCGGCGATGTTTGTTTCATTAATAATAAAAACAAACTAACCAACCGCAAAAACAGTGAATCCCGCATCCTCAGGGGGTCATTCAATTTCACGAAGCAATTCATAAAATAAAATATAAAAATCGACTAAAATCAACACAGCGTGCTAAAACAGGAAGTGGCAGTAGTGTTGATTAAAAACTCACAATTAAGATAACCAGCGAAGGGAAACGAAACTAGTAGTCTTACAACATCACAGAAACAAACAAAAGAGAGAGAGGAGAGAGAAAATACACTCGAGTGACTCGGTTGTCCTGGTTGCAGGTGACGTGGAACCAAGTACAAGGACTCACAAGCGTGGGATCCCAGCTCTGGAGGACGTTGTCCGGGTCTGAGAGGCTCCGTTTAAGCGTGTAGAGCGAGTCTCCTTCGGAATTGGAGGCGCCGAGGTGGAGCAAAGTTAGGGTTAGGGAAACTGAGAGTAGGAGCCGCTTAGAAGTGCAGGTTGCCGTTGCCATGGCTGATCTGAGCTTCAACCGAACACCTCTACCAGCCGTTTTAGGGTTCTCACTCTTATTCGTCGGTGCGCAACAACTAGGGAGAGAAGACGAAGGAAGCAGAGGATGAAGTTGTAGAGAGAGGAAGGAAGAGGGAAGAATCTTGTGGAGAGAGAGAGAGAGAGAAGACTTGAAATGGAAGTATAGGCTTTTGGAATAACACAGACCAGTAAAGCTCTGTGTTTTTTATTTTTGTACTATCCTACATACTGTTTAGTTTTTCAAATGAGTTTTATTTTACTAAATGTTTAAATATTTTTGGTTTAACTGTCTATAAAAAATATATTAATTTTGATTAGCAAAATATTTATAATTTTTAATTTCTTCAAAAAAATATTTTTTTAATCTCTAATTTTTTAAAAATAGATAAATAATATTTATTTTACAAATTTAAATAGTTTTCTTTGAATGTTACATGCTAATGTTATGTTACAATATTAATCTACATCATTAATTAAATTTTTTGTTATTCTTTTTAACATACGGTTAAATATGGTTTTTAAAAATTAGTAAAGACTAATTTTATATGTACATATTTCCACATAATCATATATTAAAATATAATTATTGAATTCCTTGCTAATAATTAAAATCACTTATTTAACTTCTGTTTTAAAAGAGTTAAATAATAACTCATTTTGATTATGAAAATAATAAATTTACCATGTGTAACAATTGGTAAAAAATTTATCTTATTTAAAAAAAAAACTATCATTTTTTGCCACTAATTTTGTTTAGTTTAATCAATTGCGTTGGTTATATAATTTGTTATACTATAAAATTATTGAAAAATATATTAGTATAATTTAAAAAGTAATTTTATTATAAATTTAATCATTCTACTATACTAATACATTTTTAATTGAATTTAGTTTCCTTTATTTTCTATTTTGACAATATCTTTTTTTTCTCTGTTTTTCTATTGACTTTTGTGTTGTTTTTATGGGCAGTTTTCGGTACTTGGTCATTAGCGGATGTCACGCACTAAACAGAGGGAAGCAATAATTGTTTCTCTAAAAACTAGTGAATAGATAAAAAAAATGAAATTCTCTTATATTAATTTTTAATATGTTTAGTCGTTGTAATAAAAAATAAAAAAAATATTCTATAATTGATTATAATAAATAAAAATATTAACTTTAACAAGTAAAAAAAATAATTTAAAAATATATATAATTGATTTGGTTGAATAACCAATGAAATGTATATTAAAAACAGGTGGAAAATAAATTGGGAAGTGGTGCATTGAGTGTGATAGTGGTAACTCTGTGCAAAGACCAGTCAGTATATTGGGTAAGTGTGCATATTGTGTATGATAATGCCAAGTCTGTGCAACCACCATTACTGACACCACCTAAAGTGGTTGGGAGAATCCAAATTGGTTTAATAATTTATGGCTGTGGTGTTGCACATCCTGACTTTCGTCAACGGATCCATTTATCTTATAATTTTTTTTTTTTTTTAAGGTCATAGTATTGTCATAATGTTATTTTTCTTTTTCAAATGTATTTTGTTAAATCAGTATAAATAGATAAAATGAAGTATACCAAGTGTTTATTGTGCCAAGTTTTACAGCAAAGGTGTATTTATTAACAACTATATATATAAGTTTGTAATATTAGACTTTTAAAAAAAATTATATTTATATTGTAGAGTTCGAAATGTGATATCTGCATTTTTTTAATAGTTAAAAAAACAAAACTATAATAGACGGTTTTTACAGGCAAATTTTAGCATGTAGTTTATCTCCGTAAATGATATAAAAATATATTTTTTATAAAAAAAATTAAACTAAGTAGAAAATTATAATAATTTAATTATTTATAATAAAAAATCATTACAAAATAAAAATTATAAATATATATATATATATATATTATCTTTTATTTATTCATATTCAATTAGTTTTTATCTTATTTTTGAAGTTATTGCTTCTGAAATTATTTATGTGATATTTAAATAAAACATTAGTTATTTTGATAAATTTTTTATTAAAAAAACTCTGACATAGTAAATAATTTTTTATTTGAAAAATTATCATATCTTAAATCGAATTGTGGATATTATGTAAGTAACATTCTAATTTTTTTTTCTTTTAACTTTTATTTGACGAGGAGATTTTTAATTTAAGTAATATCTTAAATTTAAAAAAATTTAGAATTTAATCTCAAAAATATAAGATTAGATAACTCTTATAATGTGAATTAGTGATGATTTAAATTTTCTTATAATTGTTTTAAATTATTTTTATATTATATTTTTTGTAAAATAAACAAATTATTGTAATTATAATATCTTTTTTTAAATAATTAGTACAATATAATATTAATTATAAATTATTGTAAAAATAAATTTATATTTAGAATATTTTCATCATTTATTAATTTAATTTTTTATTTATTCATTTTTAATTAATCAAATCAATATTATGGTTTTTAATTTATTTATCTTTCTTTTCAATTAAATCAATTTTACTTTTCTTTTTCTTTTTTTACTCTCATAAAGTCACTCCTCAATCTAAATCTTAATCGTAGTTTAGGATAATAAAATAAGTCAAAAGTCGGTCGCGTTTCTAACCTATCAAAAGTGGGACAATGTGATGTAATTTATTGTTAGGGATAATAATTACACTCGTATTTATAGAGGAAGACCGATTTGTCCCCGTCTCGAGTTTGACTGAAAAAAGCTAAATTGAACGGAGGCGAATAATAGGGATAGGTAATGCAATTCTCACCTCGGTCTGGTCCTCGTCCCAACTTTATATTTAAATTTAAATTTTAGAATATTAATATTTTAAAAGTATTTTCTTTTTTATATATATTTTTTTTTAATATTTCACCATTTTTACTTTTTTTTACCCACTTTATATCAATTAGTTTATTATATTATCATCTTACTCTTACATTTCATTTTTTACATTTCCTTAATTTTTCTAATCAATTTGTTTTTTTTTTTTCAATCAATTTGATGAACCCAAAGTTAATTTTTCTTAATCTTTATTTTTTTCTAAATATTTTACATAAATATTAGTAGTAGCTAAGATTATTTTATTTATAATTTATCTTTATTAGGTTTTATTATGTCATATTTTTTTAATCTTATTATTCTTATTTGTCATGTATCAAAATTTATCTTAATAAAATAATTATATTTTAAAATATTAAAAAAAATTAATAATTTAAACTTGTATTATTTTGAACTAATTAAATAAAAAGTAACTTATTAAATATTTTCTTATAAACATTAAAAATGAAATAATTTTTATATATAATCAAATATTTAAATACAGTATTATAATAATGTTATAAGTATATAGTATCATAATTATAATAATAATAATATTATTATTATTATAATTATTTTATATTTGTATAAATAAAAAATAAATAAATATTTTTTATAAACATATTTTAATATAAATATAATAAATTAAAAAATATATTTAATTAATAATAATTACAAATTATAAATATTTATTTATGTACAAAAATTACATAAAAATAGTAAAATTAAATTATTATAAATAAAATTTTAAAAATATGTAAATCGAGTAAGAGGCAGATGCGGGGAAACTCGAAATCCAACTAGGACATGAATGTGAACTTAATTTCTAACTCCAACTGAATGGGGCGTGAGGACGGTTAACAAAGTCGGGGACGGGGATCGAGGAGGTAAAACCCGCCCCCTCCCCCTTTGAACAATTTTTATACTAAAGTTTGGACCTTATTGTCTACAACAGTTTGGACCATTTTGTCTACAACAACTCGGATATGATTACTAACCACTCGTCCTTCGCAAACTCTTCCATCCATGCTCGGTAATCTGAGCACTACACTCTTCATATTTTTCTTCAACTCATAATTCATTATTTCTTATTGGTTTTCGAATTAACTACTACTAGTGATGTAGCAGCTCGACCTCCTTCCCAATTAACAACAATTGCAAATACAACATTTTGTCCTATTCAGTCTCCTTCTAATTGTTCCCACTTCCACTCATTTGCATCACTAACTCGGACAATATAATTATTATCATCGTAAATCAATTTGGTTAAACCACAAAAATGCATGTAACCATATCAGTAATTTTCCTTCAACGTGTCCTATACATCTGATCTCAAATTTCTTTCCTGAATATTTCTCAACTGTAACTTGCACATTTTATTCTTTCTCATCTATATTCAAGCAATCAATCTTTCAAGTTTGTTCTTCAATTCTAGTATTCAATTTTTTCTTGAGATTTAGAATATAAAACACATCTTGGATTGACCCCGATTCGATCATCCTTCTATAAATAGTCGACTAAGTCTCGACTTTTACAGATACATTCGAAGCATATCCATACGAAACATGATCGTCCTCATATTTCTCCAATTTGTTGAATAAGTGTTCATTCTCACACATGTGATTACTTGCACCCTATCAAAATGCCATACCGACATGTGATCGATATCGTTCCGAGCATCATCACTATTATTGCCCGTCTCACCTACCTTTTGACATTCTTTTGCATAATGTCTCTCCTTTCCACAATTACAACATTTTTTTTCTAGTAGTAAACATTCACATAGTAACTATATTTGCCACACTTGGCATATGAGTGATTCGTTGATTGACCTCCTTTCGAACCACATCTTCTTCCTCGCCAGTTTTGTTAAGCCCTATCTTCCTTCTCGTCACATCAACCACCGAATCCGCCTCGACCTCCTCGGCCAAATCGTCCACCTCAGGATTGACCACTACGTTCTCTTCCTCTATTATTATTTTGATAATAGAGTGTCTTTTCCTTTTTTACATCAGTTTGCACAGTCGTCTCCTCTTTCTTTTTCTTCATTCGGTGCTCATATGTTTTTAAGAGAACCGATCAACTCTTTATTGTCATTTCGGACAAGTCCTTTACTTGTTCTGTCGGGCACACTACGTTCTCGACAATTTGTTATATTGAAAATGTTTCTCCGTTTT